CCCCCCCTCCCCCACCCCGGCTCTCAGGCTCGCCCGACAGCACTCAGGTCCTGCCCGTGTTTCCTGAGCCGGCTTTTCCTGCAGCCTTCGCCATCCCGTTTGGGGCAGACGCCCTGGGCGTTGGGCCGGAGGCCTTGGTGCTGTCCCTGCCTCCTCACGGGCGCGCCCCACATCTGGTCGTCAGCGGAGCCTTTCGGCTCTGCCTTCGCCACCCCTGCCCCTCCCTGGCCCAAGCCACCCTCTTCACAGGGGCCTTCCAGGGGTTCCCCGCTTCCGCCTGTGTCCGCTCCACACGGAGCTCCAGCCGGCCGGTGAGGCTCCTTTGGTCTGCTCATGCTTTCCCTGCCCGTTCAGCGCTAGGGCACGGGCCTCTCATCTCCCCTCCGAGGTCCCCTTCCCTCGCCCCTGGCCTCTGCTCTTCCTGGCACACACCAGGCGTGCCCTCGCTCGGGCTCCTGCCCTTGTCTCCCCAGCGCCCGCGGCACCCTTCCCCAGGGGGCTTGGTGAGCGCCCCGCTTCCATCGGGTCTTCACTCAGAAGTCCCCTTCCAGAAGCTTCTGCAGCACTCTGTCTCAGCTTCACCCCTCTGCCTGACTTGTCACATCCCCCTTCTTTCTTTTTTCTGCTTTCAAAATACAGCATTTATCACCAGCTAAATGCCACGTCTTCTCCTCATCGTGCGTGATACCTGTCTCCCCCCGAAAGGGCCGCTCCACGAGGCAGAGATTTCGGTTGTCTTGTGCTCACTGCTCTGCGGGGCGGCCGGAGCAGTGCCTGGCTCTGGGGCTCCGGGGAAATGGGTCGGAGGAGGGAACTGAGCCGCTCGCCCGCCCCCCCCCCCCCGCCCCGCCGCGGGGTTCCCGTTCTGCAGGGCGCTCTGCTGGCGCTCTGAGCGGCTGTTTCCGCCTGTCGCTGGCCCTGCTGTTCAGACCCGTGCCTGCCTCAGCGCCCGCCCTGTCACCCTCTCCAGCCTGGCACCGCTCACTGGCTGCTCCTGCGCGCACCCTGCGTTTCCTCGCCGGGACGTAGCTCTGCTCAGGATGCCCCGCTTCTCCTTCCGTATTTCCACGCTTCCAGCCCTGCGGGGGTAGAGTCGGCCAGAGCCAGCTGCGCCCCCTCTCCCGAAGGCTCCTCCTTCCGTCCCCCGTCCCCACGCGGGCCCTGTGCCTCTCCTTTGCTGTCGTCCTTTCCTGCGCTTGGCTTGGCCGTTGGCGTTTGTGCTCGGCCTCCTTGCAGGCTCCCACCTGGAGGCCTGCGTCCCTCACCTACTAACAACACGTGTTTCCTCTGTAACCCCTGGCAATGTCTGAAACTTGGTTAGCACTTCATAAATTTGTACGATGTAGTGAGTAAATTAAGATAGACTGTCTTACGATCGTGCAGTGTCCTGTTTTCCAAAGACCTAAAAAGTTTCCTGTTTCTGTTTGGAAGAGAACTGATTACTTTAGTCATTTTAAAATTTCAGAATCCCTGACCTTTTCTTTCCGTTTCTCTTTCTTTTCAAGTCAGGCCCCTGCCCTCAGCTGTGAGAGAACATCAGCCATCTCTCCCCCACAGGCTGATTGTAAGTTCACTGTCTTTACCTGTGTGTGAATTATTTTGGAACAGGTTTAATTGAAGTTGATGTAACTCAACTTGTTAGGTCTAATATTTGCTCACTAGTATGGCTCACTAATATTTGCGTTATATCCAATCCAAATGTGTCATAGATTTTTTTTTAAAGCTATCTATTTTACGTTTGGTAGTGTAAAGATGTGTGATAGATTCTTTAGCATTCTGTTTTTATTTTATTTTTTTTAATTGCCTTAATTGAGACCCATTTAAATCTTTTCACTGTAAGTTCATTTCCTATGAACATAAGAGCTCTTATCACCAGTGATTAGCTTTCTCTACTTTGACCCGTAATACTATAATTAAGTCAGCTATATACTTCAGATAGTTGTGTTCTGTGATACTGCTGCAGGTATCAAGTATGAACAAGGACTTGGGCCTCACTCCCAAGCGGCTTTGCTGTAAAATAGGTCGGAGTGACTGTTGGTGTCCCCTGTTGCTTTTCTTCCATCTTTCTGTTCTGGTCTTTGTTTTCAATTTCTTTGTTTATATGACTGGCATTCTCATTGTTCTTCATGTTGCTATGGAAATAAGTTTTAATATTTCATTTCTATCTGATTAACTCTGTTCCACCAACCTTGGTCTCCAGTTGCAGAGATAGGCCTGCTTTTCAGGTTCGTTTGTTATTATAACAATGAATGTCCTAATTTTTGAACTTCAAAGATTGTTTAGATACTCTTAACCCTTTACTTTTCTTTTCCTTTAATAAATTTATTTATTTGTTTATTTTTTGGCTGCGTTGGCTCTTTGTTGCTGCGCGCGGGCTTTCTCTAGTTGCGGTGAGCGGGGCTACTCTTCGTTGTGGTGTCTGGGCTTCTCATTGCAGTGGCTTCTCTTGTTGCGGAGCGTGGGCTCTAGGCATGTGGGCTGCAGTAGTTGTGGCTCACGGGCTCTAGAGCGCAGGCTCAGTAGTTGTGGCTCACGGGCTCTAGAGCACAGGCTCAGTAGTTGTGACGCATGGGCTTAGTTGCTTCGCGGCATGTGGGACCTTCCCGGACCAGGGCTCGAACCCGTGGCCCCTGCATTGGCAGGCGGATTCTTAACCACTGCGCCACCAGGGAAGCCCAAACCCTTACTTTTCTTTATCAGTGTTTTCCTGTTTATAGAAGCACACATGAATAGTTCCAGAAACCACAGACTCCTTGTTGCTCTCAGGTACCAGTTTCTGCCGGAAGAATAGGTTTAACACCCTGACATCCCTCTCTTGAAAGGGGGCTAACTCCTTGTCCTGCGTGTTTTCTTTTTAGAAACAAGTAGGAATGGAAGGCCTGTCTGTCTCACTGGTCTGTCTTTCCCCTGCTGGATTATTTATGTTTCTGGTGTGAGCTGTGCAACGGATTTTTCTGGGCGTGCTGCAGCCTGTGTTGTTGTTTTATCACTGCTCTGTTCTTCATTGTGAAGAATTATGATTTTCCTTACCATTCAGATACTTTGAAAGGTATTCGTGCTCACGTGCAGTTTAATACTCAGCAGTTTTCTTTGGCAACAGCTTTTACCTCACGAACTGTCCTCTCATGTCACTCCCAGTGAAGAGGTAATTTGATTTTATAACATATTCAGCAGGTTGAAAATCTTTTAAGTTGAGGCTTCAGGTAAAATACACTTAGTGACAATAAAAACTCTTCTGTGCTCTCTTCATAGAATTGGCAGAAAGTATTTCAAAATCTGAAGAGGCATAGTTTGAGTAATTTTAGACCATTTATGTCGTCTCTTAAAGAAGGTGGTAAGTACATGACTTGCATGGAAATTAGTTTGCTCTCAGGTGTTGATTTTACAGCAGAAAGTAAGGGTGTATACCAAGCTTTTGCCTGAAAAATTGGTGAAATTTATCGGGAATTAAAGTGCTGACTGGGGAAATGCCCTGGAAATGAAGAGCTGCAAATGATGGGAAAATACAGCATCTGAAATAGAGGCGTAGTAAGGACCATAGGCAGAGGGTCATGGTTCCTCCTCCTCCGTGGTACTGGGTACTCAGGGCCAGTGTGCTTAATATTCCTGGGGTTATTTGTCATCCTTATTTTTCTCATTTATTTTATCCTATTTTATTTTTGAAGCTGTCTTAAAACTTTTTTTTCCCCCTGAAAGAAGTGAGGAGTAACTAAATGAAAGTAAAATAATAAGATGTTCCATGGTTGTGTCATACATTTATTTCGTCTTGTAGCTGGTGTGTCTTTTTGACCCTCTTATCTAAATTGCAGGGATCACTAACCCTCCCGGCTCTGTCAGCGCACTGCTCATGTCTCTGTGCGCTTGCTTTGTTTTATAGACTGGCTCACGGAGTGATCACTCATCCCTGTTGGACTTTGGTTCTGTGGTGCAGATGGAGCGTAGGACTCAGGTGTCTGGGCCAGAGTGAGCGAAGCCTGAGGCCCAAGATGGAGAAGAAACGAAGAAAGAAATGAAAGCCTCTTTTCAGGCCAAACCACAAAAGGCCATGAAATTTAACTTTTATTTACCTTGGACTAGACTGTAAAATGGCCGATCAGTAATGTTTCAGCTTTTAGCTGAAACAAAAATTAACTTATAATCAAGGAAGAAAAAAGTGCGATTTGAATTTATGCGATTTTATGACCATATTCACTCATGACCATGAAGCTTGTCCACATCTGGCTGCTTCTGCTGGTGGTTTTGCTCTGTGGGAAGAAACATCTGGGTGACAGACTGGAAAAGAAATCTTTTGAAAAGGCCCCATGCCCTGGCTGTTCCCACCTGACCTTGAAGGTGGAGTTCTCCTCAACAGTTGTGGAATATGGTAATGATATTATTTTAAATGTCAGGGACTTCCCCCCACCCCCAATGCGGTTTTTTTCAGATTTATTGTAAACATCAGCTTTTGCCAAAAACAATAAATTTCGAATGGGCTGAGTGCATAGTGTTTGGATATTAGTTCTGCTGAAGTTTGTTTTTCCCGTATAATCAGCTTATATGAAGGAAGTAAATTGACGTTCTGAATTATTTCCCTAAAACTGGATTCCATGGAACAGATGTCATTGTAGCTGGTGAGGGGGGACTTTGGAGGGGCTGAAAGTTTATGTGACCAGTTGTGGATAACTAAGCAATTAGTCTTACATAATCTGCTCTACATTTTGTTACTGTTTTCAGTAAAATAAAACTGAGCCTTCGCTTCTCTGAATTCCTTCTTCCTGTTTGAAAACCTTGCATGCATTTCTCTGCTGTACACTCAAATTTCTGTTAATGTTTGGTTTTTGAAAAATAGCCCAGGTATCTGATTCGAAGTGATGTGTCCTGTGATCCGTGGGGTTCATCCACATCGTTTTAACTCAGAGCTCTGGAAGCTGCCATCCAGGGTGTTTAAAGCAGTCTGTTCGTTTACTCCTCTTTCTACTAGGTTTTATGATATGTAAGCTTTCTTTTACCAGGGAAGTTTTAGATTAAGTATAATCTTATGTCATAATATAGGTACGTAAATTCTCACTTTTATTTTGTGGTCATTGATTGCAGAGTATATCGTGGCTTTCAATGGGTACTTTACAGCCAAAGCTAGAAATTCATTTATTTCAAGCGCCCTGAAGAGCAGTGCAGTCGACAACTGGAGAATTATACCTCGAAACAATCCATCCAGTGACTACCCTAGTGATTTTGAGGTGATTCAGATAAAAGAAAAACAGAAAGCGGGGCTGCTAACACTTGAAGACCATCCAAACATCAAACGGGTAACACCCCAACGGAAAGTCTTTCGTTCCCTCAAGTATACAGAGTGTGAGTACTGTGACCTTGGGCTGGTCTGTATCCATTTCTGCTGCGCTGGGAATAGGGGGAGGATGTGCGTATTCACACGTGGCAGAATATGAAAAGCAGTACAGGGAATATTCCTGTCCCTCCATCTAGTTTCGTCAGTCGTGAACGTTTTCCTGGCAGGAATTTAAAAAACCAAAAAGAGACTTTGTGCTTCTGATAGAAACAAATAATGCAGGTTTGCAGTAGAGGGTGATGGTTGTGTCTGTCGTGTGGGAAGTGATTTTCACCAGGTTCCTCTCAAAGCGTTCAGGCTTTGAGGCCCTGACGCCCCTTCACACTCTGAAATGAAGACGGTGTCTTTGAGTCTCCTTTTTATTTGCATTTTGCTTCTTTCAGCGCATGTTTTTTATTTTTGAAGGCATCTCGCAAAACACCTCTTCCTTGGGTTTCATTTTGCTTTTCTCAGACCCTCCCGACCGCGTACCATCATCGCGCCTCCGCTGGGCTTGTTTAAGCTGGGAGCTGGGCAGGGGCAGTGATGGAAGGAATTTGCTGAGTCCCTTTCAGCTCCAGGGCTTACTCTCCTATAGTCCTTACAACTCGGGCCTGTGGAGATAAGTTTATCCTCAGATAACAAGTTGCATATTATTGCATAATATTTTCCAAAGCAAATGTATTACCAAAGGAAAGGGTTTTTTTCCCCCATTTGACGTAAACTGGGGCAACAGAGTGCTAGTTCCATTACCGTTTATTGTCATTTCTTTCATTAGATGGAAAAAGAAAATTTTGCTCTTCTTTTTTTGTCTGTCGCATACTAGGCCTGAGAGCCTCTGAGGTTTCAAAAACACCCAGGGGACAAGCCTGACTAATTTGCATCCTGTGACAGCCAGTTGGAGCGTCAGCTGTGGAATTCAGGTGTCTGGCTTCGCAGAGCTCTCTCTGCTAGTCCACGTTTCGTGGTACCTTTTGTCTTTGAAAAGCAATAACCTCAGAGCAATCCAGGAAGATAAAAGCAACCCAAAACTTGGACACTTAGCCAAATATATAAATTCGGCCTTTTTTATTTTTTAATCTTACCTTAAAGAGCTGCAGAATATTCTGGGAAACACAGAAGGGCTGCTTTTAGCACAGGAAGCGTAGGGCTCATGGTGGGGGTTCCCTTCTGTATCCTCTCCACCTCGGTCGTCAGGTGCTGTGCTCGGCAGCCCCTAAGGAAATAGCATGTATCTCCTTGTTAGCCGTGGCCTTCTGTGGTGAGCAAGGCCTCTTTAAGCTTCAGTGCTTCTCATCCAGGAAATGGAGATAATACCACCTACCTCAGAGTTCTCACAAAGGTAAAAGGAAGTAGTGCGTGTGAAGAGAGCTTAGCAGATTTCTTAGGCTGTTGTGAGCAGACATTAAATGTTCATTTTTGGGGAATTCCCTGGTGGTCCAGTGGATAGGACTCCGTACTTTCACTGCTGGGGCCCGGGTTCAATCCCTGGTCGGGGAACTAAGATCCCGAATACCACGTGGCACGGCCAAAAAAAAAAAAAAAAAGTTCATTTTTTTCTGTGGCTCTGTTGTTCAAAGGCTTTGCTTTATTTGGGGTTGGAATCTGTTACGCTCTGGATCCCATCCCTGCTCTCTCCATGGGCCATAAGACAGAGCTAACCTGGGTTCCCCAAGACAGCACTGCAGGGTATTTCAAGGCTATGCTGGTGTCCCCCTTAACAGTTCCTTCTCTCCAGGATAATAAAAATATCCAGTTCCTCCAGGGGTTACTAATATGACCTGGCGTCAAGTCCCCTCACCACTTTAATTGCTTTTCTTTGAATGCTTCCTGTTTTCTCTTAACGACTGAAGCCGGAGTTGAATGCAGTCCTTTGGTTGCAGTCCAGTCTGCTGAAAGGAGAGCACAGCAGACCCGTCCTTAGTTCGAATACTGTCCTTCAGTTAGTGCCCAGGCTGTTGACCAAAGGAACAGAATCAACATGGGAGGTTCAGTATAGAATAATTTCAGTTGCACTGGGCACATAATTACTTAATAGAATTGACATGACTGTATATTTTTCCCGGTCCCTGTGCTTTCATGGGTGTAGCCTGGTGAGACTGGAAGGAAAGCTAAAGTAATTGGCTTCAGAAACAGGACCTCAGTGGTATTACAGATTTGCCCTTTAGAAACGGATGTGACATATGGTTTTTTCTTCATTATAGCATGGTTTCTGAAAGGTAAAGGGACAACCCTTGTGGTATTTCTTCTACTTTTTTCTTCCACTAAGAAAAAAAAAAGTATTTACATATAGTAAAATCCATGCTTTTTAGTGCACAGTTTGGCGAGTCGTGGTAAAAGTGTGCAGTCAGGTGCCCACCAGCAAAATCAAGATACAAGACAGTCCCATCACCCCCAGCAATCCCCCGAGCCCTCTGTTCTGCTTTTTGAAGGGTGACGTTCTAGCAGATACGCACGCTGAGGACGTTGGGCGGGTCACAGTAGGAAAAGGTCAGAGCGAGGTGTCCTGGGATCACACGGCTTTTTCCTGTCCCAGGGATCACACTGTAAACGGTGAAGTGTCACCATTGCTTAGTGGACATTTTCTTATACTCCGCCCTCCCCACCCGACACACACACACTTCTGGTTCAGTGGGAATAAGTGGCTGATGAAAAACCAGGCATTTCTTCAGTTTTATTATCACAGTTGACTTTGTTTCTTCAGAAATGATTATCTTATCAGTCTTTCCCTGCCTTACATTGGTTAGAAAATTCCAGGTAAAGACCTATTTGGGAATAACGTGATGGCTAAGTAATATCCTCTGACTCTAGCCACGTGGAGAAGCTCCTTCTGGCCGAGGGGAGGGAATATCACCACCCTGCAGAAGGGATTTCAGACGGGAGTCATTGCACTGGGGGAGTGGCTGTTTCCCTGACAGGTACGTGTCCCCTGCGTTTCTGATCTTTCTCTCCCGTGGCTGCAGCTGACCCCGCCGCGCCCTGCAACGAGACCCGCTGGAGCCAGAAGTGGCAGTCGTCCCGCCCCCTGCGCAGGGCCAGCCTCTCCCTGGGCTCGGGTTTCTGGCACGCCACCGGGAGACACTCGAGCAGACGGCTGCTCAGGGCCATCCCGCGCCAGGTCGCCCAGACGCTGCAGGCCGACGTGCTGTGGCAGATGGGCTACACAGGTGGGCCTGTCAGCCGGGGTGGCCTCCCCTCCAGGGCCTCACGGGTCTGTCCTTCTGCGGGTTGAGCTGGACGCAGTCAGCTGCCCCTCGTCTCTGGCTCCTGTTGTGGGGGGCGTCTGTTTCTGTGGCTTTTCTAATTGTTTAGTCCTGTTCACTTTTTGTGTCTTATTTCCCTGTACTGTTTCTGAGGTTACAAGGAGTAGATTGTGGAGTGTTTCTTTCCTGTTGACACACGTGAACAGACACAGCACTGCCCCTGCCAGAGCTGACTGGCAGTCCAGCAGAGCTCTGTAATTTCCCAGGGAATGAGATCAAATCCAGAGATAGTTACCTCGATTTGGGCAGTCTCGTGAAATGGAGCACGTCCCTCCTGTGTGGTGCCCTGGGTTCGGCATGGCTAAGTGATTGACTGTCGAGGTTGTTACCTTTTGTTTCGGAACAGGAAACGATAGTAACGACCATACCCTGGGAAATAAAACTCACGACCCATCAGATTTTTTTTCTTGCTGATACATCCGGGCAGAAGATTCCTGTTTTAACGAATGTGGAGGTTTGGACCCTAAATATCAGCCCACGTCTCTGGCGCCTCATACGTCACAGTTGGTCTCGGTGTCTTTCCATTTCTCCTTGCCTTAGAGACCCTTACCTTAGAGAACCGAAGACCTTCCCTTACCGCGCCTCAGACTTAACACCCGGGGGGCTGACATTTTATTAAATTATTGTCTCTTCTTGGTTTATCCTTTTAGGGGGAAAACTTCACAAAACAGAAGTTCTCTAATCATCAGAAAAGCATTTTTCCTTCCCCCCAAACCAGCTGGTTTCCAGTATTGTGTCTTCATTTTTAAAAAGTAAACAATACACTTTGTTGGTTATCTCAGTGTAATTGATTATTTAATGTAGTACTGATACATAAATACAACCCTCATACCAAAAAGACATTACCTTTGTTACTTCTGTTAGCCTTTCAGTGAGTATCTTGTATTTTTTCCTACGTGTTTTCTAGAATTCCTTGATCTAACAGCATGAGTCATGTTTCCCATCGCAACAGATGGCTTTTGGCCAGTATCTGAAGTAGACTTGTTATCATAGAAAAGTGTGCAATACAGTGGTTCTCCTTAAAGTGTGCTTTTCCCTGCGTGTGGTGGACAGCCTCTCTCTGCAGAGTCGCTGTCCGTTAGTGAGCAGCACCGAGTCCTGGTCGCGAGTAGAAGCGGCCCCCGCTCTCCCGGAAGTGAGTGCTTTGTGGTGCCCTTGGCCCCATGGGCCTCTCTAAGGAGATGAGGACGTAGAGACTTGGAGAAAGTTGCCCAGAGGGGAAAGTCAATCATTGGTGGAGGATCGGGAGAGGTGGTCCCCCCGCCCCCCTGAGAGCCGGTGACGTTGAGGGGCGTCCGGAGGGACTTTCTGTGTGTCCTCAGGTCTCATTTAGCGGCAGGTGATGGTATTCCCCTGCTGTCCCCTCCTCTCCTTCGCACCTGGCCTACTGTGTGCCCTCTGGGCAGGCTTTGGCCCTGGGTCGCCTGTCATTCTCTCTGGGTCCCAAAGAGGGATGTATTTCATAAACGATGATTTCTCAAACACCATTGTGCTTTCTTTTTGGCATAAGGTGCTAACGTAAGGGTTGCCGTTTTTGACACCGGGCTGAGTGAGAAGCATCCCCACTTCAAAAACGTGAAGGAGAGAACCAACTGGACCAACGAGCGAACCCTGGACGACGGTGGGTGGCTGATGTCCTGAGAACCTGAGGGGGTGTTTTCTGGTCACCGGCGGTCTTCGCATCACTCCCATCCTCCGTTTTATCAGCTGAGAGGGTATTTTTCAGTGTAGATGCTTAAACAGTCCGTGTACAACAGTTACTCAGGCAGACCCAAGTTGTTTTGTGCCTTTTGGCAGAAGCTTTTCAGAGTAGGTCGGGAGGTGAGTGAGGAGAGAGGGACGCCTGGTGGAAGGGAACCTCCTTTTTGGGGGGAGAGCAGGAGTGGCTGCCCCCCGAGGTGGGGCTGGCGAGGCCGGAGAGGTGCTGGGGAGTCTGTGTCTCGGGCTCGGAGAATGAGCTCGTTTGAAATGCTGCATCTTGGCACACGTCGTATCAGCTGTGTTTCGTGCCTTTTTCCTTTTGGACAACAGGGCTGGGCCATGGCACGTTCGTGGCGGGTGTGATAGCCAGCATGAGGGAGTGCCAGGGGTTTGCTCCGGATGCAGAACTTCATATTTTCAGGGTCTTTACCAACAACCAGGTAGGTGTTTTGAGGACCCCTGAGACGTAAAGGGTTGATACTAAAATGTGAAAAGTCAAAACTCTAGAAAACGTGCTGCTTCAAGAGCAGCACACGCCTGCGATGCTGAGCTGCGGCCGGCGTCCCCGTGTGCCGTGCTGTCCCTCCCGTCCCTCCGCGGGGCGGCTTTGCCCTGCTCCCACCGCCCCCTTCATCGGCCTCACTGGAACCCCAAAGACCCTGCTCCGAGGGCATTCCTTGACCTCCCATTTCTCCTGTCCCGCCGGCCGGCCCAGGGTTCCTGTCCACCATGTCTCGGGCACACTTCTTGTGCTGGAGAGAACAACCCCGTGTCTGTGTGTTTGCTGCCCCTGCTGGACTGACCGCCTTGAGGGTAGCCTCTGTGCCCAGCACGCAGTGTCCTGTTGGGTAACGTGGATTTGGAAGCTTGTTCCCTCACTCTGCATTTGGAAACGTTACTGAAAAAAGGGAGGGTCCTAGTATTTATTAACTGTTAAAATTTAATTTTTGCATAGGTAATACATAGTTCAAAAACATCAAAAGGCAACACAGGGATACTTCTCCCAACCCTGTCCCCGTCCGACAGGTTCTCACCTTTACTTCCCCATGTTCCCTATGTGGTAGTTTCTTTTTTTCACATACCCACTCCTAGAATTTCTTTTGCACATTCAAGCAAATACAATGTTTTATTTTTAAAAGCCTTTAAAAAACATAATTCTTAATCATTATGTTGATTCTTTTTTCACTGTAAGGTTTTTTTTTTAACATTTTGTATTTATTCACATATTTTCAGTTTCCAGCGCTCTTTATTTCTACCTGTAGATCTAAGTTTCCACATCACGTAATTTCCTTTCAGCATGAAGAGATGCTTTTAGTATTGCTTGCAATGCAGTCTAGTAGCTATGACTTCTCCCAGCTTTAGTTATCTGAAAATATCTTTATTTCATCTTTATTCTCAAAAAACTATTTTCACTGAATATAGAATTCTGGATTGAAAGTCTTTTCATTCCCTCCAGCGCTTATTTTATTGTTTTCTGTCATCTATTGTTTTTTACTCTAAGTTTAACTTTGTACCTTACAAAACACATGAATGGCGATACACAAAGAAATTTAACTTTTGTAAGGAAACTATGAGAGAAATAATAACTATCAGAAGTAATTCTGTGAAATAACTTTCATTGATACCATTTATTCTTCAGTCTATTTAGGAATAAAGAATATTAGACAATATTAGACAAATAAACTATTTAGAAACACTTAACTGAATAGACGTGTCTTAGGACAAGTCCTTTTATAAGAGGGGCAGTTAGAAGTTTGAGGTCTTCCCTGGGCAGGCAGGCTGTAAGGTCAGGAAGGCGCTGGACGTGAGGCCGGGCGGGACAGGACCCTGGGAACCTTGCCTCTCCCCAGAGTCCAGCCCCAAGGATTGGAAGCTCTGGGTGTAGTAGTTTACATCGCAGAGCATTTGTTGTTCTTGGGATCTGTTTCTGAAGTTTAAGTGAATACTTCATGCTGCTGAGAATCTAGCATTTGGAGACTTCCACTGAAACACCTAAAGGACTGTTTTAAAAATGGGCCAGGTCTCCTACACGTCCTGGTTCCTGGACGCCTTCAACTACGCCATCCTGAAGAAGATCGATGTGCTGAACCTGAGCATCGGGGGCCCCGACTTCATGGACCACCCGTTCGTCGACAAGGTTGGTCCTGCCGCTGTGCGGAGGACGAGGCGTTTGGTGACGACTCCTGCTCTGCCTTGCGCCCCGCTTTGCTTCGTGTCTAGTGTGCTGGTGGCTAGTCGCCCACATGGTGACCACTCTGTGAGGACGTGAGCCATGGTGACTTGTGTGGGAAGCAGCACAGGGTGCTGTGTTGCTTCCTCTCACCTGAGCACACGGCCTGTCTTTTCTGGGCGTTCCTGGAAAGCCCGGGTCTGCTCTGTGTGCGTGGATCTGTGTCCTGGAGTCTATCGTCTCTGGACATTCTGACTGCCAGCCATACCACGTCTGTACTGGCCTGGTGTTGCGCTTTCAGGGGAATACCTTCTTTTTTTAGTTCTGTTTTTGGAAGTTGTGGTTATTTTTGAACAATTATATATTGATTAAGAGTGGTGGGGCTTCTCTGGTGGCGCAGTGATTGAGAGTCCGCCTGCCAAGGCAGGGGACGCGGGTTCTTGCCCCGGTCTGGGAAGATCCCACATGCCGTGGAGCGGCTGGGCCCGTGAGCCATGGGCGCTGAGCCTGCGCGTCCAGAGCCTGTGCTCCACAACGGGAGAGGCCACAGCAGTGAGAGGCCCGTGTACTGCAAAAAAAAAAAAAAAAGAGTGGTGTACTTTCATAAATAAATGCTTGTTAATTTTGTAGGTGTGGGAATTAACAGCTAACAACGTCATCATGGTTTCTGCTATCGGCAATGACGGGCCTCTTTATGGGTAAGTACCCCTGATAGGAATAACCTTAGAGGTATTTTTTTCCTTGAAATAACTGAAAACCTGTTGTTTGTCTGTCTCTGTATCTTGCTATACCTGTTTATACCTGTCTAAAACTTTGTATTGTGGATATTTTCAGCACATACAAAAGACTTTGTAATGAATCTCATGTGCCCACTCACTCCAGCAGTTGCCAACTCAAGGCCGATTTTGTTTAATTTTTTGTGTTTTTAACTTTGCTGGAAATAGCAATTTGGAGGCCTAAAGTTTTTATTCTACTCTTTTTACCCCCAACCCAAAATCAATCAGGAAAGTAAATCTGTTAGAAATAAATGGATTCTACCGTATTTATTGAGACCCAGTGTGCACAAGGCACAGGGTAAAGAGGTAGATAAGTTGAGGTGCCTGCCTTTTAGGAAAAATAAGGTACAGATACGATGAGACTAATATGAGGAGAAAGTGCAGGGTGGCGTAACAGACACCGTGTTTGGGGGACTGAGGAGAAGGATCAGATAGGGAGGGAGCAGAGAACAGTGTCACAGAAATGTCCCTTTGTGCCGGGTTATGGTGTATTAAAGTGGCTTGAGATGCGGGACATCAGTCACTGAATCACAGGCAGTAGTAAGCTTTTGTCTGGTTAGTGATCCCAATTTTCTTTCTGCTTACACCTCCAGTTTTTATTCTGTAGATAATATAAATAACCTCTTGTGCTGAATCACTTCTGCGGTGGGATGTCTGTCACCCCACTTTACCAGGCTCCCGGGACGTGTGTGATTCAGTGCCGTGGCAGAGGGCTTAAAGTAACTGCACAGGAAGGAGAGAACATACGGAGCCTGCCCGGCGTGCCCTGATCCAGGAGAGCCGCCTGGCATGGCCGTTTGCTTGTGCCTTCAGGAGCACGTGCCCTGTCTTCAGGGACACCCTGGCCGTGCTGCTGGGGCAGAGCAGGCCGTCTTGAGCGCTGACTGAGCTCATCCAGGGTGGGGATTAGGCTGGACTCTGTGAAATTACGATTCTATAAGTCACAACCCGTGCACATGCGCAGTCGTGGTTCCAGCCTAAGAGCTGTTCTGTCAGCGATCCCATCTCCTTGTAGGGCTCCACGGTTGGGGATCTGGCTGGGTCCTCAGTCATGTGTGTTGTGACTCACAGGCGTAAGTGGTGTAAACACGTCCCAGCTATAGTTCTGCCACGAAAAGCACCAGTTACTTAGTAACCTCACCCAGTTTCCATGTCTTCTCTTTCTAACGCTTCTCCATTTGTCCCTCCCCCCACTTCTGACGTCCCCGCTCCAGGCCAGCCCACCGCAGCTCAGCATCCCCAGGTTATCTGTCAGTTCCCCCGCCCATCCTCTTGCCTCCAGTCTTCCCCAGCCCAGCTCTCCCTTCATGGGGGATGTGGGGTGGAGGGGAGGGTGCGGGGACGGAGCCAGGCAAGTTTGACCTGCCCTTGGGCTGTGGGACCTTTGCTTCTCCGAGCCCTGGCCCCCTCGCCTGGCTCTGGAGGGCACGAGACCCGCCCGGGTTGGTGGCTGTGAGGATGAGGATAAAATGAGCCAGCCGAGGGAGAGCACCGCGAACACGGAGCCTCTGTGAGTGGTAGCTGTTCCTTTCTCTTCCGTTTTTCTGTGTTTCTGTTGTTAAAACAGAGTCTAGCAGTTTCTTTAACTAAGGATCTGCAGTGGATCGTTATTGCCTGATCAGATCTAAACTTTTCTCCTTGGTTTTCAAGGTCTTCAGTAGTCTAGCCTGGAGCTGGCAAACATTTTCTGTAAAGGATCAGGTAGTAACTAGTGGAGTCGTTGTGGGCCACATGGTATGTTGCCCCTACTCGCCTGCCCTTGTAGTGCGAAGGCAGCATGGATGGGTAGACGAATGGGCGTGGCTGTGTCCCGGTAAACACTTCCCACTCCCTCGTGCACTCTTCCTCAGAGCAGGCTCCTCCTCGGGTCTCCCTGGGGAAACCGTGTTCCTCTCGGTCTCCGTCACCTGATCCTGCTGCTGACCGCCCCCCCCCTCCCCCGCTGCCGCAAGCCTGCCTTTCCGTTCACACCAGCTCTTCCACGTGCCATCCTGACTGCTTTGCACACACTGGTCACTCTTCTGAAATCCTGTGACTTCTGTGGGCGGTCCACGTGAGGGCTTCTAATCAAAGAGCTGCTCGTGTTTAGTGTGTCAGGGGCATCTCGGGAGAGGAAGCCCCGGTGTCGGACTCATGTCTGCCCACAGAGCCTCACAGCATCTGGTGTCCGCCAGCTGCTGGGTAGGCTGGGGGTGGCACGTGGTCACGGTGCCACAGCCTGAACGGGTGTGGCTCACTGCGGGGCCTCGGATAGGGCTGGTCACGTGACAGTCGTGCACTTGAAGAGCCCGGTTATTTATCGGAGGCGTGACGCTGCCCGACGTGTCCCCACGGGTACCCCTTCTGGGAGCTCTCTGGGGTCCGGCACCCTCGATGCTTAGATTTCATGGTGCCAAGGAGTCTGCAGCTGCACTTCCCCCTTCTCAGCACCAACAAAGATTTTCTGATGCTTTCCCCTGATTTTAAGGGTGTAAAGTATAGGGACTGGCAGGTAGAGGCAGGGTGGGAGCTGGTGTTTTTGCTATCAACTTCAGTGGGAAATACTGCCAGTGACTTCTGTTCTAATCTCTGCTCTTTGATGTCATAGAAATTTGTAAACTTTTACTGTCAGCCGATTAACAAATCACTGTTGGTGCTTCTGAACAACCAGCTGGTAGCATGCTGGTGGTGGGTAAGCTAAGGAGGTGATGCTAGGGTCGGCCCCGTGTGGTTGAAACAGTAGTATCTTGCTGCTGCTGTCGCTTCAGCTGCTCGGATTCAGTTGTGGTTCAGGAGTCCATGTTGTGGTGGTGGAGCGGAAATAGATAAAGCTGGGAAGTGCAGTTCCGTAAGTGGTTGTTTCATACTGTCAAATAGTTCATCTTGACTTACATCTTGACGCCGTAGTTTAAATGTTCGTGTCATTGCGGATCTAGCGCCCTTGAAGTGCAGGGGAGAAACACATGCTTTTTCACGCGCATCCGTGCCTTCCCGCTGAGGAGCCCGGGGTTACGGAGAGATGAGTGGTCCCCACGGTTCCCATGAGGAAGGGAGACACCTACCCGAGACCCGGGGAGAACTTGCACTTTCTGACGGTGGCAGGTGCACGTGTGTGGCTGTAGTTCCTTCCCAGAGAAGCCGGGGACCGAGCTCGGGGGGGCTGCGCTCGCAGCAGTTGGGAAGTGGTGTACGGACGTGTACGCAGGTGACGGGGCTGGTCGTGGCCAGTCTCGTGAAGCTCGGAGGAAGGGGACTCCTGCACGCCTGGCAGTAGTGAGGGCAGAAGAGAGTCTTGGGCCGGAGGGCGATAAGTTGACAGGGAGGAGGGAGGGAGGGGAGGAGAGAGGGAGAGGAGGAGAGGGCGTCTCAGGTGTGGGGAGACCACCGGGCCGGCAGAGGTGGCAGTGCCGGGCCGGGCCCTCCCAGCCGCACGCGCCTCGCCGCGGGAGAGCTGCTGTGGGCTCCGGCCGTCCCGGGGCTGCTTGCCCTTGTTTGACTCTCTCACTTAGAGTGGTTCCTCTCCCCCCGCCTTTTGTGTCTTTTTCTTGCCTCGCTACAGCACTCTGAATAACCCTGCTGATCAGATGGATGTGATCGGAGTGGGCGGCATTGACTTTGAGGACAACATCGCCCGCTTCTCATCGCGGGGAATGACCACCTGGGTAGGCGCTGCTCCTTTTGTCCGGCGTGCCCGCGGGAGCCGCGTGCAAGGGCCTCGGGGCTGTCTGTGAGCACGGAGAGAAAAGCAGCCTGGAGGCAGCCCGCCACGAGGACACGCTCTAGCGCCTTCCCTGCCGTGTCCCTGTGGCCCAGCGGGCAGGTGCCGGTTCTCACTGTTTCCCGGGTCCACTTCTTTTTAACTTGTTTCTGAGTAACTCGTCATTTAGGTCGGTTGGATTCATGTGCACTGGTCCTAACTGGTAGGAGGAGGGCCAGCAGTCCTCCGTGCTGGGTGGGATGATTTTTTTTGGCCTTGGGAAGCAGGAGAAGCCAGTGAGCATGGCTGAATATCAGCTCCCTAACGTGGGAATGATTGCATTTAGCTGGACAAAATTGAAACGACTCTAGCAAGGTAATTAGTTCAGCTGCGTGAGCTGTAATTATGTGGCCGACTCCTCCCATCTGAGCAGAGCTGGGGTCGCTCCCTCGGGCGGCACTTGGGGACCCTGACCTGCCCTCCGCGTCCCCCTGCTGCTCCGACCCCCCTGCCATGTCCTCGGCCTTTATCGAGGCCTGTGTTTTGACGGCATTTTGAGAAACGTTCCTGAATTACCTGTGGGGCTGCAGGTGAAGGCGTCTTTGCTCAGTGTCCCGCGTGTGAGGCTCCAGGGTCCATTTATGCTTGGTTGCCGGGAAGGATTTTGTCACTTCAGATTGGTGTACTTCTTTCTTACAGAATATAACTCCTATTGTAATTCTCACTTTGCCCCAGTTTCTGGGAAGCTTAAGAGAGTTCTCAGTTAAACTCTTATCCCAGGTTATTTGTATGGTTATATACTCACTCTTCTAAGTCATTCTTTCCCCTCTGGTGAAAGATTGAAATATCCAGTCATATCACGTACTTTTTTTCTTGTAAAGGAAAATGTTTCTTTTTTTTTTTCCTAATTTCTAATTTTTATTTTCTGATTTTTCTAGCATATTTCTAATTTTAAAATTATCTAGAAATAAATCAGTTTCCAGTTTTCAGCCTTGCATGTTAGCAAAATTTAAAATATTCACTTTTAAAACGCTTTATGGCATTACTGTCATGCTGGTCATTACAAAACGCACCAAAAATAATTTTATTTTGTATACTGTCATTTAAGCTTCTTCTGAATTGCAGTGAATTTCAGATGAAAACCAGCATCGCACTGAGGTTACAGTGTGTTTAGCTGACCCACATTCCTGTTCTGGTTTTATCCCCTCATAACTGCGCGTGGCCATGTGCCAGTGTATGTGCCGTGGTAGAGACCACCCTGCTTTTGTTTACAGGAGCTGCCAGGAGGCTATGGCCGCATGAAGCCTGACATTGTCACCTACGGCGCTGGAGTGAGGGGCTCCGGCGTGAAAGGCGGGTGCCGGGCGCTCTCGGGGACCAGCGTGGCTTCCCCAGTGGTGGCAGGTGCTGTCACCTTGCTGGTGAGGTGAGTGTGGCCCAGCTGGGAGGAGGTGGCGTCAGGGGACCAGGAGCTGAGTCTTGCTTGTCACCAGCTTGGCTGTAGGTAGAGCACATCCCGGGGCCTCACCCCATCTCTACAGAAGAGGCAGGAGTCCGTTCTTTCTTAGATGGTTCTTGTGGGCGTTAGATGAGCCCGTCAAGCCTCCTGCTGTCAGAGGAGTGAGGAGGGGAGGCCATTGTGTCTTCCGTGCCCAGCCAAGCGGCTTCTCTATGTACAGACGTTTTCAGTGGTGAGGAAGCTTTTGCTTTCCTCTTCTCCCTGCAGCAGGTAAAATGCCTCTGTGGTGGGTCAGAAGTGCTTTTATGGTGTGAGGAGGAGCTCATAACAGATGCCGAGTGGCAGAGAAGCGCTTCTTCGTTTCCAGCCTTAGAGCCCGGCGAGGAGCCAGAGCCTGAGCCTGGTCTTGCGCTGTCGGCGGGAGGGGGGCTGAGCTGTGAGCAATTCTTTTTTTCTGCCAGTAAGACTTGCTGCCACTTTCCTCCCCTCACTCCTCCTGAAGTCGGATCTCCTGTCTAGACCTATTAGAAAAGGTCCACCTACACTCCACGACCACCCATCATCGTAGAAAAATATTTAGCAACTTAGTAGAGTCAGGTTTTCCTTACTGTTTACTGGATTTTCTCCCCTGCATTTAGGGGCGTAAAATTGACTTGTATTTATAATACGTAGATACGCAGAAATGCGTGTTTTAATGCTGGTGTTCTACAGCAAGTGGGAATGTCTGGGCGCCGCTGCCCGAGTCCAGCTGCGTTCCAGTGATGAGCCCTCTACCAGGCCTGTCCGACCGGGGTGACGCGTCACACACAGGCCTCCAAACAAAACAAGCACTTGGACGCAGTGGGCCTCACTCCGAGGCTGGGCCTCTTGGCCACGCTGCCTCGAGTCCCCGCAGGACCCACCTCGATCCTTCCCTTCTCCCGGCCGGGCTGCGTCCACGTGTCCGGAGCCTGTAACTCCTACCTCTTCTTGTCTCCTGCAACCTCTGAGGTCGACTGTTAAGTTAGTGGGAAGATGTGTTTTCCCGATCGATTTAGTAAAAGCAGGCGCTAGCCCAAGAGTCCGTGTTCTCACAAGCCACGCGGAAGGCTGATGAGTGGTCAGTCCCTAGGCAGGTGCAGAAACGAGCACGTTCGTTCGCATCTTGCATGAGTTTTACCGAAGAAGCTCCTGTTAGATACAGATCAAGATTGGAGGTCACATGACTGCGCATGAACAGGGTAGGGATAGTCTGGTTTTCATTCTGTTGCTGAGAGAAAATGAGCGAATATGGTATTTGCCCCCAGCACAGTCCAGAGACGGGAGCTGGTGAACCCGGCCAGCATGAAGCAGGCCCTGATTGCAGCAGCCCGGAGGCTGCCCGGCGTGAATATGTTTGAGCAAGGCCACGGCAAGCTGGACCTCCTCAGAGCCTACCAGATCCTCAGCAGCTACAAGCCACAGGCCAGGTCGGTGCGCTTTCCTTTTGAACAGGCCTTCCTTCTCTGCACCGGCCTCCTCGGCACAGAGTATTAGCCTCCACGTGGAACCAGCCCCAGTCACACAGTGCTCGGGGGCCTCGGGGAGAGCTTTGCAGTGCTGCTTCTGCTGGGGCGCTGCCGACAGGATTGCTCCCCACTTCCTCATGTTCTGCCGTTTGTAACGTCAGGGGTTTCCTTTCCTTTGAAATCATCTTAGGTTTACAAAAATCTGCACAAATCGTACGGACGTTCTCATATACCCTCTCCTCGGCTTCCCCTCAGGCCAATACCTCGGTAGTCTGTGATTCCTCTGCTAGAGCCAACAGGTGCACCCTGATGCTGTGCTGGGGTTAGTCTGCAGACAGACGCGCAGTGGCCGGCTCCCCTCATGTTCTTTGGTCCAGGGTCCAGGCCCCACGTTGCGTGCAGTTGCCATGTCTCCCTGGGCTCCCCAGACCCCTGACAGTTCATCTGTCTCGTCATTCATGACTCTGAGTCCTCTGATGCTTTCTCGTGATTAGTGAGGTGCTGTATTTTTGGCAAGAATTCTTTTTCACTTCTTATTTTGAAATGATTTTAGATTTACAACAAAGTTTTAAAAATTGGTGCACGAGGACTCATAAACCCTTCACTACCTTTCCCTGATGCTAGCAACTTACATAACCATAGTAGAAGCCTCAGAGCCTGGAAGTTGGCACTGATACGTTACCATCTCCCAACCTGCAGACTGTATTTGGATTTCACCCAGATTTTTCCCACCCACATCCTTGGCCTGGTCCAGGATCCAGGCCAGCATCCACGTTGCATTCAGTCGCCGCGTGTCCTTGGTCTCCTCCAGTTGGGACAGTTGTCTCAGTGTCCTTCCTTTTGTTCTGGGTGGTGCTCACCTGCATCATGAAGTTTAGGTGATGTGTCAGGCTGGACCCTCCAGGAAGCAGGTGCCAACGTAGACTCAGACGGCCAAGAGACTTCCTGGGGGAGGGGCCTATGAAGGATGAAGGGGCGAGGAGGGAGGAGGACCCTCACACCCAGCACAGGTCTGAAATCTTCCCGGTCACCGAGATTCCCTGAACCGCAGTCGCCTGGTAGAGGCACCTGTGTCCCTCAGGGCTGGGCCTGCCCTGGTGCCCTCTGCGCTCAGTCCTTGGCACAGATGTAGTGGAGGGTCCTCTGGCGTCCGTCAGCTGGGCTCCGCAGCAGGAGATCTGGTGCGGTGAGTATCTCTGCCAGGTGTCCACTGCAGTGACTGTCCCTTTGTGACTGCGAAGTGTCTTGTGGGGACGCCCTTGAAGGTGATCTTGTTTCTTATAGCACAGGGAACTGTACTCAGTGCTCTGTGGTGAGCTAAATGGGAAGGAAATCCAAAAAAGAGGGGATGTATGTATACGTATAGCTGATTCACTTTGCTATGCAGTAGAAACTAACACAACATTGTAAAGCAACTATGCTCCAATAAAAATTAAAAAAAAGCAGATGATCTTGTTTCTTAACATACTTTCCATCACTAAGTTTAGCATCCTTTGGTGGTTCCTCCCTGTAACAGTTCTTACTGTAGAGATTGTCCCATGGTGATTTTCTGTTTCTCTCATTCCCTTCTGCATATATTAAATGAAATTCTGCTGTAAGGAAGAGCTGTCCTCCTGTCTTATTTATTCAGTGGTATCAGCGTGGACACATAGGTACTTATCTGACTCTGTGGGTCATGATCCATTAGTGTCATTGTTTATTGCTCATTTGTCCCAGGTTTGGCTCTCTAGGGCTCCCGCTGGTTGGCTCCCGTGTCTTTTCAGCACGTCTCCATCAGTTGGGGGCACTTTCTCACTTTATGGCAGCATTTCCGTGCCCAGTGTTGGTATCGCTTCTTTGCCCGAGCAGCCCTGGTCCTTTAATTGGAGAGCGGGTTTAGAAATGGACACCTGGGCACCAGGTGTGCTCTTGGCAGCTGTGCTCATAGCCCCTTTCAGCAGACAGAGCTGGCGAGTGTCTGCACACACACACACCTCTACCTGTTTCTATGTCTGTCCGTGAAGTCGTCTGTCTCCTGATCCCACCTGACGCCACGGCCCTCATCTTGAGTCTTCCTTCTTGCTGGCTATCCTTCTCTAGCAGCCAGAAACCTGGCTGTCACTCGCCACAATGTTTTTTTGCTCAGTCCTAGTACACACTTGTGGACAAGTTTTAGAACTGCTAGCTCGTACCGTGCTGAAAACAGATCTACTAACCAGAGGATTGTGTTTGTGTGTAGTTCTTTTTATCTTTAGCTTTATAGCATGTAGTCTACTGTTTGTCACAGTGATTTAGGTTAATATCTTCCTCCCCACTACACCCCTTTCAATCTGGTTTTGCTGTTTATTTTCAATGCAGTTGAGTTCATTTGTCAGCATTTCTATTTCTTTTCGGATTCCTCCCACATCCTGGTTGATTTCAACTAGTTATGTATCGGGTTATGACTCTAAGGTTGGAACTGCACAGAGTGCACCGGGCCAGGTATGGCTCCCCTCAACCCTTCTGTGCCGCTCCCCCTGCCGCTTTCCCTCCACCCCGTAGGTAACCACGCCATTAGTTTTTGCTTTATCCTTGCATCTCTTTTTTCACACGCGAGCAGATACATACCTACCGTCTCATATCCCCTTTCTTACGTGAAGGACAGCATTACTATAAATACTCTCTTGTACTTTTTTCACTTAACAGTATCCTGGAAATCACCTTGTGTCGGTTCACAGAGATCTTTCTCCTCCCTTTTCTTTTACAGCTCCATAGTGTAGATACCTCTGTTTATTCAAGCACATATCTATATATGGGCGTTGAAACTGTTTCCAGTATTTTGTAATTTTAAGCTGCTTGTGCCTGTGCATTTTAGTTTTGCTGGAGGTGCGTCTCCAGGGAAGATTCCTAGAAGTGGGGTTGCTGGGTCCAAGCTGAGAACAGAGGGCACTCTTCCAGGTCTCTCCCTTGCCCTCCAGAAGGGCTGTGCCGTGGGAGCTCGCCTGTCTGCCCGGAGCCTCACCTGCAGTGTCCGGCCATGCTCTCCTTTCTGCCAATCTGACACGTGAGAAGTGCTATCTCAGTGTTGTTCTAATTTGCCTTTCTCAGGTTATGAGTGAGTTTGAACACTTTGTCTAGAGTTAAGAGCTGTTTTTATATCTTTCTTGTGAAGTGTTTGTTCATTTCTTTCACTATTTTTCTTTTCTGGGGTTTTTGTCCCTCGGTTTTTATGCGTTCTTATGTTAGGGTAAGCAACCCTTTATTGCAAGTATTTCTCCCAGTTTGTTGGTTGCCTTTAGACTTCGTGAAAGTGTTTTCGGCCATGTGTTTTTTTTCTTTTTTAACAGCCGTATTTGTTAGCCTGTCGTTGCTGTCGCCCCTGGATTTTGAGGCACAGGAAGCCTTTCCCTGCACTGAGGTGAAGGAGGGACTCGCCCATGTTTCCTTCTAATGCCTGTGGGCTTTCTTTTATTTACTTGAGAGGATCTGATCCATTTGGAGTTTATTCTTGTGTATGGTCTGAGGTGGGGATCTAATTTGATCTTTTGCCGAATGACCACCCATTTGTCCCTGCTCCAGTTATTTAAAAGTCCATCTTTGCTCCAGTGCCTTGAGACTGAGTCCCGTGTCTGCTCTGGGGCTGGTCACATACTCGTTCTCCACCAGCCGCAGCCACCAGATTCCAGGCTCGCAGAGGGGAGAGGTGATGCCCACGCATCCCGCTGTGCTGCTGGTGAGGCAGGTTGGCCGGGAGGCCTCCGCAGCACAGGGCGTGTTCTGAAGCCAGGTTCCCAGACTTCAGCCGAGGGCAGCCCTGGAGGCAGGCCCTTCCGAGGCTCAGGGCCGCCCCGTTGATGCTTTCCAACGCCGTCTACGGTAACACTGGATTTTTTTTTTTTTTTTTTTTTTTGGCGGTACGCGGGCCTCTCATTGCTGTGGCCTCTCCTGCTGCGGAGCAAAGGCTCCGGACACGCAGGCTCCGTGGCCATGGCTCGCGGGCCCAGCCGCTCCGCGGCACGTGGGATCCTCCCAGACCGGGGCACGAACCCGTGTCCCCTGCATCGGCAGGCAGACTCTCAACCACTGCACCACCAGGGAAGCCCTGTAACACTGGATTTTTTGTTTCAGTTTGAGCCCCAGCTACATCGATCTGACCGAGTGTCCCTACATGTGGCCCTACTGCTCCCAGCCCATCTACTACGGAGGGATGCCAACGATCGTCAACGTCACCATCCTCAACGGCATGGGTGTCACAGGAAGAATCGTAGACAAGGTGAGACTGCCGTCTGGCCAGCGGTGAACTTAGACGTGGCCCAGATTTACTCCTGCAGTTAAAAGGGACGGGTCCTCCTCCTGCCTGGGTGCTGGGGGATTGGAAGTAGTGGTTTGTTCTCCCCTGAGCGCTTTGTGTATAAGTCAGGGATACAGTAATGAGGCCAGTGTGCCACTCTTCTACTTTGGCATCTTGGGTTTGACTCCTGAATCAGCTAATTGCATTTGAATCTTCATTTTTACAGTTTCCCGTCTGTAATTAAAGGCTCACTTACAATTAGTTTATTGTTTAATGAGGACACACGGGCCTTCATGTTTAGAAGGCATGGTCTTTATCTGAATTTTGTGTTTATAATTTGTTTTACACTTACTACATAAACATTATCACAAAAATAAAGGATCGGGAAAGAGAGCAGAAAAGCGACTTCAGCCCTACACACTCTAGAGCCACGATTTGAAAGAAAAAGTTCAAATCATATTTTCTAACAAAGCACTGTAGTTGTTTAAATAGGTGTGTTTAAATTGATTCAGTGCCCACCAGCACTTCCTGTGTTCGTCCTTGTGTTTTCATTTCCAAGTGCCTCATTTCATCCATTTCTTGATCGCAGGATTTCACTTTTCATGAAGCTGTCACAGAAAGTACATTTCTTATGATTTTGTGAGATTAATAAAGTCAGTTGCCTGCAGGAAAGAAAAAAAAGAATCTTTTCCAGCCCTTATCTGAAATAGATATTTTTAGTTATCTTTGTGTGGCAGACAAAAATTTAGTCTTTTTTCTTTTTCAGTTCTCACCTTATAAACATTTAAAAATGTTACTATACATAAGCACCGATGTTCTTTCTAATGGTTGTTTAATACTATGTAGAATTGTTGAAGCGTCACGTGCTTACTATTTCTTCTTACTTGAACAGTTAGGTGTTTTTCAACTGTAAACATCTCATTGAATATCTTTGTATATATCGTTTTCTTTTGTTCTGAATTATTAACATAAACTCCCTGGATTAGAATCCCAAGTAAGAGGGTGTGAACATTATTAATGACTCTTGGTACGTAATACCAGATTCTTTTCAAAAGAGGTGCATCAGCTCAGACTGCCGCTGCTGGTGTACAGAGGGGTAGTGTCTCTGCTCTGGTTGTATGTCCTTTTTTTCCCAGTTGCATGAGGTTTTAAAACATTGAGATAAAATTCACATGCCATAAAGTGCACCCTTTTACATTGTGCGGTTCAGTGGTTATTAGTATATTCACAAGTAGTGATGCAGCAACCATCCTACTGGATAATTCCAGAACATTTTCATCACTTGAAGGAGAAACCCCTGTTAACACTTCCCATTCCCCTTCCCCCAGACTGTGGCATTTCCTAATCCCCTTCTGTCTCCACGGAGTTCCCTTTTCTGGACGTTTCCTATAAATGGAGTGGTATGTTACGTGGTCTCTGTGACTGGCCTCTTTCACTGAGCGTAATGTCTTTAAAGGGGCTCATCTGCATTGCAGTGTATATAGTGCTTCACTCCTTTTCGTGGCTGGAAAGTGGTTCATTGTGTGGATGAGACCCCGCTTTGTCAGTCGGTGGACATTTGGTTTGTTTCTGCATGGTTCATCTTTTAACTTTAAATCTACAGGGGGTAGTCGGTACCTTGTTTAATGATTTGTAAGGTGCGTGTCTGCATGTTTGTTTGCTGATTATGTTTCCTCTTGTGTGAATTCGTGTTTCATTTCCTTGGCCCATTTTTCGCTAGAATTTAGGTTGTCCCTGTCAATCCGAACAAGATCTTCACTTCATAGAGAGATTAACCACTGCTGTATGTCATGCAGAACGATTGCCCAGATTATTGTTGTCTCTTCAATGTTAGAGGTGGTTTAAAAACTTGGGGGGTGGGTTCTGTAAAAGTTTCACTTTTACATGTAGTTGAATTTTCATCTTTTGTGAGTTCTTCTGTTTCAAAAATTAGAAGCTTATTCCTCCAGAAATATAAGAAAAATCTCAATTTTATTTTCTACTCACTTTCCTTTTATGCTTGTTAAATATTTAATGTTTTCACCTGTGTTGAGTTAACTTGGTATGTGTTACAAGCGATGGATAAAAGTTAATTTTCTTCTCTGTTGTTAACCAGTGGTCTTGTGCCCTACGAATGTTTTTCTTCTTTTTCACAGTTTTTTTTAACATGCCGACTCGCTTGGGGGGAGTATGTCGTTGCACTCTGGCTTGTGAGGGAAATGAGTAGTTCAGGTTAGCTTGAAACGTTGGTTCGCTGTGTGAGCTGATGTGCGTTTCCCGTCTCGTGCTTCCCTTTCGCCTGCCCCCAAGCCTGGAGAGGCCTCCTCCGGGCGCCGCGCACACTCCGCCTGCCCGGTCGCTGGCCCAGAACCTGACTGGTGACACTTGGCAGCCGTGTCATTTTATTCTTTTATTCCTTTCAAGCAATGTGATTCGTTAAGCGTACAGCCAGTTGAGATCTAACCCCAAACCTGGGAATATTCTTTTCTGTAAGTTCTCTGCAGATGCAAGCTCTTCGTCAAGCCATGTGCGTCCACACTCCCTGCCTCCTTTTAAGCTTGCAGGGAACTTGTCTTTAAAGGCGGGGTTGGTCAGCGGCGGTGTCCCTAGGCCCCTCCGGTGGGTGACGGCCTGGCGCTGCACGGCGGCCTTGGGCATGGGCTCCGTGGTACCGGCTGAGCGGGCGGTGACCCAGACGGAGCTTCTCACCCGAGCCTCTGCCACTTTCCTCCCGCAGCCCGAGTGGCAGCCCTACTTACCGCAGAACGGAGACAGCATCGAGGTGGCTTTCTCTTACTCCTCAGTGCTGTGGCCTTGGTCGGGCTACCTGGCCATTTCCATCTCCGTCACCAAGCAGGCCGCCTCCTGGGAAGGTGTCGCGCAGGGGCACGTCACAGTCACCGTGGCTTCCCCGGCGGAGGTGGACGTAAGTGCGCGCGCGGGGGCTCGTGGGCAAAGGGGGACGGGCTGAGCGCCGGGTGCTGGGCTGTGAGGCGCCATCCACGGGGTCCCGGCCCGGCGAGCAGGGGGGTCACAACCCACTTGGTGAACGGGGCGTGGGTGGGCTGTTCTGTGCCAGATTTCAGGCTTAAAATGATTGTAAAATGTAAGGCTCATGCTATGCGGTCTAGTCGTTTTTAGGAACCAGGTGCCTTAAATTTGAATTCTGAAACCATCATAATTGAATTCATAATTCTGAATGGAATTAATTATGATACACGAATGTCCTCTCCTACCATTGTTGTGAGAAATTCTTGTGTTCTGTTTGGGTTAAATTGATAAATAGAAATGAGGTTTCCAACCTGAAAACCTGAAAGTTTCTTCTGAGCAAAAGGGACGTTTCAAATTTATTTTTTTCAGTCAAACAGTGGTGCAGAACAGACTTCAACAGTGAAGCTCCCAATTAAGGTGAAGATAATCCCCGCTCCTCCTCGAAGCAAGAGGGTTCTCTGGGACCAGTACCACAACCTGCGCTACCCGCCCGGCTACTTCCCCAGGGATAACCTGAGGATGAAGAACGACCCTTTGGACTGGTAAGTGGCCGCCAGACCCGGCGTCCGTCCCCGCCACTGCCCCTGTCCTTCCTCCGCGGGGCTGGGACAGGAGGAAGGGTGATCAGTGGCAGTGATGTAAGGTCACCTGTGTGTGACCACCCTGGTTCACTCCCAGCATGTCTGCGTTGCCATGCTGAACTTGTCCAGTGCAGGCGGCTGTTGGCCTTTCACTCCCGCGTCACCGCTAGAGTGACGCTTCAGGGCCCTTCACGAAACGTTTCTTTGGCCACACCTTCTCGTCATCTCACCTCCTTCGTACTTGTGCCGCGCAGGTGATTTCCTGTTATCACCCACTTTATGTGCAGCCCGGAGAGAGCTGCTCTGAAAGGCTGACTTTCTTGCCAGTGGACTGGCTCCCAACCCTCTGTGGGCGGTGGAGCTGCTCCTTCAGAAATGCGCCCTGTGGCCACGTGGCTTTTATTCCGAGTAAGGACTGTTGGTTTTAGTGCCGGGCTTCCTGTGTTTCAGGAATGGTGACCACATCCACACCAACTTCAGGGACATGTATCAGCACTTGAGAAGCATGGGCTACTTCGTCGAAGTCCTCGGCTCCCCCTTCACGTGCTTTGACGCCAGTCAGTATGGTGAGGGACACGAGGTGCCGGCGCAGCGGTCCCGCTCAGCTGGGGAAGGGTGGAGGCAGGGTAGGCTCTCCCGTTCCCAGTGGCGGCCAGGACCAGAGAGAGTGGCCCATGTTCCTAGCGTTCAGCTGAAATGAGAAGCTCTCAGAATCACTGGGCACAAGGACGTTTGTACACTTCCGTTGTATTTTTTATTTTAATTAAAAGAAACTCTAGCACAGAATTTTGCTTCTCTTCAGGTGAGTGAATATCCTTCACGTAGAGCATCACCAGTGAAACAGGCCGCAGCTGGCTGGTGTCCGCGTACTGTTGGACCCTGATCCTTTCGTTTTCACCCCCTTGTAAAGCGGAACAGGGCACAGGCCAAAGTACTAGAGGCCAGTGACTGGAGTTGCTGAGGCCAGTGAAGTACCGTGCTCCTGAAACGGTGATGTCCTGTGGGTGCGGCCCTGTGGGCGCAGTGGCCGCTGCTCTCACCCTGGGCTCTCTCCCTCAGGAACGCTGCTCATGGTGGACAGCGAGGAGGAGTACTTCCCCGAGGAGGTGGCCAAGCTCCGGAGGGACGTGGGCAACGGCCTCTCGCTCATCGTCTTCAGCGACTGGTACAACACGTCCGTGATGAGGAAGGTCAAGTTTTACGACGAAAACACAAGGTACTGATACCAACTGGTGTTTGGGTAAGAAAGTTGACTCTCTGGGAATTAAATTCCACCCAGCAAAGACGTAGATTGTTTGGCCTGTCGGTGGTCCTTTCGGCTGTCAGGTTCCGACAAGCTGTCTCTTCGTTGGCAGAGATGTTCTTGAAAGTTGCTTGGGAAGGAAGTAAACTGCTCACTGACCCAAGTTGTGACTGAAAGGGTTCCTTGTCCTTGTTGATCTCAGACCCTTCGGCTTTAAATTTCTGTTGAGTTCTTTTCCGCTCTCCCACCTCTCCTGTACCGAATCTGTGTACATTTAAATGCACCGAGAAGACAGTTATTTAAAGAAACCTTTCAGTAGGTTGGTTATCGCTGAAGCATTCCCGGCGTGTTATGAATATCTCATCCTTACGATGTGCGTTCTTTCTTCAGAGTCTGTGCCTTGAACTTCATGAGCTTCTTTCTGCGTTCACTCATCCTCCCAAGGTCTAGGCTCTACGTGCAGCGCGTTTATGTTAACTGTGGCGCATTTCATGAAATAAGCTGGGCTCTGCTGTATTCTGCACGCTGGCGGCAGCATTTACATTGCAGTGTTAGTGAAACCCAGGCAGTTAGGCTCGTTTTTAGCTGAAACCTAGTGTGGAGGGGCTGGACTCTGGTGGGAGAAGTCAGCTTTGTGACAAAAATATCAGGCGTTCGTGGGACGCTTCAGTCCTTCATTAAGTCCCTGTCATTTTCACAGGCAGTGGTGGATGCCAGACACCGGAGGAGCCAACATCCCAGCCCTGAATGAGCTGCTGTCGGTCTGGAACATGGGATTCAGCGATGGCCTGTACGAGGGGGACTTCACCTTGGCAAACCATGACAGTAAGGTTTTGTGTTTGCTTTTAGTAGGGCTCATCATTCCCAGAGATGGGCAAGCAGAAGCCGTGCGTCTTTGAAGTCTTAAGTTTCAGAGAGAGAGAATGATGTGGTATCACCTAAGTAAGCAGGGTCTGTGGAGAGAACTGCGCAGTGTCTTCACAACGGGCACCTGTAACACTGGGTGTTGACCCTAGTTTTTGTCCAGATTTTTAAAATGAAAATACTTCCTGTGAGCATTCCTAACCCACCTATAAGGTTCTTTGTGTCCTGTATGTTCCCAAATATGTCATACCCCGCCAGGCCCCTGATAATGTATAAATTCTGTTTATGAAATAATGGCATATCTCATTTAAGAAGTCCCCCCCTTTCATTTTGGTGACTAGTTTCTAAAACAGTATCTTGAACGTCACTGTCACTCACTCTGCTCATCCTGACGTAGGTTGTCCCCAAGTCTGACAGCTCCAACTTCTAAAATCTACCCAGAAACCTTAGATTAATAGAATAATTCAGCTTGAATTTTGACGTAATTACTTGCAGTTTGTGTGACCAGGCAATAATAACAGCTCCTCTCTTAAGATGAGAAGCGATTTTAGCAAATACATAACATGCCTGAAGGTTGCATCTGCCGTAGATGTGTAGCTGCTGCTGGAAGCATTCAGTGTTTCTACGTTCTAACTTTGAACGACTGTTTTCTAGTGTATTACGCGTCGGGCTGCAGCATTGCTAAATTCCCAGAAGATGGCATAGTGATAACACAGACGTTTAAGGACCAAGGTAAGGAATGCTATTCGTATACTTTCTGGTTTCCCTTTTTCTTTCTTTCACTTTTTTTTTTTTTTTTTTTTTGCGATACGCGGGCCTCTCACTGCTGTGGCCTCTCCCGTTGCGTAGCACAGGCTCCAGACGCGCAGGCTCGGGGGCCATGGCTCACGGGCCCAGCCGCTCCGCGGCATGTGGGATCTTCCCGGACTGGGGCACGAACCCGTGTCCCCTGCATCGGCAGGCGGACTCTCAGCCACTGCGCCACCAGGGAAGCCCTCTTTCACATTTTTAAATCACAGGGTTTTTTTTGTTTTTTTTAAATTTAACTTATTTATTTTTGGCGACGTTGGGTTTTCGTTGTGGTGCGTGGGCCTCTCACTGCGGTGGCTTCTCTTGTGTTGCAGAGCCCAGGCTCTAAGCCCATGGGCTTCAGTAGTTGTGACCTGCGGGGTCTAGAGTGCAGGCTCAGTAGTTGTGGTGCACAGGCTTAGTTGCACCACGGCATGTGGGATCTTCCCGGACCAGGGATCGAACCCGTGTCCCCTGCGTTGGCAGGCGGATCCTTAACCACTGCGCCACTAGGGAAGCCCAATCACAGTTTTATTACATGTAATTCACCTACCATAACATTCACCCTTTTAAAGTGTGCAGGTCAGTGATTTGTAGTGTTTTCACAAGTTGTACGGTCATCACCACCATCTAATTCCAGAACATTTTCATCACCAGAAAAGAAACCCCGTACCCATTAGCAGTTTGGATTTTTAAAAAATTCTTTGCAGTATGTGTATGGTACTTCAGGTGAGACGTCTTGTGTAATATGTTCTGGGGGATACGTAGAAAGATAAGACAGTCTCTTGCTACTAGTTGGAATATGTGTGTAGTGACCACTGCAAAATAAGTTGAGTTTCCTGCAGGAGAAGAGGGGCTTTTGAATATTTGTAGAGTCTTTTTTTAAGACTGTCTTCAAAGTTGCTTGAAATTTTTGTTACTGTTTATGAATTGTTCTGCTCTGTGATTGCCAGATTACTAAAATTTTAGAAAAATGTTGACTGTGCTTTGAACTTCTTAACTGTGTAAACATAAAGAATACTACAGTCATCTCCTAAAATTCCCTGAAGAATTAGAAGGGAAGAAAGGTCTTTACTTTCAGTTTTGCCTTTTTACTACAGACAGCCATCACCTAGGAAGGCAAACGATGCCATGTGCCCTGGCATCAGGACCTGTGACACTGCTGAGCGCGCTGAGCAAACCAGGGTGCGGGAGGAGCGGGGTGCCCCGGGCTGCCTCTGCCCTTCCCCGAAGGTGGCAGCCGCCCCCATCCTGCCCAGGGTGGTCTTCCCCCAGCCCCTCCCTCCAGAGCCAGGGTTCCGCACCGTGTGTCCCTCTCACCTGTGCAAGGCTGTGAGAGAGTATTCCATGACCAATGTGATGGGCTCATGGAAACTCACAGGATGGACCCGTTTCCTCCTGCACGTTGATATTTTCTGTTTCAGAAGGGAAGGCCCCTTTCCTTGTGAACTCTGTCATTTTCTGTAACTGGAAGTCGGGGACAGTTTCCCTAGTTGAAAATGACAAGAAGTCAGGATTTCTCACTCATCGGTTTGTGTCTGCAACGTATAATTTACTTCTGTGTTGCCTGGAAGGGGCTCTTTCCTTCCGGCCAGGGCAGAGTCAGTCAGTAAGTAGTTCTGTGCTCATAAGGGTATATTTTAACTTTTAGAACATAAATGATCCTGTCTTCCCAGTCCCCTGGCACAGTTTACCGTGGCTTAGTAATTCTTTCTGAGATCCGTTGCTCACAGGGCAGTGTTGCTTCTGGAAACTCCCCTGGGGTGAAGGCCGTGGTCTCCTTGTCACCTTGTTGCCATCTGGTAGCTCCTTTTTTTGTGGGGGGGAGAGGAATCAAAAGGTTTAAGGGTGCGTACTTTATTTTGGTGTTCTGCTAGCCTGAAAATGAAAATTAATTACCTGGGAATCCATTTTAAGGGACTTTTTATTTCCAAAGAGGCTTTAAATTGAGTAATCTTTTGGGTACAAAATAGGAATTTGAAAATCTGGGTTATGCTGGATCAACATTTTGTTTCTATCGTCAGAAACAAAACTCTGTCAAACCACGAGGCCAAGTGGCAATGCTGTGTGCACTTTCCCCACGTCATCTGTTTTACTGATGTGTCTCTCCCTCCCAACAAAGAAAATCTTGTTTTCCCTTCCACTCAGTTCCTAGTGGGATTATACGTAGAGAGCAGGAAGCACTGCATTTTTAGAGCCATAGACATTTTAGGTGTGACCAGCGCAGTGGATGCTGGATCCTGGTGCAGACGTGTGTCGTCTCCAGTGTGCGGGATGCGTTTGCTTCAGGGGTGGAGACTTTGATTATGTGATGGTGTCACCAGCAGTTGCTGCGTGGCATCTGTGTACTGTTGGCTTCTTGATGTGGTCAGCGTTGTAAACTGTGTTGTTTGGGTAGAGGTGAGAAGTCTCTGCTGTTGGAACGTTTGTTACTGTATTTATGAGATTCATGTAACAGATACCTTAAATCTAAACTAAAACTACATGGGCGTATGTTCTAAAAATTAGTTCTGGTTGTCCTAGCTTTCAGGTATTCAGCGTGAAGCCTGGGCACCAGTGTGTATAACTGTGTCCAGAGAGGCACCTGTGTGTTGGGCAGGAGCTGCCCCTCGTGTGTGTGATCCGAAGACATAAGCCTCTCAGCATAATAAGAAGAGACAGAAATTTGGGTTTGGCGGATAAAAAGGGAGAAGCAACGCCTCTAGGATTGTGAATACTATGTACCACCATTTCAAGTGAAAATGGAAAAGGAGGGTTATGGGAATATACGTATACACATACGTGAATTTTGCTACAGCCCAAATTAGTGGCGCTTTACATGTTGTTTTCTTATCCTAAAAGTTGGCACGGTTGTGATTATTGGATTTTGCTGTGGGTTTTTTTTTTGCAGGGGGTCATATGGACTAAATGTCAAGGTAAGGGGCATCTGGAAAATTGTTCATGCCTCCACAGAACTTCTCACTGCTGTTTCTGTTGTGTTGTTCAGGATTGGAGGTCTTAAAGCAGGAAGCAGCGGTGGTTGAAAACGTCCCCATTTTGGGGCTGTATCAGATCCCGACCGAGGGTGGAGGCCGGATCGTGCTGTACGGAGACTCCAATTGTTTGGATGACAGTCACCGGCAGAAGGGTGAGAAGTGCTGGTGCGGCCGCAGCGGGTGGGCCTTGGTGGCTTTGAGTTTCCTGCCCCTTCTCCCCCTTGTCCCTGGACAGGCACCCATGAGATGCTGGTACCTAGGGGGCTGCTCAGGTGAGCCAGGTGCTTGGTATGTTCTGATAGGTATCTCGGGCTGGGTGTGTTTAATGAGCAAAACAAAAGCGCGCTCGCAGGCTGCGCTGCCCTCCCCTCCACGCTCCTTGTGCTGAGGCCAGCGGAGGCCAGGCCCCCCGTGTTTTGGTAGGGGGGCCAGTTTACCCAGTCTCTGCCCTCCCTGGTGTCCCCCTCTGGAGGCTGTGTCCCTGGCACTGCCGCGCAGTCCCCCGCTCAGGTCTGACCCACCCTCTTCCAGCGCTTGGCCCTCATCCCAGACTCGGGAGTTTTGGCCCTCGTGAGGGGTGCTTGGTGTCATCGCTGGGTGTGAGGTGGGGGCAGAGGGGCAGCTCGTCCTTAGCGCCCCTCCTCCTCCTCGGCCTCTCTCGATGCACCTTCAGATCTGGGGGTTTGAACTTGGACGAAGACTTTCATTTTTCTCATTTTGTAAAGGAGGCATGGATGGGTGCAAGTGTTCCGTCTCTTTGCTGGTGAGATGATGAATAGACCAGACCAGAACCTAGTCTTTCAGGTCCCTGAGGATGGGGGGCAGGAGGGGCCGGGGGAGCCGTGTCCTCATGTGCAGGCACAGGGGCCGAGGCGGTTTGGGCGTGAGCTGGGCGTCTGCACTGCGTCCGTCCCCCTCTCTCTCTCTCTCCCTCTCTCGCTCTCTGTGATGTGAAGGTCAAGTGACTACGTTCCTAGCATTTCATATAAATCCATAGAACGTTTTCTTTTAAAACAGTCCAAAGTGAAGGTTAAAGTCATAGTTGAAAGAAGATTAATGTTTTATTTCTACAGAGATTGTCTTTTAAGACCTGAGATCTCTGGTGAGTCTTTATGAAAACTAAATGCCTGAGAGAGTGTCCTGGTCCTTACACTTCCCGTGTCCGCCTGGAGGAGCTTTTGGGGCCGGGAGCACGTGACTGGGTGCTCCGTCGGGAGACAAGTGCTTCCTCCCATCCCCTCTCTGTGACCCTCACCCTGTCTGTGCTGGTGTTGATGGGATGCAGGGAGGTGGCCGCTGGGGAGCAGTGATCCCAGGTTTAAAGTCCGTGCAGCTCCTCGTCTCCTGATAGGAAGGATCCGTCCGTGTGGCCCTGTGACGGAGGCTGTTGAGTGCAGCCCAGCACCTAGACTCCCTGGGATGACCCCCCAAAGTAACGGACCATTTTCAGCTTTCCTGCTCTGTGGTCGGGGCCCACTGACTCAGGGCGGCCCAAACTGCTAGACTTTGTACTTGCGTTGACCTTGAACCCACCTCCCTGTGGCGTGCACCCACTGGTCCTGGCTCTACCCTCCCCTGAAAATCTAGAGCCCTCCACCAGGACAGCCTGCGGGCATTGGCGGGAGCTTTGGTGCCCGGTTCTCCCCTCCTCTCTCGCAGACCCCCAATCTCCAGGCGGTTCTGCTCTCTGGTGGCACGTGGTCCCACCGTCCCTGCAGGAGCCCCTTCTGTCCTTGTCGTGAGGAACCCAGAACCGAGGGGCGCCTGGGGGCTGGGAGTGAGGCCCGCGTGGGCTGCCGATGACCGTGGAGGACGCGAGTGTCTCACGAACAGGGCTGTACTGGGACCCGACCTTCTGCCGTCCCGTTTCCCCCTTGTTCGGGGGCCAGCTTTGATTTTCCTGTAGAGGTCGCTGTAAACAGGTCTAGTTGCTAAGCAGCCTGTTGCTGAACCCGCAGACTGCTTCTGGCTCCTGGATGCGCTCCTGCAGTTCACGTCGTACGGGGTGACGCCCCCCAGCCTCAGCCACTCGGGCGCTCGGCAGCGCCCCCCCAGCGGAGCGCACTCGGTGGCTCCCGAGAGGATGGAAGGTGAGTGGCCGAGGGGGGCGCCCCGCCCGTGTCCTCCCACTAGACGAGACGGGCTCTTGGGAGGAGCGACCGGCAGCTCAGAGCGCTCTCTAGGTACCAGGCGCCAGCCCGGCGCTGCTCACAGGGATTAATCTCTAAGCCCTCTCCGGACCCTTGAAAATAGGTACTTCTTTCCGGTTCACAGAAGAGACAGGGCCCCAGGTCGCCTAGCGGGTGACAGCCCCGTGGCCGCGCAGCCCGGGCCCCCTCATCCCAGGCTGTCCCTGGACGCTCGGTGCGAGCCGCGGTGTGGTTCTGAACTTCCCAGTAGCCGCATTTAAGGACTAAAAAGAAACAGGTTAAGTTCATTGTGATAAAGTTCTTTAGCCCCATTCACCAGAACGCCATTATTTAAACACGTGACACCCACCCTCTCAGTCGCTCAGTAGCCGCACGTGGGCAGTGGCTGCAGTAAGGGACGGCACAGATCTGAGGAGCAAAAAGAATTTTGACGTTTGAAAATGCAGATTTTCTTTTTGGCCTGAGCATTAAATATTTGAAAAGAGGAAGCTGTTTCCACGAAGTGTATCTACAGGTTAGACTCCTCGAGTACAGCCTAGTGCGTGTCATTCCGGTCAGTGGGGTGGCCCGGCCGCTGTCGTGTGTACAGCATGGCCACCTTAGAGGGAGCGGCCGTCCTGATCTGTTCGCTCACTCTCGGCAGCAGCCAGGCCTCACCCCTGAGCACCTGGCAGGCAGGTGAGAAGCGCGTGTAGTGGGCCTGATGGCCGGGAAGTAGACAGACAACTAATGAAGCCTTGTTTTCTCCCTGCATCTTCTTAACAACGATGGCCTGGTTGCTGGCATGGGTGCTGCCCAGGGAACCACCTGCACCGGTACTCCAAGGTCCTTGAGGCCCGACTGGGAGGCCCTGAGCCTCGGGCACTGCCGGCCTGTCCGCACCTGTCGTGGGCCAAGCCACAGCCTTTGAATGAGACGGCTCCCAGGTTGGTGACACTGTGCTTTTCCACTCCTGCTGGGTTTATGATTCATTGCCTTTTTTTTTTTTTTTTTTAGTAAGAGGGAGTGGAATTTTACTGACATCATTATCGAATAATCAAGTCTAGCTTGTCATCTTGTGATGTTTTTTAAATTAGCGAACTCCTGTATTGACCTTTGGAGTTACGCACCCTGGTGGTGTCCTGCATAAAAAGTGCTTTGGGTAATTAGCCTCCCGTTAGGTTTGGTTGGTTCTTGGTTAAAAAGCTTGTGATCTGACAGTGATGTCCCCTTGAAGGGAAGCTCTGGCTCCCTTAGTTCGAGGTTCAGGAGTTGAGCGCTCCCCATGTGTGGTGTTGATTCTGGGCTACAGACAGGGTCTTTCTGTGTCACACCCGGGGGCAGAGACTTCAGGAGTAGATCTGGGTTCTGGCCTGTCGCTGGGCCCGGGGTTGCGTCTGTGCCCTCACCCTGGGCTGAGTGTTGTCCCTGGTAAAGTGACTTCTTAACCATGACAGACGTTGATCTGCCTGCTTCTCCATCTGTCACGCTCAGCCTCTTCATTTCTGTCGTTTCCTTTCAGAAGCCAAAAATTGAGCGACCCCTGCTGTTTCTCTCTTCGGGCAGAAGAGCCAGCTCAGGCCGCTGGTTCCAGGTTTTCTCTAGATCAGTCCCTCTCCCTTTTTCTCTCCTGGGCATGGCTGGCCCCAGCAGGACAATTTCCTGCTCTGGTGAGGAGATTTGAGGTCCTGGTACGTGATGCAGGGGCCCGTGTTCTGGGCGTGGCTGTGGGAGCAGTCCCATCCCCACGGCTCCCGCTTCCCTGAGCGACGCCGCGAGCAGCTGTTTCCCCTCACAGGCAGCGCGCCTCACGCACATGGCAGGTTCCCCTTGAGGGGGGCCCCTGCCTCCTCTCCCCCGCCTAGCCTGCCCACTTTGTTTGGGTCTCCGTGTGTACAGGTGTTGGGGTGTGTGTGGCAGGGCATGGGGGGCCACTGTCTACATTGTGAGCCACAAAGAGGGGGCTGCCTGCAGGAGGCCCCGAAGCTTCCTTTGCTTTACTGTCATGAACAGAAGCACTGAGTGCGCCACTCACTCAGTGAGTGAGGAGCACGACCTCTTCAGAACATGCTCGATGGAAAACAGCATTGTAGATTCATTACGCTCTCTGCTCGTCAGCACTTTTGGTCCTGAAACTTTAATTACTGAGTACTTTTCCATTTCAGTTACCATGCCATCATTTAAAAATTTCTGATAAGATTCCATTTTTACATCTCATTTATTTATAACGTATCATCATCCTAGTATTCACACCAGACTTGGACTCCAGCTGTGGTCAGCAGTTCATGCCCAGTGGACAGTGGCTGTTGGCAGAGGTTCCCGAAACCCAGTTATTCTCCACAGTGCTGCTCGGGGCTCTGAGCATAGATAACAGTATCCTTGGTGTCTGCGTGTCCACGTCGAACAACGTGTCAAGTCCCAGCCTGGCCCGTCAAGGATGCTGCTGCTGTGCGGCTCCTAGACTTTGATTTTCACTGTCGCTCTCAGGAATTCCTCCTTAATACACCCACCAGGCTTCACCTTTACCTCACATCTCACATCTTGTGGAAAATTGTTCTCAGTTCTCATCGCCCTAGATCTAGGTCTAGATTCTGAATCTCTGAAGCGATGCGAGACAGTGTCAGAGAGCCCTGGAAAGGCTCAGGGTCCGTCAACCCAGTGCTGAGTGCAGGCGTCCACTCCGTTCCTGAAACCAGGACTCATCTCCCAGTGTCGTTCCTGGGCGTCAGGCATCTGTACCCAGAGCAGTTGCAGGAATGTCAGACCTGTAAGGAGCCCCTGGGTGAGGCTAACCTCCTGTCCTCCCATCGGGACATTGTGAAATTCTCAAGTGATAATGTGGTGCGCTGTCACCCCGTCTGCTCAACGAGAAGGGGCCACTGCCAGGTAATTAAATTCCAGAACAGGAAAGCACCGTGAGAATTAACATACAGCCCCATGTATATTCACCTGCAGGGTTATAAAGCTTAAATGTCATTGATTCTGTAACTTAGCATTGTCAGTTTAATTTTCAGACTGATTAAACCTGAAAAGTAAAGTTAAATTCCATAAAATAGAACAGGTTATAATACTCGGCATTTTCTGAGCAGTTGCCCGGTTGGACGGGCAAGATAGCAGCTTATCTGCTTCCTGCTTGGAAAACCTCTTCACAGAGCCAGTGTCGGCTTCCTGCTGACCTTCATCCTGATTGCTGATAGAACTGAACTCTTTGCTCTCTCTTGGCCAGAGTGAGAGATGGGCCAGCAATTTCCAAATGAATGAGAAGCGGAAAAATGGCGAATTCATAATTTGCAAGCATATTTCATTCTCTTCCCTGATTTTAGCCACAGCAGTCTTCAGAGTTTCCATTCGCACTCTTTGCTCTAGTCTCTGTGTCTTCCCAGGCTGCTCTTGGCAGTATACCAGCCTCTCTTCCTCGGTTACAAGCCGTATTGGCCTGAATAAGTTCTTCTTCCGATCTTAGAATTAGTGATACGAATAATGGTACCATCGTAGCAAGTCCAGTACCTTTCGCAAAGCACGTGTGTTTCCTTTCTCCTCATTGTGGCCCTGCAGGCTAGGCAGATGCTCATCCCTTTATGCCCATGGTTTCTGTCCACGCCTCGGTTACTCGTGCGTCTGCCTTGTTCTGCCTCCCGAGAGGGGTGTCCTTGAGGACCAAGGTGACGGCTGGCCCCTGGCCCCAGATCTGCCCCCTCTGCCGCCGTGGTTTGCGTCCGTCAGAGAGCAGTGCCCACGGCTCTGCTGCCTCGCGGTGGAGACCGCGCACCTTCCAGCCGGGCCGTGTCCACTCGCCTGCGTCCGCCGGCTCCTTTCAGAGGTTACGTGTAGTTTTCTCTCCTTCTTCTGGGTGACGTTTCTGGTTGAGGCCAAGGCAAGCTCCAGTTGCTAGTGGTGTAAACCCTCTAGAACTGAATCTTGCGTGTACGGACTTCACTTGACCTTCTTATCTCAGGGCCTGGAAGTGTGCTGCCAGTTGTGTTTACCTCAACAGTTGCGTTTAGGTAGACGTAGGTGGGACAGCGTTTCACATTAATGTTTAAATCACTTTCTGTTTCTTAGGGATTGGCTCAGCTTCCTTGGGCCAGTACAGTTGCTTATCTTTATTTTGTTTGAATCCGTTTTCCTGAAGTAATCTTTGGAAACACCAGAAGTTACTCTCCATCGACCTGGACAAGGTGGTGTTACCCAGCTTCCGACCGAATCGCCCTCAAGTGAGACCCTTGTCTCCGGGAGAGAGCGGAGCGTGGGACATCCCTGGAGGTCAGTTCTTCGGCGTTTGACTGCTGGGCTGACTCATACTATGGTTTGTTCAAAAGAGCCTCCCTCTGTCCCCCAGGAGGTGGGCCAGGCCGTTCGTGTCTCTGCCTTCCTGGGACCACGGGGCTCCTGGCTTTCTTCGTGGTACAAATCAACAAGGCCCAAAGCAGACCTAAAGGATTCACTTGCTGTCGTCTCTTAGAAAATTCTACTTGAATTTTCAAGTTAGAATTTCTTTTATGATGTCCGTCTGTCACAGCATGGCCCCTGAACCCTCAACCCAGACGTCTTCACCGATTCTCTGCCCCGGCCCCCCTAGGATGGGACTTCCCTGAGCTGGGATTCTCAGTTAAATGTGGGGTGTCCCTCACCCTAAGTGACATCAAATGGTACCCCCCCCCACCTGCCACATAATGGCTTTGGCCTCACTGGACTGTTGGGGACATCCTTTGTCTGGGATGATTGGACCAAGTCATTCCAGCAGAGTGCGGGCTCCTCTTCTGTTCCGGAAATCCCTGTGCTCTTGCACGAGTTTACAGCTCCCCACGGGCACTTCTCCTGGTGTTAAATTGGCCAGGAACTCCAGGAATCAGGAAGGGGTACCCTGGCCCACGTGGTCCAACCCTGGGGACTTTGTGTGCTGACGTCAAGCCCTGAGGGCCTTGCCTGCAGGTCCCGGGGTGCACTGGTAAAGGTTAGTTCTGGAACCCCAGCGTCGCTCAGTTACAGAGCCGTGTGATAGCACAAACCAGGTTCCTCCGATGGCCACTCTCAGTTCCCGACCACGTGTCCCATCTGCGGGAGGCCTTCCCAGCAGCGGGAGCGTGGCCGGCCGTCCTCACCTTCCCGCCAGGCCTCCTCCCTCTTCCCCCCGTCCAGCTAGTGTAACACCAGCACCTAGACTTGTCCGTCTTCCGTGGTTTTCATGATAACAGAGATAGGGCGCCCCCGTTGCAGATTATCTGCGGCAGCAGAAGGACCACACTGGCTTCTGAGGGAGCACAGGTGGGGAGGCGGGGCAGAGACCTCACACCCCACCCCCTGCCCCAGGAAGCCCTCGTCTGAGTTTGGATGCACTTCTCTCTCATTCTTTCTCTGGGTCACTACGAGCCCAGCTCACCTTGTAGGCACCGAGGCCGCGGCCGTGTGCACTGACCGTCCCCCGCTGTCCTCCTGCAGGGATCATGCCTGGCCGCTACAACCAGGAGGTGGGCCAGACCATTCCCGTCTTCGCCTTCCTGGGAGCCATGGTGGTCCTGGCCTTCTTCGTGGTGCAGATCAACAAGGCCAAGAGCAGGCCAAAGCGGAGGAAGCCCAGGGTGAAGCGCCCACAGCTCGTGCAGCAGGTTCACCCACCAAAGGCCCCCTCGGTGTGACGTCCGCCCGGCTGGCTGTGAGCGCCAGGGAGCGCCTTCGAGGGTGGCCGCGGCGGGCGGGTGGAGCCGTGGGCTCCCGGGGTCCCCCTGCTCGAAACGCTCCGAGAGCCTGTGCTGAGCGGGCCTCCCCTGGCGAGGAGCGCAGGCTCACGGTGTGTCGTGCGGGGCGCGGGGACGCGGGAGGGCCCCGCGGGGCAGCCTGGAGTCAGACCTCGCCCTCGCGACCTCGCCGGCCACCCGTGCACCAAAGACTCGGACGACTTCTAAAGGCTGTCGGGGAGGAAACGGTTCTGACCAAGCTAGACGTGCTCCATAAAGGCTATTTTCTATATTTATTGTTGGGGAAAAGTCACTTTAAAGACTTGTGCTGTATGGAAGCAAAGCTATTTTTTTTTGTCAACAGAACGCAGTTTTTTACTATTACATCATGAGGAACTACACAGATGCCGTGATCTCCTTTTTGATGAGAGGACAGACTGAGATTTTGACAGAAACTTGCACAAATCTGTGAAACATAGCCCTTCGCTTTATTTTTATAAGTACCAACTGCCATCGTGTTTTGTAATTTGGGTCTTGGTTTCACCATTATTGGTGAAGAAAATTTGCAATAAATACGCATTACCTGTATGAAGCTAAAAAGAAGTGTGTAACGGGCTCTTGCCCACCTGTCCATTTCTCTTTGATGACAACCTGGAATGGCTTCTGAGTCAACCTGTTAAGTATTTTTTTGAGATGTAATTCACGTCCTACAAAATTCTGTTTAAAAGTGTACCGTTCAGTGGTTTTTAGTATATTCCAAGGTTGTGCAACCATCACCGCTGTAATTCCAGAGCATTTTCATCGCCTCCAAAAGAAACCTCCTACCCAGCAGCCAGTCAGCCTCTATTCCCTCCTCCCACAGCCCCAGGCAACCACTGATTTGCTGTCTCTATGAGTTTGCCTAATCTGAACATTTCATAAAAAGGGCGTCGTATAATACACGGCCTGGGCGGACTGGCTGCTCTCGTGGAGTGCGTCTTAGTGATTCATCCATGTTGTAGCTGTCTCCGTACTTCCCTCCTTTCTAGACCTGAATGACACTCCGTCGGATGGATGGGTCTTATTTTGTTAATCCTCATTTGATGGACCACTGAGCTGTTTCCACTTTTTGTCTGTCGTGAATGGTGTGGCTTTGAGCATGCATGTACCGTTTCTAGTGTGGACATAAGTTTTCATTCCTGTTGGGTTGGCACCGCGGAGTAAAACCCTATAGTTTTATTCTTCACTTTCTGAGGAACCGCCAAACTCTTGTTCCAAAGCTGCTTCACCATTTTACATTCCCACCAGCAGCGTATGAGGGTTCCAGCTTCTCCACATTCTCACCAACAGTTACTGTTACTCATCTTTCTGACGATAGCCCTCTAGTGGGTGTGAAGTGACATCTCATTGTGGTTTGATTTGCATTTCCCTAAAGATAATGATGTTGAGCATCCTTTCATGTGTTCATTGGACATTTTTATGTCTTCTTTGGAGAAATGTCCATTTCGATCCTTTACCCATTTTTTAATTGAGTTGTCTTTTTATTGACTTGTAAGAGTTCTTCGATAGCTTCCAGATGAAAGTCCCTTATGAGGTACATGACTTACAAATAGTTTCTTTCATTCTGTCTGTTGTCTTTTCACTTTCCTGATGGTATCCTTACAAGCATAAGAGTTGTTCATTTTGATGAAGTCCTTTTTATGTATGAGGGGCCATTTCTGAGAAAGAAACCGTTGCCTAACCCAAGGCAGCCTGTTAAGTGTTAACCCCTGCCTGTACCGTTTTCTGTCCTCCAAGTGGCCAAACATGAGCTTTCGGATCATAGGTGAGGACAGACTGACCGGAAAGGGCAGAGGGCCTGTGGGATCGGGGTGCTGGTGAGGTCCTGCGAAGAGACAGGCCCAGGCCGGGGGGTGAGGGAGGAGCTGCCAACGCCCAACTCTCCCTGCCACGCGCCACCCTTGGCAGGTCACAGTGGTGAGCTGGCAGCTTGTCACCGCCTTCCGTGGCTGCTGTTGCTTCGAGGACTTTAGAGGAATTGCCGAGGGCCCCTCAGAGCTCTCCCCGTCCCCAGCAGCCCGCAGCGTGTCAGCATCTGCAGGCTCACGGTGGTGTGTTGTCCTCAGAGACGGGCTGTAGACCTAAGCGTGGTTTCAACATCTCAGGACGAGGGGCTTGTGCCTCTGGTCTTCCTGCCTGTCCTCCACAGGTGTGGACGGCTCACCACCTGCGCCCAGCACTGTGAAAGCTGGGGTCCAGGGAGTGAGGACACGGCCCTAGTGAGACAGCGGGTCTCGGGGGGCTGGGACTCACCAGAGTGCTCAGGCCACATCTTGGGGATGGCACGTGTTTTGGTCTTTCTAGAGAAGCCTACAATCTGGAGAAGGTGAAATCTCCCAGTGCTTTTTGGTTTTTTTTTCTTTTTTTAAACATCTTTATTGGCGTATAATCACTTTACAATGTTGTGTTAGTTTCTGCTGTACAACAAAGTGAGTCAGCTGTACATATACATATGTCCTCATATCCCCTCCCTCTTGAGCCTCCCTCCCTCCCACCCTCCCTATCCCACCCCTCTAGGGGGTCACAGAGCACCGAGCTGACCTCCCTGTGCTATGCGGCTGCTTCCCACTAGCCATCCATTTTACATTTGGTAGTGTATATATGTCCGTGCCACTCTCTCACTTCGTCCCAGCTTCCCCTTCCCCCCTGTGTCCTCAAGTCCATTCTCTACGTCTGCATCTTTATTCCTGCCCTGTCACTAGGTTCATCAGTACCACTTTTTTAGATTCCATATATGTGTGTTAGCATACGGTATTTGTTTTTCTCTTTCTGACTTGCTTCACTCTGTATGACAGACTCTAGGTCCATCCACCTCACTACAGATAACTCAGTTTCGTTCCTTTTTATGGCTGAGTAATATTCCGTTGTATATATGTGCCACATCTTCTTTATCCATTCTTCTGTCGATGGACACTTAGGTTGCTTCCACGTCCTGGCTATTGTAAATACTGCTGCAGTGAACATTGCGGTACATGTATTTTTTTGAATTGTGGTTTTCTCAGGGTATATGTCCAGTAGTGGGATTGCTGGGTCATATGGTAGTTCTATTTTTAGTTTTTTAAGGAACCTCCATGCTGTTCTCCATAGTGGCTGTATCAATTTACATTCCCACCAGCAGTGCAGGAGGGTTCCCTTTTCTCCACACCCTCTCCAGCATTCATTGTTTGTAGATTTTTTAATGATGGCCATTCTGACTGGTGTGAGGTGATACCTTATTATGGTTTTGATTTGCATTTCTCTAATGATTAGTGATGTTGAGCATCTTTTCATGTGTGTGTCAGTAATCAGTTTGTCTACTTTGGAGAAATGTCTGTTTAGGTCTTCTGCCCATTTTTGGATTGGGTTGTTTGTTTTTTTGATATTGAGCTGCATGAGCTGCTTGTAAATTTGGGGGATTAATCCTTTGTCAGTTGCTTCTTTTGCTCATATTTTCTCCCATTCTGAGGGTTGTCTTTTCGTCTTGTTTATGGTTTCCTTTGCTGTGCAAAAGCTTTTGAGTTTCATTATGTTCTATTTGTTTATTTTTAATTTTATTTCCATTGCTGTAGGAGGTGGATCAAAAAAGATCTTGCTGTGATTTATGTCATAGAGTGTTCTGCCTATGTTTTCCTTTAAGAGTTTTATACGGTCAGGCTTTACATTTAGGCCTTTAATCCATTTGGAGTTTATTTTTGTGTATGGTGTTAGGGAGTGTTCTAATTTCATTCTTTTACATGTAGCTGTCCAGTTTTCCCAGCGCCACTTATTGAAGAGGCTGTCTTTTCTCCATTGTATATTATCAAAAATAAGGTGACCATGTGTGCGTGGGTTTATCTCTGGACTTTCTATCCTGTTCCACTGATCTATATTTCTGTTTTTGTGCCAGTACCATACTGTCTTGATTACTGTAGCTTTGTAGTATAGTCTGAAGTCAGGGAGCCTTATTCCTCCAGCTCCGTTTTTCTTTCTCAAGATTGCTTTGGCTATTCGGGATCTTTTGTGTTTCCATACAAATTGTAAAATTTTTTGTTCTAGTTCTGTAAAACATGCCATTGGTAATTTGATAGGGATTGCATTGAATCTGTAGATCGCTTTGAGTAGTATAATCGTTTTCACAATATTGATTCTTCCAATCCAAGAACATGGTATGTCTTCATCTGTTTGTATTGTCCTTGGTTTTCTTCATCAGTGTCTTATAGTTTTCTGCATACAGGGCTTTTGCCTCCTTAGGTAGGTTTGTTTATTCCTAGGTATTTTATTCTTTTTCTTGCAGTGGTAAATGGGAGTTTCCCTAATTTCTCTTTCTGATGTTTTGTTGTTATTATATAGGAATGCAAGAGATTTCTGTGCATTAATTTTGTATCCTGCTACTTTACCAAATTCATTGATTAGCTCTAGTAGTTTTCTGGTGGCATCTTTAGGATTTTCTATGTATAGTATCGTGTCATCTGCAAATAGTGACAGTTTTACTTCTTCTTTTCCAATTTGTATTTCTTTTTCTTCTCTGATTGCTGTGGCTAAAACTTCCAGAACTATGCTGAATGATAGTGGTGAGAGTGGGCACCCTTGTCTTGTTCTGATCTTAGAGGAAATGCTTTTAGTTTTTCACCATTGAGAATGATGTTGGCTGTGAGTTTGCCATATATGGCTTTTATTATGTTGAGGTGGGTTCCCTCTGTGTCCACTTTCTGGAGAGTGTTTATCATAAATAGGTGTTGAATTTTGTCAAACGCTTTTTCTGCATCTATTGAGATTATCCTTCAATTTGTTAATGTGGTGTATCACATTGATTGATTTGCGTATATTGAAGAATCCTTGCGTTCCTGGAATAAACCCCACTTGATCATAATGTATGATCCTTTTAATGTGCTGTTGGAATCTGTTTGCTAGTATTTTGTTGAGGATTTTTGCATCTATGTTCATCAGTGATATTGGCCTGTAGTTTTCTTTTTTTGTGAAACCTTTGTCTGGTTTTGGTTGCAGGGTGATGGTGGCCTCGTAGAATGAGTTTGGGAGTGTTCCTCCCTCTTCTGTATTTTGGAAGAGTTTGAGAAGGATAGGTGTTAGCTCTTCTTTAAATGTTTGATAGAATTCGCCTGTGAAGCCATCTGGTCCTGGACTTTAGTTTGTTGGAAGACCTTAAATCACAGTTTCAATTTCAGTGCTTGTGATTGGTCTGTTTATGTTTTCTATTTCTTCCTGGTTCAGTCTTGGGAGGTTGTACTTTGCTAAGAATTTATCCATTTCTTCCAGGTTGTCCATTTTATTGGCATGGAGTTGCTTGTAGTTGTCTCTCATGACCCTTTGTATTTCTGTAGTGTCAGTTGTTACGTCTCCTTTTTCATTTCTAATTCTGTTGATTTGAGTCTTTTCCCTTTTTTTCCTGATGAGTCTGGCTAATGGTTTATCAATTTTGTTTATCTTCTCAAAGAGCCAGCCTTTAGCTTTATTGATTTTTGCTATAGTTTCCTTCATTTCCTTTTCATTTATTTCTGATCTGATCTTTATGATTTCTTTCCTTCTGCTAACCTTGGGGTTTTTTTGTTCTTCTTTCTCTCATTGCTTTAGGTGTAAGATTGGGTTGTTTATTTGAGATGTTTCTTGTTTCTTGAGGTGGGTTGTATTGCTATAAACTTCCCTCTTAGAAGTGCTTTTGCTGCATCCCATAGGTTTTGGGTCGTCGTGGTTTCACTGTCGTTTGTCTCTCGGTATTTTCTGATTTCCTCTTTGATTTCTTCAGTGATCTCTTGGTTATTAAGTAGCACATTGTTTAGCCTCCATGTGTTTGTGTTTTTTATGTTTTCTTCCCTGTAGTTGATTTCTAGTCTCATTGCCTTGTGCTTGGAAAAGATGCTTGATAAGAATTCAGTTTTCTTAAATTTACTGAGGCTTGATTTGTGACCCAAGATATGATCTATCCTGGAGAATGTTCCATGTGCACTTGAGAAGAAAGTGTATGCTGTTGTTTTTGGATGGGTTGTCCTATAAATATCAATTAAGTCCATCTGGGCTAATGTGTCATTTAAAGCTTGTCTTTCCTTATTTATTTTCTGTTTGGATAATCTGTCCATTGGTGTAAGTGGGGTGTTAAAGTCCCCCACCATTATTGTGTTACTGTCAATTTCCCCTTTTATGTCTGTTAGCATTTGCCTTATATATTGAGGTGCTTCTATGTTGGCTGCATAGATATTTACAATTATTATATTTTCTTCTTGGATTGATCCCTTGATCATCATATAATGTCCTTCCTTGTCTCTTGTAGTAGTCTTTATTTTAAAGTCTATTTTGTCTGACATGAGAATTGCTACTCCAGGTCTCTTTTGATTTCCATTTGCATGGAATATCTTTTCCATCCCCTCACTTTCAGTCTATATGTGTCCATAGGTCTGAGGTGGGTCTCTTGTAGGCAGCATATATATTGGTCTTGTTTTTGTATCTGTTCAGTCAGTCTGTGTCTTTTGGTTGAGGCATCTCCCAGTATTAATGTTGGCAAATGACTGAATTAGAGTAATTGTTTGCCAACCAGAGTGTTTCCCCAGCTCCATCGTAAGGCCATCCTAATGCTGCAGCCACGTGGTTGTGAAAGGAGGTTCCAGACCTCAGAGCATTGAGCTGGGCACCTGGCCTCCACATCTCCACATTGGCTGCAGGCTTTGGGTTCGCCTGTCTCTCTGGGGACGTGGATACCTCGTGCCCTAAGGATGGAGCTTGGGCCTGGGGGCTCCTGTTCCCACTTGCTGGGAGGACCCCTCGCCCAGCCTCCGAGGTCTGCACCTACACGCGCTACTTGCTTTGGGGACCAGGTCTCCTGCTCCCGCCCCTTCCCCGTGCTGAGGCTGGCCACTGCCCCACCTGTTCTCCAGAGACCAGCGTCCCCTGTAGCTGGTGCAGCCCCTGGCCCAGCCTCGAGTGCTCTTACAGCAGCCTCGGTGCACACGTGTGTCCTCTGGGTGTGGGCATTTGTAGGGTCATGTAGTTGGGACAGGACGAGGACAGAGATGGACAAGCATGGATCCCCAGGGCACACGTTGAGGCCAGGTCGACACCACAGGAGAGTTGTTAAGGAACCGAGAGCTGTAGGGCCCTGTGGTTCCTGCCGCTGCAGAGGGAACCCTGCGTGGGGGTCAGGTACAGGTGCCGGCCAGCAGCAGCCCAGTGTGAAGGGAGCATCAGAGCAGCACCGAAGACACAGGACCTGCCTGCCGTGACCAGCTGGGTCACACGTGTGTGGATCCTTCCCTGTCTGCCAGCCAGAACGGTCCCACTGGGAGCTGCCTGCCTTGGGACAGTCAGGGAGGAGGGAGGTGGTGAAGCAGCAGTGAGACCGAGCTGGAGAGAGGGCTTCAGTGAGGCGAGCGTACGCAGGAAGGGGATCGGCTCTCCGGAGGACCAGTCAATGGGGTCTGCTGTGTGCTGCCCTGTCCGAGAAGGGAGGCCTTGTCGGGTGTTGCGGTGGGATACCCAGGTCCACCTGCGAGGAACATTCCAGAGAGGGTGTCACCATCCAGGGCTCTGGCTGTAGACTCAGACCGCCTGGGGTCCATCCAGTTCCCACCTGGCCACTTGCTGCCCGTGGGCCTTGTCTGATATCGGACAGCCCCGGGCCGGACACAGAGCCAGTGCTCAGTTATGTCACCTGTCCCAGTGGCGGGTCCCTTCGCGGTGACAGATGTGCCTAAGGCCTACTCACTGCTTCAAAGATCCCCTTTCATGCCCTGGCGTGAGCTCTCATTGTTCTAGGGAACAGCTCTATTTCTTTTAAAAACCAGAAACCAGAGGAGCCAACCCAGCACAACCACAGATAGGCCTGGGAGTCCTCGGGGGCCCTGGGGTCCCCGAGGGGCCGGGCATGGGGGTTGGGCCCCAGGGCTGGTCCCTAACCGTGCTCATCTAGCCAGGCAGCGCCCTGACTGCGTGGAGATGGGCCAGAAATAAGGGCAGCAGGACACCTGCAGCTGCCCACCCTTAGCCCCGCCCTGTGTCGGCAGATGGGCCTAGCTAGGGTCTTCCCTGCACATGCACTTAGCCCTCCGGTGCCTGGGCACGAGGACCCTGAGGACCTCCCACCAGAACAGGTCTGCGCTCGGTGAACCTGCCCTGAACAACCGTGCTACCTCTGCTGGGCACACCGCTGGCCTGGTGTTGGCAAAGTCTGCGTGCACTGTGGGATCTGGGGTCTCAGCGGTCCCGTGATGCTCTCACCACCATTTCTCAGATGAGAAAACCGAGATGGGACCAGCATTCCAGCCCAGGTCTGGCCTGGGCCTGAGCTCTGAGCCCCCAGTGCCAGACTGCTTCCCCTTTCCTTATGGCGGGAAGGATGCCCGCTTGCTGGTAATAATCGGGGTGCTACTTAGGTTCACCGGCTAGAAAATGAAGTGAGTTAAGGACTCATATGTAGAGTAAGTAGAAGTTATCAGAGAAAACAATCTTTTGATTTTTTTTTTTTTTAACCGTGGTGCCTTTAAGAGGATATTAACACGCAGAATGTTGGTTTAATTTGCTGGTAACATGAGGGCAGTGCAGGCCAGTGTCGTAAACATAGATTCCGGGGCCTTGCTGTAGACTTAACTAAATCATATGCTCCTTGGGAAGAGCCTAGAAATCTGTTTTAGAAGCTCCCCAAGGTAAACAGAATAACCATACAACCCAGCTATTCCACTCCTAGGCTAGACCCAGAGGAATTGAAAACAGGTGTTCAAACAAAAACTTGTACGTGAAAGTTCATAGCCGCGTGAGTCACAGTAGCCAAAAGGTGGAAACTACCCAAGTGCCCATCAAATGGATGAATGGACAACAGCAGCAGGACCATCGGACAGTGGGATACTGGTCAGCCCTAAGGGAGCCGAGCTCTGAGCACGCTGCAGCGTGGAGGCGCCTCGCAAACATTACACTCATAGCGTAGGGTTCCATCTGGGTGAAATGTCCCGAACAGGCAAATCCAGAGACAGGAGGCAGGTTAGTGCTGCTTCGGGCTGGGGGACGGGAGGATGGGGCGTGCCTGCTGGTGGGGACGTGCTGGGCTGTTGAAAATGTTCTGGAACTAAGCAGTGGGGACAGTTGCACAGCATTATGAGTGCATGAAATGACACTGAACTGTACACTTGGGCTAAAATGGTGAATTTCATGTAATTTTACCAGAAAACCCCCACACAGATCTCCCCAGAGGATTCCTGTGAACAGGCCAGGTGGGAGCCCCCGGCTCGGAGACGGGGAGAGGCTCTCCGGCCCCCCAGACCACACGTCAGCATGGATCTGGGGTCAGGATCCAGGTGACCGGGATCCAGCCCACCCGCTGCCCTGCGACGCAGCCTCCAGCCTGGCCGCTGATGCCTCCCGGGTGCCTCTCCCTTTGGATGCAGTGGGTGGAGGAGGGTCAACCTTAAGACTGTGTGAAGATGCTCCCTTTCACTTTCCAATCCAAGGTGCAGTTTTCTTTTCCTTCACCCAGAGTGGGACTCCGGATCATGACTCAGGGCACCAGCCCTTCAAAAAGAGGGAGGGGACAGCAAGGCCTGTGCCCTTGGGCTGTGTGTCACCTGGAGGCCCCCAACCTCTGCTCTGCGGCTGAGAAAAGACCCCTGCTGTTGAGCTTGGGGGTCGGGGGGTGGGGACGCCATGGGCCTCCAGCCTCTCAGAGGTGCCCGACCACCAGCACTCAGGATGCTGGGTGTGTCCGTTTCCTGCTGCCACTATAACCAGTTACCAGGAAGCAGTGGCCTGAAACAGCACATTTATCCCCTGCAGCTCTGGAGGTTGGAAGTCCAAAATCAGTCTCGTGGGGCTAAACTCAGGGCTGGTTCCCTCCGGAGGCTCCAGGCGAGAACTGATTCCCAGGCCTTCTCCAGCTTCTGGAGCCGCCCGCATCCCTTGGCCGGGGGGCCCCTCCGCCACCTGCAGTGCACACCACTCCACCCTCTGCTTCTGTCCGCACATCTCTGCCTTCTGACCCTGCTGTGTCCCTGTTCTCGGGACGCTGTGATGGTGATCAGGGCTCACCGAGACCACCCCGGATACTCGCCCCGTCTCAAGGTCTGCACTTGCTCTCATCTGCAGAGTCCCTTTGGCCAGGTGACACAGCCGTAAGTTCTGGGACGAGGGTGAGGACATCTTTGGGAGCCGCCAGTCTGCCCACCGACCGCACTGGGTTCCTGCCCCTGCGCTGGCGCCTGTTCCCCGCAGAGGTTAACTGTCGCCCTGAAAGGTCCACGAGCTCCTGTATCTGCAGACCTGAGGCTTTATTCCTGCAGCGTCTGGTTCACTCCACCTTTCATTTATTAAGCCGCCTTTTGAGGGCCAAGCCAGGGCACAAAGCTGAAGGCGAAGCAGTCCCTGCTTGACCTTGTCCTAGGCAAAAGCCCTAAAAATTCTAAATGGTAACCACGTGTGTCATTCTGTGTGCCCCCTGAGGGAGTATCTTGCAGGTTCAGTTAACAGTTTTGGGCCTGTGGCTGCCTTGACAGCTGGCCCACAGGTGGTATTTGCTTATTGGGATCAAAATATGAAACTAGAAACAAGAAAATACTGTCAGGAGTGCCAGCTAGTTTCATTCGTCAAGCCCTTGTTGGGGCTCCACCCCGTCTCAGCAGGCGGTAGCCAGCGCTGTCCTCTGCTGCGTGCTTCCGGGTTCCCGTGCCTTCTCCCCGTCACCTTTGCGCGCCTCCCCTCCCTGCCCAGGCCGCGCAGGCCTCAGACCTCTTCCCTCCTGATCCCACAGATGCCCCGAGGCCCCGGCCTCCGCCGAGGCGGGCTTGAGGTTTGCGCGCTTGCCCGCCCTCCCAGTCACATGCGCGCTCCCTTGCTTCTGAGGGCCGAGCCGCGGCACAGAGCTGCGGCTGAGCAGGCGCCCGTGAGCCCAGGCGCACAGGGCTGCCCTCCTCCTCCACACGGCACGTGAACACCTCTTGGGGAGCGTTATAGAAAACCGGGTGCCCGTCCCGTCCAGACCAGCTTCATCCGAAGCTCTGAGGCTGGGCCTGGCGCCGGCACTTTGAAGGGTCCCTCGGGTGTTGTGCAGCCCAGGTTCAGAACATTGTCCTAGAAGCTCAGAGGCCGGCGGAGGTAGAAACACAGACATGTACAGGTCATGGGATTTGCCCCGTGCGTATTTCGACAACAGCCACCCTCTTCTCACTGGGTCCTCCTAAGGGCCCTGCAGGGTAGACAGGGGCTGTTACCACCATTTCGCAGGGGACCGCAGTGAGGCCTGGATCTCAGTCCTAGGCACTCTGGTTGCTGAGACCATCCCACCCCCCGACCCCTGCCCCGGTCTGTCTTCCAGAACTTTCTAAAGGGTGAGACAAAGGTTTGCGGAAATGAGCTGAGGTCACTTTCTCCCTGAAGTTCCCAACCTGTCAGGTGACCAGTACTCTGTGGGGACGGAAAGGAGGGAGCCTGGAACATCCCTTGACGGGTGCTCCCATGGGGGGCGACACGGGGCCGTGTGCGGGGCGCTGGGCTGAGCCCCGTGTGCCACCAGGGCTGCCCACCCACACAGATGGGGCCCCACAGGCACCTCTCCTCCCCGGGAAAGGTCACACAGCCCTGAGACTGGGTAGAGTGCAAATCAGAATTAAGAAGTTTCCCCCATTGAGTGGAATTTCACAGCCCAGTGGCCAATTTCTAAGTCATGCACGTTAATGGGCAGCTAATGAGGGACCCAGGCAGGACAGGGGCGTGCCCCGGGCGCCCAGAGCCGAGATTAAGGAGTACAAAGCCAGGCCGCTCTGAGAGCCCTTGATCTCCTTTCTCACTGCCTCGGGGTGGATGTGGGGGGAGAGAGCCATGTGAATTCCGGAGGGGTGCGCCCCAGCCCCTCACATCCTGCCGTCTGCTCACCCATTCATTCCCTCCCTTACGTGTCCGCTCCCATCCGGGCACCATCAGGGTCCGGGCGGGTGCAGGAGCCAGCGTGACACTGCTGGCTTTGAGATGACACACGCTCGGGGCTGATTTCCGGACCTGGTCCTGGCCAGCGCTCACGTTTTGAGCCTCTTGCCCCACCCGTGGGAGCCCTGCGCCCTACGGACCGCGGTGACAGCCCTCGGGATTCAGGGTGAGGACGCGGGGAGCGCTTGCTGCCAGGCCTGGGTCACGGTGAGCACCGCTCACGTGGTCGCAGCAGAACTGCGGCCCACGACGCCGTCCAGCTCCGGGCTCCCTTCCCCCTGGAGCCCGTGGACAGGCTGGCCACTCAGCAGATGGAGCAGAGCCCGCAAAGTATAAACGGAGCCGCTGCAGGGAGGTGGCACGGTCAGGGGCTTGAGACCATACGAGCAAAGCCTTTGGTGCTGATCTCGACGGAGAAGGACTGATTGATTGGGGGAGGCGTTGAACATGTTTAACTTACAGCAGCGGTTCTCAGGAAGGGGCCCCGGACCCCCTGAGTCAGAAACGCTGGTGATGGATCCCACACTCGGTGTTTTAACGTGCTCTCGGGGGGATTTGAGCCTGGGCGCCAGGAATAAACAGGTTCACCTCTGAATTCAAGATCCGACCTTCACGGGGCTGTGTTTTCCGGGTTGGGACTGTTTCCAGAATTCTGCCGTCCTAGCCGACTGTATCGGGTCGGAGAGGTAGTCTCTACTCAAAGTGTGGTCCAGGGACCGGCAGCACCCACCTCCGCAGAGCTCGCGAGAAACGTGGAGTCTCGGCTCCACCCCAGGTGGGACGAATCAGCACCTGCCTGTTAACAAGACCCCAGATGATTCCCGTGCTCGTCTGCCTGGGGCGCCTCTCCAGAGCCTTTGCATGCGTGAGTCCACAGCACCCCCCCACCAGGAGGGCACACGGACCCCCTTCTGCAGATGGGAAACTGGGCTGGCCCCCCTAGCAGGTGACAGAGTGGGGTAGGGGGCCTGGGAGGCATCCTGGGAGGAGGCGTTGGAGATGGTGAGATTGGTGCAGCCTCCCTGATTTCTCCCAGCTGAGCTCCCTCTAACCCTCGGGGCGGCCGGGAAGGCCCCGCCCCCGGGAGTCTTAAGACGCCTGTGCTCAGGCCAGAGGTCTCAGAAGCTACGAGTTCTTGGGACGGATGGCCTCGACCTCTTGTCCGTGTCCTCCTAGGTTCGGGGACGTGACCCCAGCACGTGCTCTCTAGGGCTCCCATAATTCATGACGCATTTGCCCACCCCGGTGGAGCTAGAGCCTTCCTCGCACCCCTCTGGGTCCTCTGAATTGAGCCCGAGTCCCCGTCCCTGATGGCCCAGGACTGTCTGTCGCCTTGAAGATTGGACTTGGTGGTAAGGACCAGGGGCTGGAGCCCCTTCGCTGTGGAAGTTGGCCCGGAGGCGGGTGGGTGGGTGAGAACAGCCATGGGGAGGAAGGAGTTGGGGATTTGGAACAGAAAGGGGGTGGGAGGGCAAGAGTGCCCGTAAACAAGGTTGGAAGTTGCGGGGGCAGCGTTGGTTGAGGGGAAAGGCGTGCGGACCGGAAGCTGGGGGGCAGGTGGTTGCATAACGCTTTGGAAAGGGGGGAGCAGATGCTCGGGAAGAGGGGTACAGAGGCTGGGGTGGTTGGGACGGGCGTCCTGGCTCTGGCTGGATCGAGGAGAGATGCATCCCAGCTGGAGAAGGGTGCCGTGAACTGGGAAGACAGTGCCGGGACCACCCCCTCTCTCTGCCCCTCTGCTGCTTCTAGCCATGGAGGGACAGACCCCAGGAGACAGAGGCCTTTCGGAAAAGCCGGTCCCCACGGCCGCCCGCCCCAGTCTGTCCTCACTGGGTGCTGTCTTCATTCTCCTGAAGTCCGCGCTGGGCGCCGGCCTGCTCAGCTTCCCGTGGGCCTTCCACAAGGCGGGTGGGGTGGCCCCCGCTTTCCTAGCGGAGCTGGTAAGCCCGTGGAGAGCATTTTGAGGCGGGGGGCGGGTCTCCGGGGGCAGGTAGGAGCTTAATTTTATTTTTCCAGCTAGAGCCCTGGGTGTTGCTTTTGCAGAGCTGCCTGTCTCCGACATTACTCCTGTGGCTTTTGCTTTTCCATCCCGCTCAGCTCACGAAGGGAGGAGGGAATCCCCCTGTAGACCCGGGGCCGAGAGCATCCTCTAGGCGGCTGAGGGCCTCGCAGCCAGGGGGGGTGTGGGGGAGGGGGGAAGGTAGAGGCGCGCTGGGTCCCTGCGGAGCGCTCGGCACCTGTAGCCAATCAGCGCTCCAATGCGGAGCGCTCAGCACCTGTAGCCAATGAACCTGGCCTTTCAGCTGGGGAGGCGCTGTCTCCGAGCCACGGATTGACTTCTCTTGCCTCCCGGTCTCGGCTCCCCAGTGAAAGCCCAAATCTCGTGGGCAGGTCAGGACTGAGGCCGCCGTGACGCCTGCAACCTGCACGGTGTCAGCGGTGTTTGGCCAGTTCTGCTGGCTGCGTGTGGATTCTGAACTCTCTCCCTTCCCAGAAAGTTCCAGGGCCCGACCATCCTCAGCGGGAAAGAGCTGCTGATTAGCACAGCTTCATGTTATTAGCAATCTTTTCCTTGAGCTGATAGGAATCAGGCATTTCGTGGTAAGCTCTTTGACGGGCATCATCTCGAGTGCTTTTTTCTGGCAGCTGGCTGATAATGGCCCCATTGGTGGGCCCACGGGGCCTTTCTTGTCCTTCTGGAAGCTGCCACATGCTGCCCTGTGTAGTGTCTGGTGTAACCCGTGCCACCCCCATGCTGGCTGAGCGCCTGTCTGGCGCCGGGTGGCTGAGACGCTGTGGTCTCCGTCCTTGTGAAGCTTGTTCTAACAGGGAACTCGGACAAGATTCAAGAAGTCGAATGACACAGTGTCAGATGGTGGGCAGCGTGACAGGTGGGATGACATCTGTGGGAGCGGGAGGGGGGCAGAGAAGCCCCCGCCAAGGCGGCGCTGAGCCCCAGCTTGTCCAGGTGCATGTGACAGGCAACAGAGCGGTGTTTGGATGTGTGCGGCAGAAAGGCCGCGCTTCCGGAACAGGGAGCCCGACCTCCAGCCGCAAAGGGTCAGCGATAGAGTGGATGGGGCCCGCGTGGGGGTCCGTGGTCAGGCACAGACGGACCAGTCCGAGGACGCCAGGCAGGGTGGAGGCAGGGACGTGGCGCGCCGCTCCGCAGGCTCCGTGCGGGGTCTCCTGGCACCTTTCGGGAGTACGGATGCCGACTGCCCAGGTTTGGGTGGACCTGAGATCGTGCATCTCTGACAGGCTCCCGGGTAACACGGATGCCGCTGGGGTGGCTTGCCCTTTGCACAGGATGGTCTAAAGATCCCATCTTGGGCAGGCAGCCAGCCTTCAGGAGAGGACCCCAAATATGAATAAGTGGAAACTCCCGACAAGGGGAGAAGTCAGGCTGGTACTTAGCAACTCCCCCATCATTTCCTGACTCTCCCCTCCTCTTAGCCAGTGAGACTTCTGCCCTGTCCCCAGGTACAAGGCCTCCCCTTGGACGGGAGGAATGTTTAAAGATGCCTGCCACTGGGAGGTCAGTGGTGTGAGGTTTTAGGTCTCTAATGGCCCCATGAGCACCGGAGGGTTAATGAAATTAATGAGCCTGGACCCTCCTCGGCTCCAAAGAGGGGCGCGCCTGGCCAGGGGCTGTGAGGGCTCTTTGCTCACTGGCTGCTAAGAGGCTCAGGGACCGTCTCGAGGGTCAGCTACTCCTGCGTGGACAGCTCACTGCGTTAGCAGAGACGTACCTTCACTGGCAGAGGCTCAGCCTGACCCCCCACCCCCCTTCCCTTCCTTTCATCCCCAAATACCTACGAAGCACCTGCTGTGTTCTAGGTGCTTTTCTGGGGCTAAACGGTAAGCAAAAAAGACACGATCCCAGTCTCCATGGAGCTTAGAGTCTGGTGGATGAGCGAGACAGGGATCCTCACGCTGTATGCACTGTTGTGAGGCTGTGGCCTCAGGCCCCTGGACCCAAGGACCACAACCTGGGCAGCGTAAAACAACAGAAGTGTATTCTCTCCCAGTCTTGGAGACTGCAAGTCCGAACTAATGTGTTGGCAGGGTCCTTCCCGCCTCTCCAGCTCCTGTGGGCTCCAGACGTTCCTTGGCTTGTGGCCATGTCGCTCCAGTCTCTGCCCCATCGCCACACAGCTTTCTCTGTGTCTCCTCCTCTTCTGTCTCTTATTAGGACACTTGTTGGATTTAAGGCCCGCTTGGCTTATCCAGAATGACCTCATCTCAAGATCCTTAATTTCACCTGCAAAGACCCTTTTCATTTAATTACATGTTCATTATTTGCATCTGCTAAGATGACTGCCAGTAAGTCCCTTTCACAGGTTCTGGAGATGAGGATGTAGACAAACCTTCTGGGGGATTCCACCCACCATGGGGAAAAAAGTGGGCCCACGAAAGGTGTGGTTCTGCCAGAAGCGGAGGGTTGAGCCCACCTCGGGGGTGAAGTGTGGGGAGGCTTCCTGGAGGAGGTGACCTTGGAGAGGAGGGGGGAAGAGTAGGAGTTCCCCAGGTGAGGGACGGTGGTGGAGGCGGGGAGGGTGGTGTTCCAAGCAGAGGAACCGGCACGGGCAGAGGTCGAGGGGCTGGAGGGAGCATGCATGTTCCTCCTGGCTCTGAACTTTCAAGTTTCTCTCAGGCGGTCCAGTTTGACGTTCCCTTCAGCAGCCCTAGTTGTGGCTGCTGGCGTAAGAACGCGTCTGCTGTTCAGGGGCACGAACTGTGTGTGAAGACGGCCGTGCTGGCTCTCCCCGGGCTTCTTAGCTGAGTACCTCACAGCTCCTGCATTGTTCTCCTCCATAGAAGTGTGGGAGGGGCGTTTGGCCGTGGAGACCAGGTCCAGCTTAGGGACAGGTAGCCGTCCATCCTGGAGAGGCTCAAAAACATTTAACTACGTGGGGCAAGTGGGTCTCAAATGCATCAGTTGAGGCGGGGGTGGGGGGGCGGCGGGGGGGGTTGTCGAGTGGCGCAGATGATTTGGAAAGCAGTTTGTAAGAAATTGCTAGAGTCGAACACACATCTACCCTGACACCCAGGAATTCCACTCCTCGGTGTGTGTCCAGGAGAAGGAAACGTGGGTCCTCAGAATGACTTATTCTAGAATGCTCAGCTCTTCATTCATAGTAGCCAAACACGAAGAACAGCCCAGATGTCTGGCATCAGGGGATTGGATCAACCAATTGTGCTTCTATCCACACAGTGAAATAGCACTTGGCAAAAGTAGGAATAAACTTTACCGATGTGCCCGATAGGGCTGGCCCTCACGAACGTTACCACTCAGTGGAAAGGCAGATAAGAAAATGGCTAAAAGCAGAAAAGTATTAGTGGTTCTTTTCTGGGCACGGGGACAGAAAGTGACTGGGAAGGGACAGGAGGGAACTTCGGGGACGTGGTAACATTTTGTGTCTTGGTAGGAGTTTAGGTTGCGCATGTACGTTGGTTATACCCCTTCCAATGATATACTGATATACACTTAAGACTGCATTTCACTGTGTGTAAATTTTATCTTACGAGAGGGACTGTAAACACACATCAAGCTCTAATTAACGATACGCATGCCCAAATCTTTAGGGGGAAGTATGCTAATTAATATCCACAACTTGCCTTGAAACGTACCCCCAAGTTTAGATGGACACGTGGACGCACGGTAGAGATGTGATCAAATAAGCCCAGTGATCTGCTCCTAGTAGAATCTAGGTAGTGGGTACAGGGCGTTCATTGTGAAATGCTTCCAACTTTCCTAGATGTTTGAAAATTTTTCAGTGTTGGAAAAAATTCCAACAGAGCACTGGAGAGGGAGTCTGGAGAATAAGAATGACCATCATTTCTTGAGCAGTTACCACGTGCCAGGCACTGAGCTGAGTGAGTTATGTGCTTTGTTTAAAGCAAATGCATCGCAACTCTCCAGTAAGGTAGATGGTATCATCCCCATTTCACAGATGGGAAAACAGAGGTTGATGGTGGGCCTCATGCCACAGAGCAGGTGAGTGGCAGAGTTGGAATTGAACCCAAGTATGCCTGCTTCCTAACCATCATGCTTTATGGCTCTCCACCTGCAACGCATGTGATCTTAGGAAAGTAATTTAAACTCTGAGTTTCTGATGCCTCATTTGTCCAACTGGTGTGGAGTGGTGGGAACCCCAGATTCACAGACGTAGAGCCAGTGCGGCCTCTAGAATCCACCTACTTTGCAGCTCTGGTTTCAAGGGAGGGGGCTGGTCGCTTGTCAGGTAGAGGCCCTAGGCTGTAGGCAGCCGTGGCCTCTGCAGGTGAGACCCGGAGGGAGTGGTATCAGCATCCTGGGGGGCGGTTGTGGGCACGCCTGGCCCCATGGTCTTGTTCTGCAGGTCTCCTTGGTCTTCCTGATCAGTGGGCTGGTCATCCTGGGCTATGCCGCCTCCGTCAGTGGCCAGGTCACCTACCAGGGCGTGGTCGGAGGGCTGTGTGGCCCCACCATCAGGAAGCTGTGCGAGGCCTGCTTCATCGTCAACCTGCTCATGATCTCCGTGGCCTTCCTCAGGGTGATCGGGGACCAGCTGGAGAAGTGTAAGTACCTGCCCTGGAGTCAGGGCTGACCCCGGGTGTGGAGCTCGCGTCTCCCGAGCTCCTGGTGGATGAGCAGGACGTTGGCTTGGGCCCTTGGCAGGCAGCGGAGGCCGAGACCACTGCCAGCTCCTAACGTCGTGGCGAAGGGAGGTGCAGGGTTAGCAATTACCACCACAGTGAGGGTCAAGGAGCTGGAGGGAGCTGTGCTGGGGATCCAGGGGGGACTCATTCTACAGACGGGGAGGCGGCCCCAACTGCAAAGACACCCCTGTGAGAGAACCGGCAACACCTTGAATTTGGGGATGTCAAAGACGCTCAGCCCCATGCTCCCTTGGCCTCTAGTCCCCCTACTAACAATTTCCCTCTAAGCACCTCTTTGGCTGCGTCTTACCGATTTTGATATGTTCTGATTTCACTTTTAATCCATTCAGTCCTTTGCTAGTTTTTGCTATGATTTCCTATTTGACTCATGGGATGTTTAGAATTGTGTGATTCAATTTCCAATTATTTGGGAGTTTTCTAGTTGCCTTTTTGGTTTCTTTTTTTAAAAAATTTTTTTATACAGCAGGTTCTTATTAGTCATCAATTTTATACACATCAGTGTATACATGTCAATCCCAGTCTCCCAATTCATCGCACCTCCACCCCCACCCCCACCACTTTCCCCGCTTGGTGTCCATACGTTTGTTCTCTGCATCTGTGTCTCAATTTCTGCCCTGCAAACTGGTTCATCTATACCCTTTTTCTGGGTTCCACATATATGCGTTAATATGTGATATTAGTTTTTCTCTTTCTGACTTACTTCACTCTGTATGACAGACTCTACATCCCTCCACGTCCCTACGTATGACCCAATTTCGTTCCTTTTTATGGCTGAGTAATACTCCATTGTATATATGTGCCACACCTTCTTTATCCATTCATCTGTCGATGGGCATTTAGGTTCCTTCCATGACCTGGCTGTTGTGAATAGTGCTGCAGTGAACATTGGGGTGCATGCGTCTTTTTGAATTACGGTTTTCTGTGGGTATATGCCCAGTAGTGGGATTGCTGGGTCATATGGTAGTTCTATTTTTAGTTTTTTAAGGAACCTCCATACTGTTCTCCATAGTGGCCGTATCAATTTACATTCCCACCAACAGTGCAGGAGGGTTCCCTTTTCTCCACACCCTCTCCAGCATTTGTTGTTTGTAGATTTTCTGATGATGCACATTCTAACCTGTGTGAGGTGGTACCTCATTGTAGTTTTGATTTGCATTTCTCTAATAATTAGCGATGTTGAACAGCTTTTCATGTGTTTTTTGGCCATCTGTATGTCCTCTTTAGAGAAAGTCTGTTGAGGTCTTCTGCCCATTTTTGGATTGGGTTGTTTGTTTTTTTAATATTGAGCTGCATGAGCTGTTTATATATTTTGGAGATTAATCCTTTGACCATTGATTCGTTTGCAAATATTTTTTCCCATTCTGAGGATTGTCTTCTCGTCTTGTTTGTAGTTTCCTTTGCTTTGCAAAAGCTTTTAAGTTTCATTAGGTCCCATTTGTTTATTTTTGTTTTTATTTCCATTACTCTAGGAGGTGGATCAAAAAAGATCTTGCTGTGATTTATGTCAAAGAGTGTTCTTCCTATGTTTTCCTCTAAGAGTTTTACAGTGTCCGGTCTTACATTTAGGTCTCGAATCCTTTTTGAGTTTATTTTTGTGTATGGTGTTAGGGAGTGTTCTAATTTCATTCTTTTACATGTAGCTGTCCAGTTTTCCCAACACCACTTATTGAAGAGACTGTCTTTTCTCCATTGTATATCCTTGCCTCCTCTGTCATAGATTAGTTGACCATAGGTGCGTGGGTTTATCTCTGGGCTTTCTATCCTGTTCCACTGATCTATATTTCTGTTTTTGTGCCAGTACCATATTGTCTTGAGTACAGTAGCTTCGTAGTATAGTCTGAAGTCAGGGAGCCTGATTGCTCCAGCTCCGCTTTTTTCCCTGAAGACTGCTTTGGCTATTCGGGGTCTTTTGTGTCTCCATACAAATTTTAAGATTTTTTGTTCTAGTTCTGTAAAAAAAAAAAAAAAAAAAAAATGCCATTGGTAATTTGATAGGGATTGCATTGAATCTGCAGATTGCTTTGGGTAGTATAGTCATTTTCACAATATTGATTCTTCCAATTCAAGAACATGGTATATCTCTCCATCTGTTGGTATCATCTTTAATTTCTTTCATCAGTGTCTTATAGTTTTCTGCATATAGGTCTTTGGTCTCCCTAGGTAGGTTTATTCCTAGGTATTTTATTCTTTTTGTTGCAGTGGTAAATGGGAGTGTTTCCTTAATTTCTCTTTCAGATTTTTCATCATTAGTGTACAGGAATGCAAGAGATTTCTGTGCATTAATTTTGTATCCTGCTACTTTACTAAATTCATTGATTAGCTCTAGTAGTTTTCTGGTGGCATCTTTAGGATTCTCTATGTATAGTATCATGTCATCTGCAAAGAGTGACAGTTTTACTTCTTCTTTTCCAATTTGTATTCCTTTTATTTCTTTCTTCTCTGATTGCCGTGGCTAGGACTTCCAAAACTATACTGAATAATAGTGGTGAGAGTGGACATCCTTGTCTTGTTCCTGATCTTAGAGGAAATGGTTTCAGTTTTCCACCATCGAGAATGATGTTTGCTGTGAGTTTGTCATATATGGCCTTTATTATGTTGAGGTAGGTTCCCTTTATGCCCACTTTCTGGAGAGTTTTTATCATAAATGGGTGTTGAATTTTGTCAAAAGCTTTTTCTGCATCTATTGAGATGATCATACCGTTTTTCTTCTTCAATTTGTTAATATGGTGTATCACATTGATTGATTTGCATATATTAAAGAATCCTTGCATCCCTGGGATAAATCCCACTTGATCATGGTGTATGATCCCTTTATGTGCTGTTGGATTCTGTTTGCTAGTATTTTGTTGAGGATTTTTGCATCTATATTCATCAGTGATACTGGTCTGCAATTTCCTTTTTTTGTAGTATCTTTGTCTGGTTTTGATATCAGGGTGATGGTGGCCTCATAGAATGAGTTTAGGAGTGTTCCTTCCTCTGCAATTTTTGGAAGAGTTTGAGAAGGATGGGTGTTAGCTCTTCTCTAAATATTTGATAGAATTCACCTGTGAAGCCATCTGGTCCTGGAGTTTTGTTTGTTGGAAGATTTTTAATCACAATTTCAATTTCATGACTTGTGATTGGTCTGTTCATATTTTCTATTTCTTCCTGCTTTAGTCTTGGAAGGTTATACCTTTCTAAGAGTTTGTCCATTTCTTCCAGGTTGTCCATTTTATTGGCATAGAGTTGCGTGTAGTAGTCTCGTAGAATGCTTTGTATTTCTGCAATGTCTGTTTTTACTTCTCCTTTTTCATTTCTAATTTTATTGATTTGAGTCCTCTCCCTCTTTTTCTTGATGAGTCTGGCTAATGGTTTATCAATTTTATCTTCTCAAAGAACCAGCTTTTAGTTTTATTGATCCTTGCTTGGTTTCTTTGTTTCTCTCTCATTTATTTCTGCTCTAATCTTTATGATTTCTTTCCTTCTGATAAGTTTGGGTTTTGTTTGTTCTTCTTTCTCTAGTTTCTTTAGGTGTAAGGTTAGATTGTTTATATTAGATTTTTCTTGTTTCTTGAGGTAGGACTGTATAGCTATAAACTTCCCTCTTAGAACTGCTTTTGCTGCATCCCATAGGTTTTGGATCATCGTGTTTTTATTGTCGTTTGTCTCCCGGTATTTTTTGATTTCCTCTCTGATTTCTTCAGTGATCTCTTGGTTATTTAGTAACATATTGTTTAGCCTCCATGCGTTTGTGTTTTTTTACATTTTTCCCCCCTGTAATTGATATCTAATCTCATAGCGTTGTGGTCAGAAAAGTTGCTGGATATGATTTCAGTTTTTTTAAATTTACTGAGCCTTTATTTGTGGCCCAAGATGTGATGTATCCTGTAGAATATTCCATGAGCACTTGAGAAAAAAGTGTAATCTGCTGTTTTGGGATGGAATGTCCTATAAATACCAATTAAATCTATCTGGTCTGTTGTGTCATTTAAAGCTTGTGTTTTCTTATCAATTTTCTGTCAGGATGATGTGTCCATTGGTGTAAGTGAGGTGTTAAAGTTGCCCACTATTATTGTGTTACCGTCGATTTCCTCTTTTATAGCTGTTAGCAGTTGCCTTATGTATTGAGGTGCTCCTATGTTGGGTGCATAAATATTTACAATTGTTATATCTTCTTCTTGGATTGATCCCTTGATCATTATGTAGTGTCCTTCCTTGTCTCTTGTAACATTCTCTATTTTAAAGTCTATGTTATCTGATATGAGTATTGCTACTCTTTTGGTTTCTATTTGCATGGAATATCTTTTTCCATCCCCTTACTTTCAGTCTGAATGTGTCCCTAGGTCTAAAGTGGGTCTCTTGTAGGCAGCATATATATGAGTCTTGTTTTTGTATCCATTCAGCAAGCCTTGTGTCTTTTGGTTGGAGCATTTAATCCGTTCATTAATATGTACCTATGACCATTTTCTTAATTGTTTGGGGTTTGTTTTTGTAGGTCTTTTTCTGCTCTTGTGTTTCCCACTTAGAGAAGTTCCTTTAGCATTTGTTGTAGAGCTGGTTTGGTGGTGCTGAATTCTCTTAGCTTTTGCTTGTCTGTAAAGCTTTTGATGTCACCATCAAATCTGAATGAGATCCTTGCCAGTAGAGTAATCTTGGTTGTAGTTTCTTCCCTTTCATCACTTTAAATATGTCCTGCCACTCCCTTCTGGCTCGTAGAGTTTCTGCTGAGAAATCAGCTGTTTACCTTATGAGAGTTCCCTTGTATGTTATTTGTCGTTCTTCCCTTGCTGCTTTCAGCAATTTGTGTTTAATTTTTGCCAGTTTGATTACTCTGTGTCTCGGCGTGTTTCTCCTGGGGTTTATCCTGTATGGGACTCTCTGCACTTCTGGACTTGGGTGGCTATTTCCTTTCCCATGTTAGGGAAGTTTTCGACTATAATCTCTTCAAATATCTTCTCAGGTCCTTTCTCTCTCTCTTTTCCTTCTGGGACCCCTATAATGTGAATGTTGTTGTGTTGAATGTTGTTGTATTGACTGTTGTCCCAGAGGTCTCTTAGGCTGTCTTCATTTCTTTTCATTCTTTTTTCTTTATTCTGTTCCACAGCAGTGAATTCCACCATTCTGTCTTGCAGGTCACTTATCCGTTCTTCTGCTTCAGTTATTCTGCTGTTGATTCCTTCTAGTGTAGTTTTCTTTTCAGTTATTGTATTGTTCATCTCTGTTTGTTCTTTAATTCTTCTAGATCTGTGTTAAACATTTCTTGCATCTTCTCAGTCTTTGCCTCCATTCTTTTTCCGAGGTCCTGGATCATCTTCACTAACACTATTCTGAATTCTTTTTCTATCTCCACTTCATTTAGTTGTTTTTCTGGGGTTTTATCTGTTCCTTCATCTGGTACATAGCCCTCTGCCTTTTCATCTTGTCAGTCTTTCTGTGCATGTCGCCTTTTTGGTTTCTGCCTTAAATGCACCATGGTCAGAGAACACATCTGTATAATTTTGCCATGTGAGACTTACTCTCTGGCTCATGTGGTCTCTCTTGGTGAGCTCTTAAAGGGTGTGTATTCTGTGGTTCTTTGGTACAGTGTTCTAGAACTCTCCATTAGGTCAGGGTGATCCAGAGCTTTGATCAGATCTTCCATGGCCTTGCAGATTTTTGGGGCAGTGGGGGAGTCTAGTTATTCTGTCAGGTTATGAGACAGAGAGTGTTAAAGTCTCCAATTATGATTGCAGATCTGTCTACTTTTCCCTTTAATTCTATGAATTTTTTGCTCATGGTTTTTGAAGCTCTCTTATGAATAAGCACACACAGTGAATTGCCTTTTTATTATGAAATTTCACTTTTTGTCTCTGTAATGCTTTGTGAATACACCTGTGAATATAGCCTCTCCCACATCCTTAAGATTAGTGTTTGCACAGAATTTCTTTTCCCACTCTTTTACTCTGAACCTTGGAATTTTAAAATGCACTTCTTGTAGACAGCATATGGTCGGGTCTTGCTTTCTTATCATCTTGACAGTCTCGGGTTTTAATTGGCATATTTAGACTTTTACTTGGAATGTAATAATGACTGATGGTTGCATCTCGGTCTATCATTTTGCTGTTTGTTCTGTCTCTTGAACCGTGAAAAAAGGTCCCTGATGCAGGGATATGGAAATTAAAGGCTCCCATGTTGTGGGAAGGACTCTTATCCTCCACAAAAATGAAAGTTGGTAGATCTGAACCAACTTTAAATTGGCACTGAAATGCCCTGCCTGACAGTGGCAAGTAGAGGTCATGTCGGATTTCAATTCTGGTCAGCTGGTGGTGCTGCTCTGCTGAGATGAATTCTGAGGTCCTGCCGTGTTGAGAAGGATTCTGAAGGCCTGACTTAGTGGCAAGGATCTGAGGGGCTGCCATGATGGGAAGGATTTTGATGGGCTGCTTTGTGAGAAGGATTCTAGGGGCTGCCGTGTTGAGGAGAATCTTAGGAGCTGCTTTTTTGAGGAGGATTCTAGGGGCTGCCCTGTTGGGAAGAATCTTAGCGGCTACAGTGTTGAGAAGGATTCTGAGGGCCTGACTTCTTGGGAAGGATCTGAGGGCCTGTTGTATTGGGACGGATTCTGATGGGCTGCCATGAGAGAAGGATTCTAGGGGCTGCCTTCTTTAGAAGAATCTTAGGGGCTGCCGTGTTGGGAAGGATTTTGAGGGCCTCCGTGCTGAGAAGAATCTTAGGGGCTGCCGTGATTTGGAGGGTTCTCAGGGGCTGCTGTGTTGCAAAGGATTCTGAGGTGATGCCGTGTGAGAAAGATTCTAGTGGCTCCCACAGTGGGAAGAATCTTAGCAGCTGCAGTGTTGGGAAGGATTCTGAGGGGCTGCTGTGTTGAGGAGGATTCTGAGGGGCTGCCTTGTTGGGAAGGATACTGAGCGGCTGTGGTGTTGGTAGGGATTCTGAGTGGCTATCCTGCTGAGGACAATTCTGAGGGCCTGCTGTGTTGAGAAGATTCTGAGCTGCTGCCATGTTTAGAATGATTGTGAGGGGCTGTCGTGTTGGGAAGGATTCTGAGGGCCTCCGTGTTGAGAGGAACCCTAGGGGCTGCCATCCTTTGGAGGATTCTCAAGGGCTGCTGTGTCGAGAAGGATTCTGAGGGCCTGCAGTGTCCAGAAAGGTTCTGAGGGGCTTCCGTGTTGGGAAGGAATGTGAGGGGCTGTGTCTTGAGAAGGGTTCAATGGGCTGAGAAGGCTTCTTACTGTTGAGGCTTCTGAGGGCCTTACTGAGAAGGCTTCTTACTGTTGAGGCTTCTGAGGGCCTCAGTGTTGAGAAGAAATCAGTGGCTGTCGTGTGGAAGAGGATTCTGAGGGGCTGCCATGTTGAAAATGATTTTGAGGGGGTGCCCTGTTGAGAATAATTTCGGGGGCTGCTGTGTTGAGGATCTGAGGCCCTCAGTGTTGAGAGGAATCTTAGGGGCGGCCACGTTGAAACTGATTTTGAGGGCTTCCCTGTTGAGAAGGATTCCGAGGGGGTGTCATGTGAGGCGGCTTTTGAGGGCCTCAGTGTTGAGAAAATATGGGCCACTATGTTGGGAAGAATCTTAGCAGCTGCCATGCTGAGGAGGGTTCTGAGGGGCTGCCATGTTTAGAACAATCTCGGGCTGTCGTGTCCCTGGGATCCGAGGGGTTCTGTGCTACGAAGGTTCTGAGGGGCTGCCATTTGCGGAAGGAGGAGGTGCTGCCGTGTTTAGGAGGATTCTGAGCGGCTGCTGCGTTGAGAAGGTTCTGGGCTCCGTTAGTGGACCACCTGGAGAGAGTATTGATTGGAGGCATGCCACCCCAGCTCTGGGTGGATTGACTGGTGGGAGGAGAGCATCGTCTGCGTGTTTCTGGTTAGATATTTAGGGATATGTCTTTCTGAAGGCAAGTCCAGGTTACTTGGGCTGAAGGCTAATTGGACGTTGGGCTTTTTGATGGAGTCATTACGTTCATCGGGTACAAGAGACTGTAAACGATGGTGCCGAGGACACCAAGGTATGGCCTGGAAAGTGAGGGCTCAGGAAGGAGCTGGGCAGCCCAGATGGCAGAGGGGGTGCCTTCCTGGCTTCAGGAGTCCAGATGGCTAAGAAGGGCTTGCCCCCCGTCCCAGGCCACGTGGGATCTCTGTGCACCTTTGGGTACGCGCATTCCCTTGGCCTCTCTGGCCAGAAAAGCCTGCCTTGCCTCCCTCAGGGGAGGTCTCTGTACCCTGAGCTCCACGTGGAGCTGTCCCGTTGCGTCACTCCAGTAGAAGCAAGCCATTGTGGTCAGGCCGTTGATCTCTTTTCATCGCGTGCTTTACGGAGCACGTGAGAACCGGAAGGGTTATGTTACAGCAGTGCCAGCCCCCCGAGTGGGCACCTCTATCTGTGTGCTTCCGGCCTCGAGCCATCTCGCTGTCTCCCCTCTCCCCCATCTGTCTAGCCTCCTCTATCTGATAACTCCAAATTCTCCGTCTTACTGTGGTGGAATCAAAACGGGTCCAGACTCCTAGGTGTTCCTTCTCTTGAGAGTTTGATGGGGTCTGTGTCCCCTCCCCCGAATCAGAGCGGGCTCCGTGACGGCTCGGCCTGGTGGAGGAGGGCAGATGGGACACTGCCAGTTCTAGGCCTGGCCTTTAATAGGACGGCACCTTCCGCCTTGGGCTCGGGACCCCCCAGCTGTCATGGACCAGCCTGCTGGACGGTCTGCAGGGGGGGCCCCGCGGAGCCCAGGCATCCCCACCAGGCACCCTGTGTGAGCGCAGCCGCAGCCGTTGAGGACCCTCCAGCCCCGCCCCCTGCCAAATACCCCCGAGGGCCCGCAGCCTATCTCTTGCGGAAGGCCAGCTCAGCCCGGCCCTAATTCTCCTCTCTCTGATAACGGGGTTGCCCGGGGCTGCTGTTTGGGGGAAATGTATTCCAGGCCCCGACTTCACCGCACACACCCTTTGAGCCCTTGAGTAAATTTTCACAAACAGGAGGGCCTGGGTGCCCCAAGGGCAGACCGTTGTGTTGTTTGCTGCCGATTCCAGCACTTAGAGCAGCGCCTGCCAGGCGGAAGGAACTCGGTGAAGGTCTGTTGAATGAATGCCTACAGCGTGTTCCCTCCGTCCTGGTGGCACGTGACAAGGTCCCCATCATGCTTGTCATCCCACCCCTTTAAACTCACGGGGATGACTCAGTGCCCACGGCGAACCCACCCGAGGACCCAGAGCTGGGAAGCCCGTGGCCGCGGCTTTTCAGCTGGGGGAGGCCACGCGGGGCTCGCTGCATCTCCTTCCCTCCCTCCCCCTAGTGTGCGACCTGCTGCTGCCCGGCGCCCCGCCAGCCCCGCAGCCCTGGTACACCGACCAGCGCTTCACCCTGACGCTGCTCTCCATGCTGGCCATCCTGCCCCTGTCTGCCCCACGTGAGATCGGCTTCCAGAAATACACAAGGTACAGGCTGCAGCCCCTTCCTGGCAGGACGATGGCTGGGGCTGGGTCCCCACCTCGGCGGACGCTTGGTGGGTGGTTCCTGTCCGCCTGGGATAGGGGAGCTGCTAGCACGGGTCTTCCCGTTTGCAGAAGGGGAAAAAAATGTTTAATTACACAAGTCATACATGTGCCTGATAGAAAATACAGATAAACAAAAAAGAAATTTACCCGTAATGACAGGACCTGCAGCTGACATTTTGTTACCTAATGATTGTAGACTTTTTCTGCACACACACGCACATACGCTGGCACGGACACACACACACACACACACACACACACACACACACACACACACACACTTTTTCCCAATTTACCGTCTTAGGCTTTCCATGTACTTTTGCAAAAATTAAGGCTGGCAAAAGTCTTCACACAAGTGTGCCACCCGCCTTCCCCTGTCGTGTAATGAAATGGAGCAGAGAAAGAGTGGGCAGGACCCCCTTGGCCCCCCGGGCACCCCCACCAGCTGAGTCAGGGTCCTCCTTCCCCCTGTGCTGTGGCCTAGCGGGCAGTGTCCCGACTTAGATGCTGAATCCCAGCGGCTGTTGTTGGAGAGACGGGGCCGCCCGTAGCAATCACAGGCTCGCAGGTCTGACCTCGCTGGGCCTGAGCGTGGCCCTGCCCTGCTCGCCTGGAATGCTCTTCCCGCTGTCCCCATTGTGCAGATAAGGAAATGGAGTCCAGACACTGGCCTGACACCTTGCCTGTGTGGGCAGAGCTGGCATTGAGACCCCGCTCCGTGTGGCTCCCCAGCCCCTACCTCACCATAGAGGCCCCCTAACGCTGCGCTCCATCCGTGTGTTAGCATCCTAGGCACCCTGGCCGCCTGCTACCTGGCCCTGGTCATCGTGGCACAGTACTACCTCGGGCCCCAAGACCTCGCTCGTGAGCCCCACCTGGCATCGAGGTGAGTCTTGGGCGATGGCTTCCCGGGGCTGCTGTGAGGGCCGCTTCTCCCCCCGACCCTGCCCATGGTTTGCACAGAGCCCTGGCTCGTCCCGTGAAATCCTTCAAGTCTCTGATGCCGTAGAATTCAGCAAAGCCTCCTTTCCTGGGACTTCCCTGGCGGTCCAGTGGTTAGGACTGTGCTTCCACTGCAGGGAGTGCGGGTTCAAGCCTTGGTCGGGGAATTAAGATCCCACGTGCCACACGGTGCGGCCAAAAAAAAGCTCCTTTCCTTCTTCAGAATGACAGTGCTATCACTAGTGAGGACGGGGGACAGGCTAAGGGACACGGAAACACTGGACACCCCACCAGCCTGGGGCTCCTAGGCTGTTGCAGATGCGTTCCCCACAGCTTAGGGGCCGCAGAACCAGCCAGCAAGATGCAGGTGCAGGGGCAGAGGCCAGTGAGGCCCGACGAGCCTGAGCGAGGCCAAGAGTGGGAGTGGGCCTGGGGGGGGTGGTATCCTGTAGGGATGCAGAGCTGCGGTGAGGACTTCAGTTTTGCACGGAAGCCACTGCAGGGTTTTGATCACAGCAGGGGCTTGAAACCAAATCGGCTGGTGGCAGGCCAGCTCCACGAGCTTGTGACCTGTGACGTCCCCCAGGGTCCTGGGCTGAGAAGGGCCCTGCTGGCGCCATCCTGAAATGCTTAACCGCTGTTGAACAGGGGCCGGCACTTTCATTTTGCACTGGGTCCCGCAAATCGTGTGGACCCTCCTGGAGGGTAGGTTGGAAGTGGAGTGAGAGAGAGAGAAGAGAGTCCGGGTGACTCTGAGCTTTGGCGATGCCGTTTCATGGGCTGGATGGGACGGGGAGGGGTCGGGTGGGGATGTGTAAGGTTGGAGACGGCTGTGAGACGCTAAATAAAGACGTCAGGGAGCTGGTCAGACTGTGCACCTGGAGTCCAGAGAGGCCTGGGCTGGAGAGAGGAACATCAACCCATAGATGGCATGGAAGTAAGGCCAGGAGCCCAGGTGAGAACTGAGCTGGTGGCCCTCTGCCAGGCCCTGGGGGATCAGCGAGAGGGATGGCAAGTTAGCAGCTTCTTGTTAGCTTCTTGGGGCTGCTCGTAGTAACTCATGAGCACAAACCGGGTGGCTGAAAGCAGCAGCGACTTCTCCCCTGGTTCTGGAAGCTAGAAGTCCAAAATCAAGGTGTGGGCATGGCTGCGCTCCCTCTGGAGGCTCCGGGGGAGGGTCCTTCCTGCCCCTCCCAGCGTCGGTGTTGCCGGCACTCTTTGGCCTTCCTTGGTCTGCACATGCTTCGCTCCAGACTCGGCCCCCATGGTCACACGGCCTCTGCCCTGTGTGTTTCCTCTTCCTATGAGGACACCAGTTGTTGGGTTAACTCCCAGCCTACTTCAGTATGACCTCATCTTCATTTAACCAATTACATCTACAAAGACCCTTTTTCCAAATAAGATTTCATTCTGAGGTTCCCAGTGGCTATAAATCTAGGGGGACACTGTACAACCCAGGACAGAGGATAATAGAATCTGGGTCTCAGAAGTCAGCAGAATTTCAAGAAGGTTGGGGTGATCGCCACCAGCTGCCGCTTCTGGGTCACATGGAGCTGAGCCCTGGCGCCTGATTTGGCCACAGAGGCCGCTCGATGTGGCTGAGTTTCATCAGGGCAGGAGGCGGGGTTGAAGGCCCAGGTGGATTGGGTTCAGGAGAGGGGGAAGGGAAAAGCCGGGAAAGAGCTCTTCTGAAGAGGGGAGAAGCGGAAAGTACCGGGGCACAGAGGCCATGTCCCGTGTGGCCCACGGCACACCGACGGCATGACCCAGCAGTGGAGGAAACCCGATCAGAAGAGGGCCAGATCCACTGCTCATCTGTGGCCTTGAGTCTGCGGAGGGGAGGGTCCTGCTCTCTGGAAATGCAGCCTCCAAGGCTGGAGCTCGGGCAGTCTCACCCACGGGAACAGGAGAGGACAGCACGTGAGGCCCAGAGGACGCGGGCAGGCAGATGGAGCTGTGGGAGCGTGGGCGCTAAGAAGCTGGCCATCGGCTGACAGTGCTGTTGAGGAAAGTCCGGGAAGGCAGGGCTTGGCAGGGAGGCGCCGTGATCTGCACCAGAGTTAAGAGGTGGCCGGAGCGCAGCACAGAAGGGAGATACTTTCCCCACTTTCCCCGTGGCTGCTGTGACACGTTCCTGCCAAACTTGGTGACTTAAAACTACACAAATTTATTCTCTTACAGTTCTGATATCAGAAGTCCAGAATAGGTCTCACGGGGCTAAAATCGAGATGTCAGCAGGGCTGTGTTCCTTTCGGAAGCTCTAGATGGGAATCCGTTTCCAGCTCCTAGAAGCGCCCACATTCCTTGGCTCGGGGCCCCTTCCTCCATCTTCAAAGCCAGCAAGGTTCCATCTCTCTGACCCTGCTTCTCTGGTCACAGCTCCCTCTGACCATAGCTGGGGAAGGTTCTCTGACTGCAAGGATCCTTGGGCTACATTGGGCCGAGATCCTCCAGGGTCATCTTGTGTAAGGTCCCCAGGGTTAGGACATGGGTCTCTTTGGGGCCCACTCTCTACCACAACCAGGAAACCCCGATTCTATAGCGGGTGCTGTATATGCTTCCTCCAACTATGTGTCCCTAAAGGTGCCGGAGGCTGGTACGTAGAGCTGATGATTAAAGGAAGCTGGAGGGCCACCATGTGGGGACCACTGAGAGGGCTTGACCTGAAGATTCTGCCCCATGCACACCTCAGTTCTCTTGGGCAGCTTGGACAGAGGTCAAAGCATCCTTGCCCTGTGGGGTCTGTTTGATGGAGGCTGCCTGTGCCCCCAACCACCCCAGCCCCTAAGCTCACTGGGCACAGGCAGCCTCCAAGGGAGGCCGGGAGTTCCTCCCAGCCACGCCCTGCCCAAGTTGTGCCTGCAGGGAGAATGTCAAGTTACCATATGTCAGCACAGATGTACTTAGAAAGTGCAGCATTTAACATGCAGGCTTTTCCAACCCCCCAAACCCGGCAGTGGACATGGTTTTTAAAACCTGTCTTACAGTCACGCTTAGTTACATCTTGCTGGTGGTGTTGAAAACTCATTTCCAAGTTGAAGGTTGTCTTGAGTTTAACTTTTTGTAACAAGCACCCGTTTTCATCTCTTTACAGTCCTTCCTCCTGGGCCTCCGTATTTAGTGTCTTTCCCACCATCTGCTTCGGATTTCAGGTAACCTTGGCGTCCGTGTTGCAGAGGGTGGCATTTGCAGGCTCTGGGGACCGCCTGCTCCCTCAGGAGAGTGTGGCCTCCCTGTCGGGAGAAGCTCAAGGACTTGTGCTAGGGTGAGATGGGCTGTCTTTGGCAGACGGTGCACGTGGCCGGCATCTGGGCTCTGGGAACCGGCCCCGCCGACAGCCAGCAGCAGCACCTTTGTTTGTTGGGTCTGGGGTCCAGTGTGTGGGCCCGGGACCTGTCCCCTCCTTTGCGAAGTCCTCACGGCCGAGTCGCCACGCCTGGGGACCTGGAGCGGCCTTTTTACGTAGAACGCCTTCGTGCAGGTGGCTTCTGCCGCGGGGGCCTGGAGGCTTGCCGGCTAGGAGGGCGGGAAGGTGCGTGGGGAGCTGGCGGTACTGGGCAGAATATATAGAGTTTGATAGAATGGCATGGAGTAAGGAATTCCGTGCGTGGAATCCAGTGGAGGGGCTTCCGCCGCAGCGCTGGGTGGGGCAGATTCAGAGATGCCCTTTTCCAGGCGCAGATGCCTGGGAGGAGTCTTGAGCAATGTGTGGGAGGTGGCCAGCTAGAAGGGGAGGGCGCTTCAGCTGGAGAGCCCCGGAGGGGGCGGGGGTCCCAGGCTGGAGAGCTGCAAGGGGCGGGGAGGGGCTGGAGGGGCGGGGCTGGCGTTGGGCTTCGCTCCCCGCCTTCTGGGCTCTCCTGGGGTCTCGCAGTCTCCTAGCAGGCGGCAGCTGACTCCCTTGCTCCATTGTTTATTTTAGGAAAGATTTGCCTCTCTCCTAAAAACAACCACCTCCCCACCACGACAACAATAAAACCGCCCCCAGTGAAATCTAGTTCTCGAGGGAAAGTGGCTCGGGGTTGACAGTGTCTCAGCTTCGTAGCCTGAGCGGCTTCTTGCTGTGCTCACCAGCCAGCTCCCCTTTGTGTTTGTCAGCTTATGTTTTCTTTGAGAACCACTTTTTGGGGAAAAGAAAAGTCCTGAAACATTTCCGTTGCTCTTTTTTATAAATGAGTCGCTGTAGCGTTTCTGGGGCTTAGCAAGCCGCTCACAGAACTTCTCACGTTTCTTCCTGCACACCCAATATTTTGAAAGATGGAAGGCGACGATTTTGCTGTCAACCGTTTGGATGTCGTTTAGCCAGTCTCCTCTCGGGTCCCCGAGCACCATATGGTGTAGCAGGCTCGCGCCGGGCAGGGTGGTGCTTTCCAGATGCTTGTGAGGAGGTGCCCCCCTCACCTTTGCCTCGGCTCCCTCATCCCATTCTCCTAGCAACCGAGGCCTGGGCTGCCGTTTCCAGGGACACGGGATGCGGAGATGGGGGAGTTGGAAAAGGATGTGGATTGCAGGGCGGGGGTGGGGCAGAGGACTAGTTGCCGAGGCCGGGGATAGGGTTGCCAGGATCCAGCTTGGGGAGTCAGGGATCTGGGGGTTGGGGAACTAGGCGCAGGTGAAGGTGGAAGGGAGCCGGGTGAGGAGTGGCGCTGGGCTGGAGGGGCTGCTGAGCGGGGGAAGGCGTGGGCGGTCACCTGGCGTCATCGGGAGGTCGGGTTCAAACACACCGCTCCCCACACACTTAGCGGGGCACCCCGTCCAGCCTGCGCAGAGTCGGAAGGAGGGGCTTGGGGGAGCACGGGTTGTGGGTGCAGGCTCTGCTCCCAGACACTCTGGCCACACGCGGTACTTCTCCCTTGTTTGTGTTTTTTTAATTGAAGTATGACTGATGTACAACACCGTGTTAGTTTCAGGTGTACAGCACAGCAATTCAGCCATATGTAGCTGAATATATATGCACGTTCGTTTTCAGATTTTTTTTCCTTTAGAGGTTATTACAAAATATTGAGTATAGTTCCCTGTGTTATACAGGAGGTCCTTGTTGGTTATCTGTTTTATCCGTCGTAGTGTGTATATGTTAATTCCAAAGTCCTAATTCATCCCCCCCCCATCCCCCTTTCCCCTTTGGTGACCATAAGTTAGTTTTCTATGTTTGTGAGTCTTTTTCTGTTTTGGAAATAAGTTCATTTGTATCTTTTTTTTTTAGATGCCACATATAAATGATGTCATGATATTTGTCTTTCTTTGGCTTACTTCTTTTAGTATGATAATCTCTAGGTCCATCCATGTTGCTGCAAAGGGCATTATTTCATTCCTTTTTATGGCTGAGTAATATTCCATTGTATATATGTACCACATCTTCTTTATCCGTTCATCTGTCAGTGGACATTTAGGTTGCTTCCATGTCTTGGCTATTGTAAATAGTGCTGTAATGAACATTGGGGTGCGTGAATCTTTTCGAATTATGGTTTTCTCCAGATATATGCCCAGGAGTGGGATTGTAGGATCATATGGTAGTTCTGTTCTTAGTTTTTAAAGGAACCTCCATACTGTTCTCCATAGTGCCTGTACCAATTTACATTCCCACCAGCAGTATAGGAGGGTTCCCTTTTCTCCACACCCTCTCCAGCATTTGTTATTTGTAGACTTCTTGATGATGGCCATTCTGACTGGTGTGAGGTGGTACCTCACTGTAGTTTTGATTTGCATCTCTCTAATAATTAGCGTTGTTGAGCATCTTTTCATGTGCCTGTTGGCCCTCTGTGTGTCTTCTTTCCCCTTGGTGTTTTTAAACGGCTTTGAGATACAACTTAACGTGGCATACAACTCACCCCTCTAACGTGTACAGTTCAGTGGTTTTTAGTATGTTCGCAGAGTTGTGCAACCATCGCCACCATCAATTTTACAACATTTTCATCACCTTCAAAAGAAACTTGTACTTATTACCAGTCACTCCCCATCCCCCTCTTGCTTCCCTCCTGGCCCCTGGCAACCACAGATTTTTCTGTCTCTCTGGATGTGCCTGTGCTGGGCACTTCAGGTAAGTGGAATCATACAGTATATGGTTCTTTGTAGCTGGCTTCTTTCACTCGATGTGGGGTTTTGTTTTGTTTTTAATTTATATTTCTGGCCGCGTTGGGTCTTTGTTGCTGCGCGCGGGCTTTCTCTAGTTGCGGCGAGCGGGGGCTTCTCTTCGTTGCGGTGCGCGGGCTTCTCATTGCGGTGGCTTTTCTTGTTGCGGAGCACGGGCTCTAGGCGCGCGGGCTTCAGTAGTTGTGGCGTGCAGGCTCAGTAGTTGTAGCTTGCGGGCTCTAGAGCGCAGGCTCAGTAGTTGCGCACGGTCTTAGTTGCTCTGCGGCATGTGGGATCTTCCCGGACCAGGGCTCAAACCCATGCCCCCTGCATTGGCAGGCAGATTCTTAACCACTGCGCCACCAGGGAAGTCCCACTCACCGTGGTGTTTCTGAGGATCGTCCGTGTGGTACATGTGTCAGGACCAGGTCCCTTTTCATGGCTGAGTGATACTCCACTGTTGGAGAGTCCATAGCTTGTTTTTCCTTTCTTCAGCTGGTGGCCGTTTGGACCGTTTCCACTTCTTACCCACCACATGCTCCTCTGCCCAGCGTCCCATCACTTAGTGAATAGTGAGCTTGCTATTGGCCAGCCAGCGTCCTAGATGCTTTCCCAGCAGGGCAGCCCTGCCCTCAGAAGCTTTATTTCCCGGCATAAGACCAAGAGAAACACAACCCGGGAGTCATAGGAGAAACAGGAAGAAGGGCAGGGCCCCATCCTGCAACCACCAAGCATCCTTTCCCCCATGTCTGGGTTCCGGAGTATAGGAGGTGGGAACATTGATCCTGAGTTCCACTGCTTGTTGGTTGAGGGCCCGTGTGCGTGCGTGTGTGTGTGTGCGCGTGCTTGCCCCAGGCTGGACGCCGCCTCTGTGGCTGGAATCGGGAGGCCTGAGGCTGGTGTGCCCCAGCCCCTCACAGTGGGTACTCCATGAGGTTGGAGACTGTGTGAGGATGGTTGATGGGTACCCCACACTCGCAACAAGGGGGACTGATATAAGGACCTGAGTGTGGAGAGCTGGGGTTGGGTGCAGGGAGGCCTCATGGCTGCAAGTGGGGCAAGGGGATGGATGATTGAGTAACCGCTGGAGTGCCCTTCACCTGTGGGCCAGGCTCTATGCTGGGAATGAAGGAGGCAGGTGTGTCTGACACCACATACCTGACAGACGCTGAACCAGCAAACCCAGATGTGCTCACCTGGGGGGCGTGAGAGCAGAACTCGGCCAGCTGGGGAGGAGGGCTTTCCTAAAGGATGAGTAGAAGCTGGCTGGACCAGGAGACATCGCAGGCAGAGCACACAGCACGGGCAAAGGCCCTGAGGCAGCGAAGAGGGACCGTGGTGGGCTGAGCTCGGTGGGCGAGGGGAGCAGGGCTCTCGAGCCTGGGGAGTGGGCAGGCATGGACGGTCATCCTGTTGGCTTTGATCACAAGTGAGTAAATGGATGTGGTGGTGGGAACCCTGCCCCGGGAGCCTGGGAAAATCCCAGAACCCATAGGGCACATCCAGATACGGCAGCACGTCTCACCCCTGGCTGCTCATCAGGGTCTCCTGGGCTGCTGATAAACACCGCTGCCCAGGACCTGCCCCAGATAAATAAGGTCCACATCACAGGTGGGCTGCTGGCATTGGCTACATGTATTTTATATTTTTAAAAATTTGACCATGTGATACAGTATGTAGGAAGTATATAAATCATAAGTATGTGTACTCCCATGAAACCGTCACCCCGATGGGGATATAGAACATCGTCAGCACCCCTGGAATGTTCCCTCAACAGCACCACCCCACCCCACTATTCTGCCCTGTGTCACCACAAACGGTAACTCTCGACTGAGGGTGATTTTGCCCCTAGGGGACATTTGGCAATGTCTGCAGACATTTTTGATTGTCACAACTGTGGGGGAGGCTCCTGGCATCTAGTGGGTCGAGGCCAGGGGATGTGGTCCGCATCCCACCGTGCACAGGACAGTCTCCGAGCATCAGCAATGCTGCGGTTGAGAACCCCGTCCTGGCTTGCTTGGCTTGTAACTTGAACTTCACGTACATGGAAACGTTCTTCTTCTCTGGCATCTTTTGCTCCACGTTACAGCTGCAGGGCTCTCTGTGTTGAGGTGTGCAGTTGTGTTCACCCCTTTTCAGTGCTGTGTAATATTCTACACATGAATATCTGATGACTTCTGCCTTCTGCTCTTGGTGGGCATTTGGGTTGTTACCCACATTTGGGGACACTGAGACTTTTTTTTTTGTATTTTAAAAAATATTTTATTTATTTATTTTCGCCTGTGTCGGGTCTTAGTTGCGACGCTCGGGATTTTTGTTGTGGTGCACGGGCTTAGTTGCCCTGCAGCATGTGGGATCTTAGTTCCCTGACCAGGGATTGAACCCATGTCCTCTGCATTGGAAGGCGGATTCTTTACCACTGGACCACCAGGGAAGTCCCAAGACACTGAGACTTTTTAGATGACGCCAGGTGATTCTAGCGCCAAGCTGGCTCCACTCCCGTTGACCCTGCTGCTCCCTTGCAGTGTCACGAAGCTGCCGTGTCCATCTACTGCAGCATGCGCCACCAGAGCCTCGGGCACTGGGCCCTCGTCTCCGTGCTGTCCTTGCTGGCCTGCTGCCTTGTCTACTCGCTGACAGGTGAGGCCCGCGCGGGGTGCCCGGGACCTGGGTGCGGAGCAGTGGGAGAAACCGGGATAATCACAAGTGTGTATAGAGACCCTACCGCGTCCTGGGTGCAGTGCTAAGCGGTTTGACTGCCTGTGCTGCTTTTGTCCCTAACACCCCCAGGAGAGTCCACAATTCATAGCGGAGGCCACTGAGGCTCAGAGGGTTGCCATGGCTTGTCCAGGGTCTCCCAACTAGACGTGGCAAAGCTGAGATGCAAACCCTGGCCCGTCTGTCTCCTGAGCCCCTGCTCTTCACGCCCCACGCCCCTGCCTGCCCGTCTCGTGGGATGGCGTCAGTGCTGGCTGTCGGAGCATGATATCCAGGCAGTGGTTTACAGGACACTCTCTTGGATGCAGTGGGTTTCACCATCCACACACTGGCACAGGAGGGTCTTCAAAGGTGACAGAAGTGTGGCTCAGAGAGGGGCTGTGCCACACCTGAGGTCCCACAGCACATCCGGTGCACAGCCCAGGGCCCGGGCGCAGGCTGACTCCTGGCCGCTTTCCTCCAGCCCAGCAGCCCTTTCTTTCGTCAGCCTATCAGAGTCTCTGATTCAGGGAGCTCTTGGGCTCCCACAGATGTGTCAGGGGCCTTGGACACTTGCTGGGTGACTTCTGTCTAGCAGGGGAGGTCTCTCTCATTCTGTGGCCCCTGAGTTGGACCCAGTGATTGAGAGTCTCCTTCAGATGGTCCAGGGCCAGCAGGATCCTGGGACTGGAGAAAAACCAAAGCAAACCACAGCTCTTGGTCAGCGGTGGATGTCTCAGGACCGGGCAGGTGATGCGGAGGCCGAGAGGCAGTGCTGGGTTGTGGGGTAGGGACCTGACTTCTGCTGTAATGAGCTGTGTTATTCCAGACAGTTATTGACATCTTGGGTCTTGATTTTCCCCATCAGGAAAATGGGCGCACTGACAGCTTCTTTCTCTAGGTGCTCTAAGGGTGGGGTGGACAGGGCACGGAAAGCATTGTTCAGACTGCTTCCAGTCAGTCCACGCCCATGAGTGGGTGCCTTGTACGGGTGCTGTGAGCTGTTTGGAAGAAGGACAAGGGACAGTTTTGCCCAGCAGGAGTTTGAGTCAGAAGGACCAGGACCCTGTAGACTGAGGACAGGAAAGCCTTGGGAGATTCTAGAACCTTCTGTCAGCTCCTAGGGGAAACCTTAGCAGCGGTAGATCTGGGTGCTGTCTGCGTGTCGGAGTTGAGGTGGGGGGACGGCATTTTTCTAATCAGCTCTCCTGTGTTCCCCCCTTTACCCTTCACAGGCGTGTACGGCTTCCTGACCTTTGGGACAGACGTTTCTGCTGACATCCTGATGTCCTACCCAGGCAACGATGGGGTCATCATCGTTGCCCGGGTCCTCTTCACTGTGTCCATCGTGACTGTCTACCCCATCGTGCTCTTCCTGGGGAGGTGAGGCCAGCTCGTGGGACATGGTTCAGTGCAGAGCACAGCACCCGTCGAAAATTAGCACGTGCCAGGCGCCACGCCAGCCCACGTGGCGTGGGGACTGTCTTCACCTCTGTTTCCTAGAGGAGGAGACGGGCAGGGGAGTCAGGTGGTTTGGCCAGCGTCGCCCAGCTGGTGTCAGGACTGGAGCCTGGCCCCCGGAGCTTGGCGGCCCAATGTGGTCCCGCCCTGTCGGCTACCCATGTGCGGCGGGGGTTCCCAGGGAGTGAGCCCCGCCGGTGTGCGGGGCAGTGGTGGGGGGCACTCTAGGGCACCCAGTGGTGGGCGAGTGCAGGGCTACCGCCCCCGGGAGCCCGTGGGAGCCCATAGTGCGTGGCCTCCAGGTCAGTGATGCAGGATTTCTGGAGGAGGGGCTGCTGCTGGGCGTGTGGGCCCCAGCCCCTGGCCGAGCCCTCGGGGCCGTGGGTCCGGATGTCGCTGACCGTCCTGTGGGTCACCGTGACGCTCGCCATGGCCCTGTTCCTGCCCGACCTCAGCGAGATCATCGGTGTCATCGGTGGCGTCAGCTCCTTCTTCATCTTCATCTTCCCAGGTGAGGGCCATGTGCATGGGGGGTGGGAGCCCGCGGAGGAGGGATGGCTCCCAGCCCTGTTTACTGGGCCGGGGGGGTGGGGGGGTGGGGCCGGGGCTTCGCACACCTTCCCTCATTTAACATCTCAATGGGCGTGCTGTTATCAACCTACAGATGGGAAGACGGAGGCCCTGAGGCCTCCTGGGTGGAATAGCTAGCATGTAGCGGGGCTGAGTCAGCCTCACAGCCTTGTCTACCCTCCCGCTGCTGCCACTCACTGTAGGATTTCATTTAATATTTTCAATGATATGAAACTCCTATGGTTGAAAGGTGCCCCACAAACCTCTTCCTCCTTGTCCCCCAATCTGGGAGGCAAACACAGTTTCCATGATGGACGGATTCCTAGGAAACCTTCCCAGTGTTAGTGAGTGATGATGTGAAATTCCAGCCAAATTGGCCTGATGGTTAGCCCGGCCTGGCAGACCCAGGGTGGCCAAGGCTGGGGGCTCCCGGAGAAGGGGAAGCACTTAAGGGGCAGAAACCCCAGATCCTGCGGCCCCTGGCCCTGGGAAGCGCTCTCAGACATGAGTGATGGGGTCCGAGTGCCTCACCACCTCCCTTGGCTTCCTGCCCCCCGCCGGCCAACCACCGTCTAGGGCGGATGGACCAGTGATGCTGTGTCTTGAACACACAGTACGGGCTGGGTGTCCGTGTCCTGAGTGGGGCCTTGTAGCTCTAGCTGTTTCCCGTGCTGGAAAGGACAGGCCAGGATAGGCTTGGCGGCGGGGAGATCGACAGGATCTTTAGGCAGAGCTGTCTGCCTTCAAATCTCAGCAGCACGATTAAAAAAGAAAAAAAAAAAAATGACAGAAAGAAAAAAATAACCAAGGCAGCTGGTAGTTGTGAAAGGCGTCCCAGGGGTGAGGCCCCGAGTCTGGCCCTGACCCACTGCATCTCGTCAGAGACGTGAGTGTGCGCCGTCGTTGTCGCTGGAGAGGCCAAGGTGTTAGGGGTCGTCGAGCGGGGACCCCACAGTGACGCCACTAGCCACCATTCGATGCCCACTCTCCGGGGCAGGGTGAGCCTGCGGGGCCACTTCGGGCAAAGGCCCTGGCAGCCTCCCGGGTCCCCGGGGACTGCTGGGTGTCGGCTGAGCCCTTGCGAGCTCAGGGCTGCTTTGGGTTCAATAACGAAGAGCTGGTGTGACCCCGGGTCTCCTCCGCAGGTCTGTGCCTCATTTGTGCCATCAGTGTGGAGCCCGTCGGACCCCGAGTTAAGTAAGTGTGTGCACGTGAGGGTGTCGCCTCTAGCGTGTGCGGGGTTCAGCAGGAGGGGTGTGCGAAGGCTGCTCGCCCGCCGGGTCCTGCGTGTGAGGGTTCTGCAGGCCAGGCCGGGAGGGGGGCCTTGTCCACACATCCCAGGCCGGCACACCGCGCCCTGTTCAGCCCATGCGCGGCCGCCCTTGCGCTCCGAGCGCTGTGGCCTCTGCTTGCAGCTTCATGTGATTTGGGGTCTTCCCGGCATCTTGAGGCCCAAGTCGTGCGTGTTTCCCCATCCTGCACTCAGACCCCGGGCAGGCTGGTCCTGTTGCCCCACAGGTCCCTGAGTTCCGGAGGCCGTGGGCTCCCCCATGCACCAGGGCAACACGTTCTGTTAACAGGACAGCAGGTCCTGGTTGGATGATGCCTCAGTGCTGGGCCCCACGCTCAGCCCCTTTACCCCTTCCTCTCCCTGCGATGCTGGGATATTTCCATCCCAAAGACGAGGAGGCAGAAACCAACCCACAGGCAGGTGGCGAGCAGGGCAGAGCTGGGGCTCAACTCTGGCCAACTGGACGTGGGGCCCAACGCTTACCCCCTCCCTGCTCCACGTTGCTGGTTAGACAAGACAGTTTGGACCATCCCTTTTTTCAGCGGAGTACCCTCTGCTGGGTCGGCCTGTGGTGTGACTTGGACCATGTACTCTGCCACCGAGGGGCCCAGTTGGACCCCACTGAGAAAGAGAGTGTGTGCACGGGTGATGGGCCAGAGCTCAGCCGGTGCCAGGGACCCGGGAGTCTGTGCAGATCTTGGTCCCATTTCACAGATGTGAAAACTGAGGCCAAGACGGCTAGAGAGGACACTAGTAGCTTTCTAGGGCTGCTTGTGGCTTAAATCAACAGAAATGTATTTTCTCCCAGTTCTGGAGGCCAGAAGTCCAAAGTCATGGTGTCAGCAGGCCCCACGCCCTCTGCAAGCTCTTGGGGGGATTCCATTCTGTGCTATTTCCTGCTTCTGGTGGCTCCAGGTGGTCCTTGGCTTGTGGCCGCATCACTCCCATCCCTGCCTCTGTCCTCACACAGCCTCTCCCTTGTGTCTGTGTCTCAAGTCTCCCTCTGCTTCTCTCCTCTGAGGACACCTGTCATTGGGCTTAGGGCCCACCCCCAGTCCATGGTGATCTCATCTCCAGATCGTCAACTTCATCACATCCGCAAAGACCCTATTTCCAAATGAGGTCGTGTTCACAGGTTCCAGGTGGATGTGAATTTGGGGGACCACCATTCAGCCCACTACAGATTCTCTTATGTCACAGCAGCCGTGAACTTGGGGCCCACTTGCAGCCTCTCGTTCCCCTTCGTCCAGCCACATGGAGCCCGAGCTTGGTCTTCCCACAGCGGCAGGCCTGGCTGGGCTCCCTTCTGGGTTGAGAAGCATTTTTCTGGGTATCTCTAAAGCTGCCTTGGGCTTAGCAGCAGCCCCGGTTGCCTGGGGGCCTCCTACATGGTTCTTTCCCTGTAGCGCCCTTTCAAGTCTTGCTACTTCTGTGTGGTGCCTCAGCCCAAGTTCACAGCAGCTGTTACTGATGGGCTTTAAAGATATTTTTAATCCTAGCGCTGCTTTAGGGCTTCCTGATCCATCAAAGCTGCCCCGAGGAGCCAGCAGCCCCATCACGTTTACTTCTCTCCCCGCGTTCAGGCAGGCGGGTGTTCACGGCACCGAGCTGCCGCTCTGCCACGCTGCGTAACTGGAGATGGTCTTTCCATGACAACGGATCTTTGTGGCCTTTGTTAACGGGCCAGAAATATCCCTATCATTTCGTGGGAATCTTATTATCGTGGCTTTTGCCTCACTGTCTGCACCGTCTCTCCTGGTTACGTTATGAAGCCTGTGGATGTGGTCTCGTGACCACCAGTTCCAGCCACCTCTGTCCCCTCCTCCGTGGCCCCCCCGCCGCTGTTCCCATCTGTGTGACCTAGGGCTTTCTTCTCCTTCCTCACTTTCGGGGGCGTCAACCCCCTAAAGAAAAGAAGCGGAAGAGAAGGGAGTTTGAAACTAGTGTCTCCCTCCCGCTATTTCTTTGTCTTTGATAAAATATTGGGAAGGAACGAGGTTATGAAACAACAGATCGGGTGAGAGTTGTTTTTGTTTTTTCAATTGCATGGGTACTTTATTTCCTGTTGTCTCAGAAACCCATTCCTACAGGTAAAGGAGGGTAACCTGAATTTTTTCCAAATTGGTGACTCTAGTAGGCTTCACATCGTAAGTTTTCTACATGTGTTTGGCTCGTCTGTGCAAATCTCCGGAAGAAGAGCGCGTGTTGACGCGCGTTTGTTGACTTGGCAGGTGCTTCCTGGAGGCCTGGGGGGTGGTCTCCGTGCTCGTCGGCACCTTCATCTTCGGGCAGAGCACGGTGGCGGCTGTCATGGAGCTGCTCTGAGGGGCGGCCCGCGGCCGAGCGGGATGGGGTCTCCACGGCTGCCCTGGTCCGGCTGCCTGCATCCAGCCGTGAGACCGATGTTATCTCATCATAAAGATGCTGGAGAAACGGATACGTTCTGCCTTCCCAGGCTGCTCATTTGGGCTTCTGCTGGTTCCCAGGGTTTCTGGTGCAGTGGTGAGGAGTTTCTTAGTGTCCTGGGCCTGTCCTGCAAGTGACCACAGACTGGGGGCTTCTGGCAACAGCAGTGCATTCTCTCACAGTCTGGAGGCTAGAAGTCTGAGATCAAGGTGTGGGCGGGGCTGGCACCCTCCCTCTGCAGGCTCTAGGGGGACGGTCCCTCCTGCCTCTTCCGGCTTCTGCTGGTTGCTGGCCATCCTTGGTTCTCCTTGGCTTGTGGCTGCATGCGTCCAATTTCTGCCGCCTCCCTCATGTGGCCGTCTTCCCTATGTATCTGTCTCAATTTCCCTCTTACAGGGCTCACCCTACTTCAGTATGGCTTCATCTTAATTACTTAATTGGGATCTGCAAATATCCTATTTCCAAATAAGGTCACATTCACGGTTTCCAGAGGTTAGGGCTTAAACTGTGTCCCCCAGAAAAATAAGTTAAACCCATAACTGGGAGGCAGGTGCTGAGGCCCAGAGAGCCCTACTTTGGGGTGCTGAGATCAAAGGCACGAGGCAAGGGCATTGCTCGGTGGGTGAGAGCCCAGAGGGCATTTGGGGCGGCCTCCGGTGGGGATGGCAGTGCCACGGCACGGGGGAATGCCCAAGGAGATGCGTGCCCAGAGCTGGCCACACAGCCTGTGCTTGGCCTCGCTCCAGTGGGGGGGGGGGACCCGAGGAGAGCCCCCGCCCCTTCCACTGGCTGGACCTGAAGAGCCTGGAGGCCAAGTGCGCTGTCTGCTCCATGATTCCCTCCCCGATCCGGGGGTGAGGAACCACGCCTGGAGCTGCGGCTGAGGGGGCAGGGATCTGCCCGCGGCCGGGGAGGAGAGGAGGACGGGGCCAGGGGCTCTCCCGTCGCTGTCCCCGGCACTGACCCTGCCCAGGGCCTGGCAACCCCGGATGGATGTTGCTGGATTCAGGCCGCTCTTCCTCTGCCCTGGGACGTCTGCCAGGAGCCAGCAGTGCCAGAGCCTGCGTGGGCTGACGTCCTTCAGACACCTCCCTCCAGGTAGGCAGCAGCCGGGCCTTGTTTGTTATGTCGTGTCACGTGTGTGTGAGGCTGGTGGTGATAGAACTGTGTTGGAGTTTGGTTTTTTCCAGTTTATCCACCTGTATTAATTTTGGTTTTTGAGATGTAATTCACGTACCACGTAGTCCACCCTTTTAAAGTGTACAATTCGGTGCGCATTAGACGTAGAGTCAATATCTGATTCCCGTATGTTTATCACCCCCAAAGGAACCCAGGACCCGTTAGCCCTGACTCCCTGTTGCGCCCTCTCTCCAGTTCCCCGTAACCAGGGATCCGCTTTCTGTCTCTAGGGATTTGCCCGTTCTGGACTTTCCACATGAATACATGGCCTTTTGTGTCTGGTTCCTTTGACTTAGCGTGACGTTTTCAAACTCGCCCATTTTCCAGGTGAGGCAACTGAGGCTTGGGAAACTCAAGGCCGCCTGTCGCGTGAGGTGCAGAGTTGGGTTGCGACTGATTTTGGGTTAAATTCCATCGTCCATTTTCTGTCCGCTCCTAGGAGTGGCCAAGGGGGGTGGGAACTAGTTGACCCAGGGGGTAGGGATGGGGCCCCTGCCCCCCAATGCCCTGGCTGTTGGCGGAGACTCTGACCCAGTGAGGGAGACACAGGCCCCTTCTCCAAGTGCTCTCTGACCAGCCCCACCACGGCCTGCCACACCCTACAGTGGCCACAGCGTCCTCCTGGACAAGGGCCTCAGAACAGGCACATGTGCTGGCAGAATTGACTTCCTGGAGCATGTATCACCCCAGAGCTGGCAGCGGGTTTGGATGGTCAGAGACTTATCATCTACACCCTGTGTGCTTGGCACTGTGCTGCTGCCCAGGAAGGCTGGGCTGTGATAGGACCCTTCACGGAGAGTCCTTCACGGAGGGTCCTGGGTAAGAACGAAGCATGGCGGTTAAGGGTCGTGCCAAAAAGAGAGGCAGTGTATGAAGTGGCTTTGGAGTTGGACTACTGATTGTGAATACTTTCTGCCATTTGCTTAAGATTTGGAAAGTTCATGAACCTCCTCTAAGAACCAATTTCCCCACCAGCAAAACAGACCAGCCTTATTGTGTATGAGGAGGTGAACACTGAGCTTCCTGGCAGCTAAGGGGAAAGGGGAAATAGGACCACAGGGCTTATGCCAAAGCCGGAAGGCACGTCAGGGAGGTGGTGGCCTGGCACTAATGCTAAGCAGAGATGAGGGTGGGGCTCTTGCAGGGATGACAGGTGTCACCCCTGGGTACGATCGTTTCCATCTCTCTGACAGGTGGAGGGGATTCTCATAGGACTGAGCCTCAGATCGGCCGTGATCACGCAAGGACATGATGCACAGAAATGCAGGCTGGGATGCCGCCCTCTGATGTCTGAGCTCGTGAGGCAGGTATGATCATCTCCTGGACTGACCTCCTCCAGCCGCGAGCGCCTCCCCCTGGTTCGGGATACCAGCTGGAGGACAGAGGGGCTCAAGCGGCGTGCTTGACATCAGGGTGGCGGCACCGGGCTCTGAGCACGGGCTCTGGGTCTGGAACATCGGAGCTGACTCCGCCTGCCATTTACCGGCTCTGTCTCCTTGGCAGGCTCCGTCCCCGCTCTAAACAGCCCTTGTCCTCAGGTTGCTGACCCAGGAAAACCTCCGTGAGTGCTATTCTTGGCCTCGGTGTCCTTCCTGGGACCTGGGTCAGCACCTCCTCCTTTCCCTCCTCCTCCAGCCCTTGGTTCCCATCCTGTTTGTTCCCCTCTAAAACGAAACTGAGGGCAGCCCCTCCCTCCCAGCATAGCCATAGGGATGAGCTCAGATAGACCCCCAGAGCCTGGCCTGTCTCAGGATCCCGGTCAGTTGTGACACGTGTGCTTGAGTGCAGAGAACCTCCTGTCTCAAGTGACAGCTGTGAATGGGGCCCAGTAACGTTCTGCAGTCGAGGGGACTTGTTCTCCTGCTCTGAGCAGCATGGGACAGGGGGTTCGAGTGTCCTGGGGAGGTGCCCTTCCAGTGGCTCTAGGTGCCCCCAGGTGCTGCCCAGTACCTGAGGGTTGCCTGTGTCGCACACAGGATGGCGGCCACATGCCTCCCGTGGAAGGCTTAGGTTTTGAATGGGACACGGCAAGGGACACAGATGCTGAAGATCTGTTTGAGCAGGTGAGTTGTGATTTTTTTAGAAATGAGATTCAGGTAGCATAAAGTTACCATTTTGAAGTGCACGCTGCAGGGGCGTCGGGTGCCTCCGCACTGGCACACAAGCACCTCCTCCATTGCGTCCCAAACGCCTTCCTCAGCAGTAAGCCCCCCAGCAACCCCTACTCTAGTTTCCATTTCTATAGATTTAACTCTTCCAGACGTGTCGTGTGCATGGGATCGTGCAAATGTGGCCTTCCGTGGCTGGCTGCTTTCACTCAGCGTAGGGTGTGTAAGCGTTGCCCGTGTTGTGGCCGCGGGGTCAGGTGCCTTTTTATGGCTGAATCACGGTCCACTGCATGGATAGACCTGGGTTTGTCCATTCGTCCACGATGGGCATTTGTGATGTTTCTACCTTCTGGCTCGTGTGAATAAGCTGCGGGCACAAGTGCTTGCTGGCTTAAACGCCTCAATTCTTTTGGGCCTGCTATAGACCCGGGGCGGGGAATTTCTCGGTCACGTGGTATTTCCATCTTTAACTGTTGGGGGAACCGGACTGGGATCTGACCGTATTAACCCGGAGCCGTTCCGCTGCACCTGTCTCTGCTGTGTGCAAGGTGGTTAGAGCACAGCACTGGGGGCAGACAGCTGCCCTGAGGGCTGCTCTGGGTTTGGATGAAGCAGTGCCACGTGGCTGTGTGGCCTCTGCTGAGCTGCTTGCCTTTGGGTATCGGTTTCCCTACCTGCAGATCCCAGGATGACGCAGGAAGCAGCGACGGCGCCTGCCAAGTGCCTCGCACTGGAGTGTAAAGTTAAGTGGAGGCCCTTATCCCTTTCAGAGTTGATGTTTGTTCTCTTCAGAGCCTATTCCACCCACTCAGAATCTGAGGAGGCGCTAAGTGCCCGTGGGTGCAGTCAGCCCCGAGCCTACAAGAGGCGAGAGCTGGGGCAGAGGGTCACGGACCCAGAGGGCGGGCTTCCTCAGTTGCGCCTCCAAGAACCTCCACCCCGAGATTATTTTTTGTAAAACAGCCTGGAACGGTAGCAGCTCAGGGTGGGGTGAGGTGACGCTGTCAGCAGGACCTCCTGCAGTGGCCTTCTCGTGAGCCAGGCAGTTCCTAATCTTCAAAGGAGGGGTCTTCTCCCCACTTCACAGATGAGAAAACAGAGGCTGAGGGCAAGGATGCTGACGTGTCAGCTGGGATGTAGGTTCAGCTGGGATGTGAATCTGCATTTTACGCTTCCAACAAGCCCCCACAATTTCACTGGGCACCGCGGCCCAGGTCCAGGCCCTTTCTCTGTCTCCCCCTTCCCCGGCTCCCCAGCAGCCCCGGCAGCTGCCTCCCTACCTGCCCTCCTTTCCGCCCTGCTTTGGGAAAGGGAGGCACGTCTCTCTTCTCGTCCCTTGGGACTTTTGTGTATTGTCTCTCCTGTACTGCGGCCAGGGAAATAGGAAGTTACAGGGGTAACTTCCAGCATCGGACTTGAATCACCTTGAAGTCTCGGGTCTTCTGGCTTGTTGGAACAGGGTCTGCAGTCAAGGATCGACTGTGTCCAGGGAGGTCTGGCTTTTGCGCTCGGCTCTTAGAGGAGGTGATGAACCTCTAGGACCTTGGAAAGTCCTGACACGTGTATCTTTGTTTACCTGGGGCCACTTGGGGTCAGCCTGACCTCCACAGGGGCTGGAGGCTAAGGTCGGCAGTGCAAACTCTGAAGGTGCTTCCCTGGTTGGCAGTTCCCTATGCGTAATGAATGTCACAGGGCAGCCCTGGGAGAACCAGGTGCTGTCTGCACGTGTCACTGGGAAGGGACACCCTAAGCTTGGTCCCTCCGGGACCCTCTGCCGTGCTGAGGAGTTCAGTCTGTATGTATGCTTTTGCTGCCATAATCCGTTAACCACGAGTAGAATGGCTTGGCTGCGTTCTAAGAGTCCTTCTAGTGAATTACCGAGCCGAGGGTGGTCGTGGGGACCCCCCCGCACCTCACAACAGGCGTGACTTGTTTGTCAAGATACATACCTCAGCGGCATCACTTCCCCTTGACAGATAAGACAGCTGAGGCGACTTGGTTCAGGTTTCAGGGCTAATAAGGGGCCCCGAGCATCCTGACAGCTTCACTTGCCCGCTGTCGCCCGCTGTCATCAACTAGAAAACGGGAAACAAACACGCAGCCGTCCCCAACGCTAGTTTATTTGGTGCCTGTCCCGGGCGGCTGTTTGCCTAGCAGGGCACTGGCTACATGGGGTCTACTGCCGCCTGCGGGCTCGGCCCGGGCCTGGGGGGCACTACAGGGTCCCAGCTCCTCGCAGGAGGAGGAGTGGCAACCAGGAGGGGAGAGAAGGGTGAGGGGCGAGCCCAGCCGAGGACGTGGGGGCTGGTCCTGTGTGGCCATGCGCTGGGGGCGGGGCCGCTCCCCCCTCACTGCTGCCCTCGGGCTGCAGCAGGCCCAGCAGCTCGATGCCCAGCAGCTCGATGCTGCTCTGTCAACAAGCGGGGCGGGGGAGTGCCACGGCGGGGGTTCGCCTTCACTTCAACCAGCGGGAAAAGACCTTCTTCTACTGAAAAGACAGCTCGTATACCACAGTTTCTAGAAAAGAGTGCACGTCCTTCATCAGAGGGAGCAGGGCGGCAGGGGCTCAGTCGCGGCCCAGGGTGCACCAGGCAGCTGGAGAGGAGGGAGGGAGACGCGTCAGGGGGAGGTGCCAGGCGCGCGGCAGGGGGCGCCGTGGGGAGGTGGGTGCAAAGCCAGGGGCCGGGCCCTACAAAGGGCACGAAGGGCACAGAGAGGTGCGTGTCCTGCGTGTCCTGGGGGCAGATCACGTGCCCATGGAAGGAATGGCAGTCTGGCTGGGAACGCAGCGGGGTGTCCCACAGCGCGGCCTGCCCTGGCCTGGGGGTGCTTTCAGGGCCCCTAGCACAGGCCTGCCGCATGCTGGGCTCAGGGCCCTGGCCTTTGGGGGCGGCTGAGGCCCGGCCTCCCTGCCTTGTCTAGGACCCCCTCTGGTGGCCTACACTTCCTGGCAGCTAAGGGAACAGAAGAGGCTAGGGTGGTTTGGGCCTCAGCTCAGCCATTTCTACCGGGCCCATGGCGTCCCCGCTTCCTCTGTAGCTGGTCCAGGCCCTCCTCCCCGCTACCCCGCTACCTGGCACGGAGATCCGGGAGAGGGCCTCGGGCTGGCTCAGCGTGTCCACCTTGACGTGCCGGAACGCCTTGCACACGGGGCTCTGCAGGTGCCTGCAACGCAGGGGGCCGCCCGTGAGCTCTTGGGGCCACACCCCAGTCAGCCCAGCTCGGGGCTCAGAGCCCTGGTGCAAAGGTGGGGCCGGGGCCCCGGGGGCACAGCCTGGCTCTTGCCTCCCCCTGAGCAACCTTCACTGAAAGAACTTTCTGGATTTTTATCCTTGGGCAGCAGTTTTGAAACAGGAGCAACCCTGGCCTCCGCTCCCAGATTCAGGGCCCAGCAGAGCACGTTCAGGGGGTCAAGCTCCAGCCTGAGAAACGCCACCTCCAAGTGGATTGAGGCCCAGCCGTCTGAGTAGTGGAGGCCGCTGGAACCCCGCCTCTTCACCCTCTCAGCCAAGGAGCCTCTGGGACAAGGAAGGGCCTGGAAAGGGGGCCGGGGCTGGTCCCCGCCCCCCGTCCCACCACCTAACCCCCGGCCGAGGGCTGACACCTACATCTTCCACTCCTCCTCTGTCTCCCAGAACTCGTAGACCACGAAGGTGACGCCGTCCGCCAGCCTCACGGCAGCGATGCTGCAAGAGGAGAGAGACCGGACTCAGTGGCTGCACGGGGCTGCTTGCTCCCCAATGGGGTGCACACAGGGCCACACGCCCCCCAGACAGGGCGGCCCCTGAGCCAGGCTCGGGGCTGCCTGAAGACCCTGGAAACGTGAGGCTGGCAGAAGCTGCAGCAGCCGGGGGTGGTGACAGGCCCGCAAGGCAGCCTGTCACCACCCGAGGCTGCCCTCAGTAAGACGCTCCCTTTCTGATCAGGCCCCCCGAACCCTCCAGGACCAGCCACCTAGTCTGATCAGCTGCGTGCACCTCTCTACCCTCTAGAGCAAGGCCTGGCCCGGTACAGGGGCCAGCGTGGCTGCTGAATGAATGACAGTGAAACGTCTTTGAAAAAGGCTTTCTAGTCATTGAAAAACCTACCTTTAAAACTAAAAGCATCTCCACCTCCCACGTCCTTCCTTCATAATCATTTTTTCATTTAATCCTTAAAAGTAGGAGAATCAGACATGGCCCAAGGCCAGAGCTGTCGTCCCTGTGTGAGCACCAGGGTACTCACCCCATTTCAAGTAAGACAGAGACCCAGGCTGGGGGGATGGAGCAAGGTGGGGGGGTGCCTCTAAGAAGGTGGCCGACCCCGGGAGAGGGAGGGCCGGCCTCCCCCGAGGTCACGATACCACCCCATCTGGCCTCTCGGCCACCCCCATTCCTTCTCCTTTTCCCACACGCTCAATAGCACAGAACCCCAAGCATCCCTCAGGAGAATCCTGCCCCCGTGGCGTCTGCTGCATTACTACAGGCAATTCCAGGTTTGGGGCTGCAGAGAGGACGCCCTACTGCATGCTGCCCCCTCCCGGCCCTTCCCAGCCCCAGGCCCCCTTCTTCCACGCCGTCTCCCTTGATGAGCACACAGCTCCCGTGGCTCCGGGTGACACCTGCATGCCCACCACTCCCCAGATCTCCCCACTTGTACATCGGCACCTCGAAGGGCATCTGAAATTTAACGTGGCCTTACTCCCCGCACCCACGCGCCTGACCTTCCGCGGCTTCTCCCGCTCAGCCTGTGGCCCCGTCCTCCATCAAGTTCCTGAAGCATCTCACACTCCGCCCGGCCTCTTTCTGCAGCCCCCCACCCCATCCCGGCCATGGTCAAGTCCAGTCAGCCCCACTCCAAAACAGACCCCAGCTCTGCCCACATCGTGCCAAGACCAGTGCCCTCTCCGGGTGACTGCATGGCCTCTCCCTGGCCGCCAGCTGCACACCTGTTGCCACCCCTTCTTACACAAAGGAGGCAAGACCGAGTCTCCCTCCTGCCTAAGCATCTCTCCCCCATGGTCCCTGGTCCCCGGAACGAGCAGGGCCTGCCTGCCTCTCTGGCCATCTGCCCCACCCACCCCTGGGTCACTCTGTCGAGCCACACCAGCTGCTTGCTTTTTTCTCAAACACGGCACCCTCACTGCCACACCAGGTCTGGGCACGAGCCTGTGCCAGGCCTTCTGCGGCGGGGGGAGCTGCTCAGCACTCAGCCTGAGCACACACGCAGCCCCTCCCCAAAGCCCCCTGTGCGCTGGCCTGCACAGCGCCCACCGCCAACCGGAATCATCTTTCTTCACCTGCCCTCCGCCACCACCTGGAACTAACGTGCAGCAAGAGCAGCTGAGTCATGCTGCACCCCCAGGCCTGGCCCCCCTGCTTCACCAGGAAGCAGGTGGAGGCACATGTGCTCTTGAGGTAGGAAAAAAGCAACCGGGGAGGGAGACGCTCGAGGCAGGGAACAGGCACGGAGCCTACCGCTGGGCACCGACAGGTGGGCCACGGACGGGAGACAGCCCGGCAGCTTGCGCCAACGGCCCTCTGGGACCACCCCCAGCAAGGATGCAGGCCTTGGCCGCAGGGACCAGAGGGTGAGGCCCCCGAGTGGCGGCTAACGCTGAGTGGGCGCTGGGGGCCAGGCACTGGCCTGTACCCCCCACGGTTATTATTCCACTGACGCCTCCAACCCCACCAGGGAGCGGGTCCGGGCAGTGGACCCACTTTACGGATGAGTAAGCTGAGGTCCGCGAGATGAAGTCAGTTGGCACGTTTGCGCAGCAAAGAAGAGCCCGCGCTAGGACCACCCCGCTAGGGGGCTTCCCTGGGGTCCGCTGTGTTCTCAGGGGTGAGGCCGGTCCTGCCCTGTGCCTCCACCCCAGACACAGCTCCCAGCCACCACCGCGCCCCGCGGCTTACTCACTGGAAGCAGTTCCTGGCTCCGGCGGTGCCCCTCAGGTACTGACGCAGGGAGTCCAGGAACTCGACCAGCTGCTCAGGGCACACGGCCATCTCCTGCCGGACCAGCTGCAGATGCTCCGGGGCCACAGGACCAGTGAGCCACCCTGCGGGCTCCCTGGCATCCCGCCTCCCCCGGGACCCCGCCCAGCCCAGGAGCCCGCCTCCCCAGGACAGGACAACTTCTTCAGAATAAAACCGACCCACTCCCCCGCTGCACACACACACTTTTCATTCTTACACGTGGAAACTGGCGAAAAGTGAGCTAAGCTTAAGAAGCCAAATGCAGGGAGTAGTCCCACAAGTGCTGAAAAAACAGACAGGGTCGCTTAAAGAGGCTCCAGAGAGACTGGGAGCTACCTGCAAGGCTTCGGGTCCAGGACACAACAAAACGAGTGACCAGCAAAATTGTTTCTGATTGAATCAGCATTTTGATGTCACTGTCCTGCTGATTACGTTGCTCCGGGCCCCACCGATCACAGCCCTGGAGCCTCTAAGAATGCTCATGGGAGGGGAGGGTGGCCAAGTGCTGGGGCTGCATCTCCCCTTGTGGTGGTCCCAGGGTAGAGGTGTCAGGGACACTAAGCCGCCTGCATCTTTGAGGCCTGGCTCAGGCAGGGATGGGGCCACAGGAGAGGGAGGGGTCCTCACCATGTTGGTGCTTTCTTCATCCGAGAGATGCTGCTGGAAGTCAAACCAAAGGGTCTGCAACAACAAAGCATGAAGAGATGCCTGAGACAGAGGCCACCGCTGCTAGGGAGGCTCCCAGGACCACCACAGTGACCCCTGAGCACCCAGGGCCACCGAAGAGCTCCAGCCCCTCCACCCCACGGTTCCAGCGGCTCTGGAGTCCCCGAGCGGGTGGGAGCTCCCAGGGCCAGGCCTCTCTGGGCAGGGCTCAGCCCACCCTCCAGGCAGTGCCGGCTCAAGACAGGAGCCGGGAAGCCAGGCTGCAAGGCCACCCACAGGGAGTGGCACAGATCCCTTCTGGCCGTGGCATCTAGGGGGCGCTGGAGCCACAGAGGCCAAGCACGCCAATTGCAGAGCACACGAAGGAGGCTCCACTGTGCTGAACCCAGGACGCTGGGGTTTTGTCACAACTTCCGCCGACAGCCTTGCTGGCAACAGGTTCCCCGACAACTTACACGTCGCCCCCAGTCACAGCCCCTGGCACCTCATGAATATAACGGCCTGAATGAGGTGGTCTGTGCTCGCTGGCCTTCCACCGGCCCTGGGGGCTAAACCCTCTACGAAATCTTATGTAACTTGCCAGACTCCCCGAGGTCATGGCTGCCCTACTGTGAGCTCTAGGAAAGCAGGAAGCCCGTGCACTCTGCTCCTGACCGCGTGCTTGTGTCTGTAATGGTGCCCAGCACCATGACTGCAGAGCAGAGAACCCAGAGGCCACAGAAGCTGGTCCCGGGTCAGAGTCTGAGTCTGAGGCCAAGCCTCTCTCCTGATCCACGGAATCAGGATCCTTCTTCCTTTTTCTTGGGCACCCCAATAAAGGCCACCTCTGTGCCCATCCCTGTCCATCCTCCACGAGGGCAGCCCGTGTCCCTGGCGCAATCCCGCACCCACGCGGCCCATCTGCAGGGCCGTGACCCATGCAGTCACCACCTGGACATTCTTAATAATGTTGGAACAAGGGGCCCCATAAATTACACAGCCGGCCCCAGAGAGGGTACTGACTTTCCGGGGACATAGGGTGTGCATGTCGGCGTTTGTAGGCGGCCAAGGTCTGCTTGGCAGAGCAAGTCTCTTTCCGTGCTTTTAAAACCGTGTAGATGGGCTCCTGGAGAGCACTGGTTCCCTAGATTTCTCCTGGCCAGCTGGGCCCCGCGGCAGTGAGGATGAGGTAAAGATGAGGGGAGGGTGGAGGAGGGACGGCGGCACCCACGTCTGCGCCCCCCGCCCCGTCTCCCTGCCTCGCCGTCCCAGCGTTCCAGGAGCCCAGGCACAGCTAGGAGCGCTCAGGTTCGCCCTTGGAGGGCGGGGTCCAGAGCAGGTCCCGGATTGGCCCCTGCTCGCAGCTCGGGCCAATCAGAGGCTGGGAAGAGGGCCCCCCGCCCCGTCTCCAGGACGCACAGGTGCTCCTTGGTTTCCAGCCAGCCGGTTGTTAGGGCGACTGGGGCGCTAAAAATAAACTTCAAAGAGCCTCCCCCTGGGGGCGCCCGCAGAGTTGTTATGACAACCGGGCCTCAGGGTCCCCGCCGAGCCTTTCCCACCGCTCCCACCCAGCAGCTGGCTTTGGCGGGGGGTGGGGGGGTGGGGGTGGGGGGGGATCCCACCTCCGCCTCAGACCTGCAGGTGGGATGGCCACCTCCTCCCTCGGACTCCTCTCCAAGTCTCAGCCTCACCTCCTCCTGGGGAGCCCCACCCACTGCCCTCACGAATCCCTCAGAACCCACAAACCCATCAAAGCACTATTTTTCTTTTGCCCTTTTGCAAAAGAGATAAAAAAATTCAGAGAAGTAGGAAAAATGTAAACTTGCCACTGCAACCCCACAGCCTGGAGATCCCTGCTATCTTGGTTTATGTTGATATACAGGTATGGTATGTGTATAGGTTCTGGCATCAGAATGTCTAATAATAACTGCTAAACAACATTGCTAATATTAAATGCTAACTATGCAGCAGGCTCTGTGCTAAGCCATTAAGACACCATTTAATTTAATCCTCACAATGACCCTGTGAGAGGTGCCATTCTGATTATTTTCTCCGTGGTTAGAGGAGGACTCTGAGGTTCAGAGAGGGGAGGTCATTGGCCCAAGGTCACACAGCTGTTAAGTGGTATAGCCAGGATTCAAATACAGGCAGTCCGATACTGGAGCCTGTTGGTAAACCTTAAGGCAAATTATTTTCTTTCTTCCAACGAATGGTAATCGTTATGGGCTGAACTGTGTTCCCCCAAAATTCATATGTTGAAGTCCCAATCCCCAGTACCGCAAAACGTGACTATATTTGGAGACAGGACCTTTGAATAGGTGATTAAGTTAGAATAAGGTCACATGGGTGGGCTCTAATCCAGTATGACTGGTGTCCTTATAAGAAGAGATCAGGACACAGACACACACAGACACAGGGAGAAGACGGCCGTCTACACGCCAACGAGAGAGGCTTCAGAAGAAACCAGCCCCGCCAACATCCTGATTTCAGATTTCTAGCCTTGATCTGTGAGAGAATAAATGCCAGGGTTTAAGCCCCAGTTCTGGCAGCCCTGCAAAGCGAACACAATCGTATCCTGACTGCCTACCGAGCCGTGAAATGTTCTCCGAAAACACGATCCCATAAAGGCTGTGCCACTTTCCATCACTTGTGGATGTGTCACGTCCCATTTTAAGAAACTTCACGCTGCCGGTCATTCTAATCTCTCCTGGGACGTCACCATCCCTCACCCACCACCTTGCTGGGTCTAGGCTACCACCTGCCCAGACCACGCCGCCGCCTTAACGCCTCCTTGAAGCTCTGTCCCCTTGCTGCCCGTGGTCCTGCCGACTACTTTCTGTTCCTCGAGACGCCCCTCCTGGCTGCCCGCCCGCCCTCCACAGCCGCTCCTCTCCTCGGCTCCTACACAATGGACCCGTTCCCGGCGTCCACCCTTACTCCGCGCTCCACCTGGGCAATGTCCTTTCCAGGGCTTCCTGACTCCTGTCTCGAGCTCTGGCCTCACTCTGCACTCCCTGGGGGCTGGGAGGGCGGGGGGTGGATGCAGGGACAGAGGCGAGGGCTCAGTGGGCTCACCTTGCTCTCCAGCCGTCCTATCAGCCCCGCCAACCTGCTGATCTGGGCTTCCAGGCCCTCCTCCCTGGAGTCTGAGGTGACTGGGAAGGAAGAACAGAGATGCTGATTGGGGGGGGCAGGGCCAGGCCTAAGGTGGAGGGGAGCTCCCGGCCCTGCCCCGGCGCTGAGACCTGTCCCCAGCCCTCCCAGGCTCGGTCCCCATGGGAGGCCCAAGCCCCACGTGGACCACTCTCAGAATTCCCCCCAGGACCCCCCAGCCAGTGCCCCCCACTCTGGGCCACTGCTCGCTCACCAAGCGGGAAGCTCTTCCCTTGCTCCACGGCCGTGAGCTTGTGGTTGTGGGCGTAGACGGGAGTGGAGCTCCCAGACCAGGTCTCCACCACGCTGTGGTTCTGTCTGCAGAGGAGTGGGGCAACACACACTATGAGGGGGGCTGCAGGGCTCTGGCCGCCTGTGGCAGCTTCGACAAACATTAAGCACCGACTGGGGGCTGAAACGTGCAGAGAACTCACTCCGTGGAGCCCCGGCCCTGTGAAGTGAACATCGTGGCCTTTGTTTTACAAAGGGGAACAACAGGCCCACTGGCCAAGGCCACGCTGCAAGCGGGGCCGGGTTGGGATGAACTCAGATCCTTTCCAGGAACCCAGACCCTGTTCCCGGGAGGTTTAGTTCCAGGGCCGGGCGAGGCTGAGCCAGGCCCCCAGCCTCCCCACAGCCCACGGCTGCCCCTCTCCCCGGCCCTGCCAGCCTCGCTGGGAGCCGATTCAGCGTTCACTGCCCTCTGGGGTGGGGGCCTGCGTTGGCTAACAAGCCCCCTGTCCAAAAAAGGAAGCCCTAAGACACAGTCGAGAGCGGGCATCTGACAAAGACCCGTGATCCTGACCTCAGCCTGGCCCCACCCCGTCATGACACCACCCGCCACGCACTCTACTGATGTGCACACACACGCACAGCACCCGGCATCCCTGACGTGCACACACAGCCCACCCAACGCTGTGCCTGGCACGCAGTAGCGACTCAACAAATGCCCAAACCCCATGTGCAAAAATGCTGGAAAACTCACCACAGACGTAAAAATACAGCCAGACGCACATATCCCCCCAACACACACACACACACACACACACACACACACACACACACACACACACACACACACACACACACACACACACACACTCCTGTGTGCACGGCCGACACGCCTGGTCCACGGGGCTGCCTTGGTAAGGTTCTGGAATTTGCCTCCTGTGAGCCTGAAAGCCCAGCAGCCTCTCCCTGTGCAGAGGGGCCAACCACCCCGACCCCCCACCAGGGGAGGAGAAAGGCTGGCAGATTCCCTGAGGTGTCAATCGGGGCGCCTCAACAAACTCAGACCACGAGTGGGAACCGTGGGAGTCCCCCAAGGGCGGCAGGGTCTGAACCAGTGGCTCGTGCCTGGGTCACGGCGTCCCTAGGCCTGGGAAAGAGAATGCTCAGGGGACCTGCAGCTGAGAGCCGAAACAGCTGAGATTTGGGCAGTTTGAGGTGGCAGTGCCTGTGAAGCAGATGTGTCTCCCCTTCGCGATGTGCCACTCCTGCCAACAACATCCCCAAGTAAGCTTCCAAAAAGGGGGCAGCAGGTGTAACGGCTGACACGTGACGGAACTGGCAAAGCGCAGGAAATGGGCTCTGAAAATCACGCAGCGGTCCTATCTGTTCTGCAGCAAACCGCAGCTTTTTAAATCAAGATAGTGATGAAAAAAAAAATGAAGAAAATCTATGTGACAGCTTCCAGAGCTGAGGCTGTTAACCTTGGGAACCCTCAGAATCACAAGACTGATCAGCTATGCAGAGTTCTGGGCCCAGCTCCCAGGGACCCTAATCCAGTGGGCACGGCCGGAGCCCAGGAATCTGCACTGTGCATATCCTAGGTGACCGGGCTGCAGGTGCTGAGAGCAAAGGCATTTTGCGAACAGCATCACTGAGCAGCCTTTGCAGTCATATCTGACTGGGACAAGCCCCCCACCAACCAAAAAAACACAACCCCCCAGGCCCAGCAACCAACACCCTGCTGTGCCAGGTCTCTGCCCGGGAAACCGCGGCAGAGACTCAAGGCTCAGTAACGCATGGGCACCTGGCAGCTGCCCCCGCCTGTTTCTATTTCTTTATTCCCCCTTTGCCCCGGGCACATCAGCTCTTCAGGGAAGAACCGGCACAGAGGAGTTGGCCGGAACTTAGGACAGCAAATGGGAGGGCTCATGGCCCCCAAGGGCTGGCCCTGCCAGGCCGGAATGAGACTGCTAACTCTCCGGACCCCCATCTCACCGCCCCAACAGTGTCCCCCTGCAAAGAGGGGGGACCCCAGGTACTTTTCCACGGCTTCAAGGACCCACAAACAAGGCTTTAAATAACACTAACTAACATTGGGAGAAAACCACTCCATTTCACTGCTCTTTCAATCTTTCTGAGGTCATGCTTTGATGCTCCTCTGTTTTCAATGCCCATCTACGATCTCACAGCCTCTCTTTTTGAACAAAGAGGGAGCGGGCCTCAGTGTCCAAGCTGCCTGCGGGCACCAACAGCGCTTATTTTTACAATTTCTTCACTCACAGCATGTGATACTTGTTTTCGAATGATGGTAATAGCCACCAGAGTTTCCTAAATTTATTCCCAGGTTTTAAAAAATGAGTCAAACAATAGAATAGTTTTAGCTAAACAATAACGTGAGCAATATGGAAATGTGGCCAAATGGACCAGAGTCTAGGAACTAGTCATAACTCTGTGAGGAGGCAGGTATATAATCGTCCCCACTTAAAGAGCTGGGGAAGTGGAGGCACAGAGGGGAACAGCAGCTTGCCCAAGCTCACCCAGCCCCCAAGCACACGAACGTCCCCACCAGGCAGCAGGTCAGCACACACACGGCCCACTCCCACAGGCCCCCACAAGGTCCCACCAACGCACCGGATCTGGCTGGTCTGCTCTTCGATGGCCTCCACCGCACTCTCCACCGAGCTCAGCAGGGACTGGATCTGATTGGCCGTCTCCTTCAGGAGGAAGCGTGTCACAAACTGGTCCACGTTGCTCCCACCCTCATACACCTGTGGCGGGAAGGGAAGGGGCACAGAGGGGAAAAGAGTTGGGGAGGGATCGTGGGTGGAGATCTGGTGCAGGGGTGGGGGGACACCTAGGGTCAGTGTCTCTGCACTGGGATGGGGGTATCACAGGGCTCCAGCATGAAGGCAGGGGTACAGACTCAAGAGACCAAGGTGTGAGCCCCAGCTTCACCAATTACTAGTACTGTGACCTCCACACCACAACAGAAATCACTGTAGTAGCTATCTCATAACACTGTAGTAAGGACTGAAGGAAAAAAATTATATAAAATGCTCAGCACTGTGCTTGTCACATAGCAAATACTCAGTATACAGTAGCTGCTATGATGATGATGATGATGATGATGATGGTGATGGTGATGATGATGAGAAAGATGGTGGTGGGTCACTTCTGTTCAACATAGTATTGGAAGTCCTAGCCCCAGCAATCAGACAAGAAAAAGAAATAAAAGGTATCCAAATTGGAAGGGAAGAGGTAGAGTTGTCACTATATGCAGATGACATGATACGATAAATAGAAAGCCCTAAGGACTCCACAGAAAAACTACTAGATCTAATAAAGGAATTCAGTAAAGTAGCAGGACACAAGATTAACATTTGGAAATCGGTTGCATTTCTTTACACTAACAATGAAACATCAGAAAGGGAATGCAAAAAAACAATACCTTTTAAAATCGCACCAAAAAAACACACAAAACCTAGGAATAAACCTGACCAAGGAGCTGAAAGACTTATATGCTGAGAACTATAAAACATTAATACAGGAAATTAAAGAGGATTCAAGGAAATGGAAAGATATCCCATGTTCTTGGATTGGAAGAATATTGTTAAAAATCACAAAACTACCCAAAGCAATCTACAGATTTAATGTGATCCCTATCAAATGACATTTTTCACAGAACTAGGATAATCCAAAAAGTTATATGGAACCATAAAAGACCCAGAATTCCCAAAGCAATCCTGAGGGGGGGAAAAAACAAGAAAGCAGGAGGCATAACTCTCCCAGACTTCAGACAATACTACAAAGCTACAGTAATCAAAACAATGTGGTACTGGTACAAAAAGAGACACACAGATCAATGGAACAGAATAGATAGACCAGAAATAAACCCACACACCTATGGTCAATTAATCTTTGACAAAGGAGGCAGGAATATAAAATGGGAAAAAGACAGGCTCTTCAGCAAGTGGTGCTAGGAAAACTGGACAGCCACAGGTAAATCAATGAAATTAGAACACACCCTCACACCATGCACAAAAATAAGCTCAAAATGGCTTAAAGACTTAAACATAAGACATGACACCATAAAACTCCTAGAAGAGAACATAGGCAAAACATTCTCTGACATAAAATGTATCAATGTTTTCTTAGGTCAGTCTCCCAAAGCAATAGAAATAAAAACAAGAATAAACAAATGGGACCTAATCAAACTTACAAGCTTTTGCACAACAAAGGAAACCATAAAAAAAAAAACACGAAAAGACAACCTACAGCATGGGAGAAAATATCTGCAAATGATGCGACTGACAAGGGCATAATCTCCAAAATATACAAACAGCACACACAACTCAGTAACAAAAAAAACAAACAACCCAATCCAAAAATGGGCAGAGGATCTAAGCAGACATTTCTCCAAAGAAGATATACAATAGCCAAAAGGCACATGAAAAAATGCTCAACACTGCTAACTATTAGAGAAATACAAATCAAAACTACAATGAGGTACTACCTCACACCCATCAGAATGGCCATGATTAAAAAGTCTACAAATGACAAATGCTGGAGAGGGTGTGGATACAAGGGAACCCTCCTACACTGTTGGTGGGAATGTAAGTTGGTGCAGCCACTATGGAAAACAGTATAGAGGTTCCTCAAAAAACTAAAAACAAAGTTACCATATGATCCAGCAATCCTACTCCTGGGCATATGTCCGGACAAAACTATAATTCAAAAAGATACATGCACCCCTATGTTCACAGCAGCACTATTCACAATAGCAAAGACATGGAAACCACCTAAATGTCCATAGACAGATGACTGGGTAAAGAAGATGTGGTGTATATATATATATACACACATATATATATACAATGGAATACTACTCAGCCATAAAAAAACACAAAATAATGCCATTTGCAGCAACATGGATGCAACTAGAGATTACCATACTAAATGAAGTAAGTCAGAAAGAGAAAGACAAATACCATATGATATCACTCATATGTGGAATCTAAAGTACGGCACAAATGAACGTACCTACAGAACAGAAACAGACTCATGGACGTAGAGAACAGACTGGTGGTTGCCAAGGGGGAGGGGGAGTGGGAGTTTGGAATTAGCAGATGCAAACTATTATATATAGAATGGATAAACAACAAGGTCCTACTGTATAGAACAGGGAACTATATCCAACCTCCTGGGAAAAACCATAATGGAAAATATTTTAAAAATGCATGTATATAACTGAGTCACTTTGCTGTACAGCAGAAATTAATACAACATTGTTAATCAACTATTCTTCAATAAAAAAATAATAAAAGTAACTAAATTATAAATAAAAAATGTAAAAAAAGATGGTGGTAGTGATGATGGTTATGAACATGATGATGGTGATGATGGTGAAGATGGTGGTGGTAATGATGGTGGTGATGGTGGTGATGATGGTAAAGATGGTGGTGATGATGATGGTGAAGATGGCGGTAATGGTGGTGGTGATGGTTATGAAGAGGATGCTGATGATGGTGATGGTGGTGATGATGGTAAAGATGGTGGTGATGATGGTAAAGATGGTGGTGGTAATGATGGTGGTGATGGTAAAGATAGTGGTGGTAATGATGGTGGTGATGATGATGGTGAAGATGGCGGTAATGGTGGTGATGGTTATGAAGAGGATGCTGATGATGAAGGTGATGGTGATGATGGTAAAGATGGTGGTGGTAATGATGGTGGTGATGGTGATGATGGTAAAGATGGTGGTGGTGATGATGATGGTGAAGATGGTGGTAATGGTGGTGGTGGTGGTTATGAAGAGGATGCTGATGATGAAGATGATGGTGGTAATGATGGTAAAGATGGTAGTGGTAATATGGTGGTGATGATGGTGATGGTGGTGATGATGGTGATGATGGTAAAGATGGTGGCGGTAATGATGGTGGTGATGATGGTGAAGATGGCGGTGATGGTGATGGTTATGAAGAGGATGCTGATGATGATGGTGATGTTGGTGAAGATGGTGGTGATGGTTATGAAGATGGTGATGGTGGTGGTGTTCTTGATGTTGTTGTGGACAGGGATAAAGTATTAGGGAAGAAGAATTCACAGCCTCCTTCCTTCCTTCCTCCTCTGAGGTGGATTCTTTGGGCCAGGCATGGTGTCACACGCCTGCAGTCCCAGCTTCCTGGGAGGCTGAGGCAGGAGGATCACTTGAGCCCAGGAGTTCGAGGCTGCAGTGCACTAGGTCCTAAGTTTGGCATCAACGTGGTGAGAGCAGGGGATCACCAGGTTGCCTATGGAGGCATGAACCAGCCCAGGTCAGAAAAGAAGCAGGTCAAAAGTGTGCTAAGTAAGCCCACACACCTGCGGTCAGTTGATCTTCGACAAAGGAGGCAAGAATATACAATGGGGAAAAAGTCTCTTCAGCAAGTGGTACTGGGAAAGCTGGACAGCCGCAGGCAAATCAGTGACGTTAGAACACACCCTAACACCATAAACAAGAATAAACTTAAAATGGCTTAAAGACCTAAACACAAGACATGACACCATAAAACTCCTGGAAGAGAACAGAGGCAAGACATTCTCTGACATAAAACACACCACTGTGTTCTTAGGTCAGTCTCTCAAGGCAATAGAAGTAAAAGGAAAAGTAAACAAATGGGACCTAATCAAACTTATAAGCTTTCGCACAGCAAAGGAAACCATAAAAAAAAAAGAAAGAAAGAAAAGAGAAGACACTACAGACTGGGAGAAAACATTTGCAAATGATGTGACCAACAAGGGCTTAATTTCCAAAATATACAAACAGCCCATACAACTCAGTAACAAAAAACCAAACAACCCAATCGAAAAATGGGCAGAAGACCCAAATAGACATTTCTCCCGAGAAGACATAGAGATGGCCAACAGGCACATGGAAAGATGCTCAACATCACTGGTTATTAGAGAAATGCAAATCAAAACTACAGTGAGGTACCACCTCACACCGGTCAGAATGGCCATCGTTAAACAGTCTACAAACAACAAATGCTGGAGAGGGTGCGGAGAAAAGGGAACCCTCCTCCTCTGTTGGTGGGAATGTAAGTTGCTTCAGCCACTGTGGAGAACAGTATGGAGGTTCCTCAGAAAACTAAAAATAGAACTACCATATGATCCAGCAATGCTACTCCTGGGCATATATCTGGACAAAACTATAATTCAAAAAGACACATGCACTCCTATGTTCACAGAAGCCCTGTTTACAATAGCTAAGACATGGCAACAACCTAAACGTCCATCGACAGATGAATGGATAAAGAAGATGCGGTATATGTATATATACAATGGAACATTACTCCACCAAAAAGAATGAAATAATGCCATTTGCAGAGATCATCTAGAGAGTATCATACTAAGTGAAGTAAGTCAGAAAGACTAATACCACCATATATCACTTATATGTGGAATCTAAAATATGACATACATGATCTTATTCATGAAACAGAAACAAACAGACATAGAAAACAGACTTGTGATTGCCAAGGGGGAGGGGGTTGGGGAAGGGATGCAGTGGGAATTTTGGGTTAGCAGATGCAAACTATTATACATAGAATGGATAAACAACAAGGTCCCGCTATATAGCACAGGGCACTATATCCAATCTCCTGGGATAAACCATAATGGAAAAGAATATGAAAAAGAATATATATATAACTGTACATACATATACCTGAATCACTTTGCTGTACACCAGAAACAACTAACACAACACTGTAAATCAACTGTACTTCAA